GTGTAATTCTACGAGATCGGAGGTGGGGCGGTACGCGAGGTCTCAACTCTCTCTCTCTCTCTCTCCCTCTCCCTCTCCCTCTCCCTCTCCCTCTCCCTCTCTCTCTCTCTCTCTCTCTCTCTCCCCGATATTTCACGCTGCACTAGAGAAGGGATGTGCGTCGCGACAGCTCGACTGGCTTTGATGCTTCACTTTAGAAGAGGCACCTACCTCACTGCAGTTCCAGCTTGCCACCCCGGCCTCATATCGCCCCCAAGCCAACCTACGGTGACCGCAAAGTTGCCACACCCACTGCACCTGCTCTCTTCAAAACCCGCAGTTTCTGGCGATGTCAATGTGGCCGTTTGCTGATGGAGCCGCCAGCTGGCTTTGCCTTGCTGACGCTGCCACGTCTGGCCTTGTGGCTTGGCCCGCGACCGAACCGATAGCATCCCTGCACTGCACAGCTCGCAGCCGAGGCAAGTCGCCTGGCGGGTGCTCACTGAAGCGAACACAGCAGCTTCGAACAGATATTTGGTGCTGTGCTTTCTGGAGGTTTGAAGAGCGAAGGCTTCAAATTAGCAGGAAGGCTTCAGACAAGAACCATCACAACAAAGGTTCTGCTTTACCGCAAACGAAATGTCCTCGGGCTGTGGATTGAGTGGTGTTTGGATTTGGGATTCGGGTTTGGCCCGTACCAATCACTTTGGTCACGTAGCTGCCACTGCTGCTTCGTAGCAGTTCAGGGCGGCTTTCTCTGCATGCATGTAAGCACGGTTGTGGTTCGCTCCTGCATGGTAGGCCTCAGTCAGAACATCGCAGTGCAAGGTCTTGGTGATCATTGCTCTGTTTTGGCACCAAGACACGTGGCTGCAGCTTGAGGGCGGATGGGATGTGACAGTGTTTTCTGCCTTTGCTTGATGCCGTGATTGTCCTTTGAGTTGAGGAATGGGCTTCTGCAACACTGGGCCTCGTGCTGAGCACTGCGTCCTGGACTCTTTCTGTCATCGATATGCTGCTGGCGCAGGCGCGGTCTGAGAGAGTCGAAGCTATGCATCGGCAGATTCCTCGATAGGGAGTAGGCTTTAACACCATAGAGCTGCATCGGCAACTTAAGTGTTCAAAGGGTTGAAATTGTATTGATGATTCAAAACATGTGAACGAACAGTCCTAAAGCATGCTCTCTCCGTTTCAACACCGGTTTCCAGCTTGTCTGCCGCTGTCCGCCTCTCGCGTTCCTGCGGTACAAGAGACCGCCAACGTTGCCCAACCACTCTCGAATGAGTGAAGGGTCTCCAATTCCAGCTTTTGCTTCGTGACGCTCTCCTCAGTCTGCTCTGACTCTCTTGAGCTGGAGCCTGCTCGGACCAGCAATCTGCGTTAGAAGGCCCGAAACGTGTCGAGACCTCTCGAAGCGACCTCGCTTCAAGGAGCCGATCTCACCTCTGGACGAGGCGCAGAGGAGCTGGGATTCGAGAAGCGCAGGGCTTTGACCTCGTAAGCTGCAAGATGGATGGAGTCTGCGTGTGCCAGGGATTCTGTCCAACTGTGCCCACAAGTCTTCAAGTTGAAAGAAAGGAACGGTTGGGCCGTTTGGCTTCAGCAGATCATCCGTCAGACTCAGCACCTTTTTTTGTACTGTTCCCTTTTGTCGCCGTTGTCAGGAGCTTGGCGCGCGGCGTTGCGACGCCCGCCTGGCGTGCCTTCTGGGATTCTTGTCGGAGAGTCATTTTTTCCGAGTCTTTCCTGGCCTCATAAGACCGATCTCGGCGTCCAAGACCGGCTTCAAGACAGGAGCCACAAGAATTCGCAAGAAACAGTAGGTCCAAAACTGGTCACAATTTGTTTTGGTGAGCTCCCGTGGCAGGCAGCCTGTGAGATTAACCGAAACTCCACAGTGCCGTCGGCATGATGTACGTTGGCCTTGGTGTCTAAGTTCAATGACGCTCTTCTTTGCCGTACGTTTGAGCCGATTCTGAAGCTTAACAGGCATACCCCTTGTATGTGAGACCACCGTCTCAGGATTACGAGCAGCAGATCCAGGCCAAGCCGAGATATTAGGTGTGTGCGCTAAAAGTCTTGCATTTTCGGAGTCTCGGTATTGAGGAGTGCAGTTCTGGTGAGAAGAGCTCAAACTGCCTGAGGCTCCCGGCATGGGCCTGCTGGTACCCTACGGCATGACATTGATCCAGGCTTGGGTCGGGAAAGTTCGGGAAAAAGCTGGAGGCTTTTGCAGCAAGTTCCCAGTAAAACAACCTGCGCAGAAGCTGGGAGGACCTGGACGCTGTCTCGGCCATCGCCGGCCTCACCATGGTCGTGGCTGCTGCGACTTCCCTCGCGAGCGCCCGCGTCGGTATCCTCAGTGTTTTTGGTGGAATCATCGGCAATTGCTGATGTTCGTACCCACCGTCTTGCCGTCAGTGTCGCCGTCGTCAACATCATTAGCATGATTGTCGCACCATCATCGTCATCATCATCATGCTAAAGTCATGAGCATCGCGTTGCGGCCGTCATGCAGGTGATGGTGGTAAGACGTACAGAGACTGATTAGTGCTACTGGTAGGTGCCACTACAGCAAACCCCGCCAATGAAAGTACAAGCTGTCATGGTGGCAGCAAGTGTAAAATCACAGGAGCGGAATGCAGCACAAAAGAAGGTTGACCGGCACTGGTCGGATGCTCTTCAAAATAGTTGCACCATGACTGGTCGATACTTGCAGGACAGTGCGCGTGACAAGGACATAGAACAACTTGAGGGAGTTTTGGGAGTGCTGGATTCACCAATACACTTCATGACCACAACGTCAAGAAATCCCCGACGATGGCACCAAGCCCTAGCGGAAGCTGGTATTCAAGTGCAAAAAGGCACGGAGATGGGCAGAGCTGCATTCGCCAGGTGGATTTCAACTGTGACTGGCCTGGCCAGCGAGGGCAGGCAGGGGTCGGGGTCGAATGCAACCTTGGAAAATACAGCCTGAGGCGCCCATCAAAACAAGCTTCGCCGGCTTTTGCATCGATGCTCCATGCACTCTCAGCTGCTGGTGACCGCGAATCTATGAGCCTTTAGCTTTGCCCTCAAGTCTGAACCGTATTAGTCAGCGAAGTTGAAGGCTTCGGTCATCTACCTCCTTGATCCTCTGACGGCCTACAGCCTGCCACTGGGCTTGATTCCATCTGCAGCAAAGATGCCTTCTGATGTCGTCGAATGTGCAGTCTTTGTTGTTCACATGGTTTCTACGAGCAAGTTACTCTGAGCCGCTCGTTTGCGGTTTGCGCACCTGCCAACCTTCACCATCTTTGGCACGGCTTTCACTTGCAAGGCACACAAGGATGGGGCCTGGAAAAGCTAGGAGAAACCTTTACCTGCACTTGATGCATGCTCAGGTATGCCAGCTACTTCATCGGATCAGTGGCTGAGTTTGCCGCCTTTGCGGTGGTTAGCTCCGTCGCCGGGCTTCAAGGAACGGGGTGCCTGGCTGCTCGCAAGGTAGCACCAAACCGAGCAAGAGTCATCATAGGAGCAGGAATGGTAGTGCGAGCAGCCACGATAGTGAAGAGAGATCACAAAACAAGTAACACCCTCCTGAGTTGAGCCGTTTGAGCGATCGTCGCGACGACTCTGCATATGCCCATTGCTATGTCAGTCAGCTACTTTGAGATGGCAGAAGTAGTCGTAGCATTTAGCATATCAGTGGCGGCAGTCGACGTAGCCGGTTTCGTTCAAAGCAATGCGGTAGTATTCGTGTGAATATTTATGGTTAATCCTGGCTTTGTTAATGCGGTGCCGTTACGGGTGTGATGGTGACAGCAGCAGCACAAGCAGTAGGAGCAGAAGGTCAAGAATAGCAGTGCGATTGGAGCAACACAGCAGTGGGCATCCTTACAATACAAGCGTTCTGGAGTTCTTGTGGTATTCTGTGTCACCCGGCTGCTTATCATCATTGTCGACTTTACTGCCGATGAACCTGGGGTTCCCGGTGTTTGATCCTGTAATGCAGTCATGAAAAGATGTGGCATCATCATCTTCACCATCATCATCATCATCATCCAGCATCATCACCATGATCATCATCGGCATGATAGCATGAAGATCACTTGGTTCCACAGTTTAAATTTGCAGCATGCCGCTACTCAGGTACTTCATCCGCTTCTTGCTTGCCTGGGTTATGCTGTCGCCATCGAGGCAAAGGGTGGCTAATCGGGTTTGCTGTTGCCACTTCTCGCAGCTCCGCATGAGCTGCTGCTCTCTAAGCAAGGGTGGATGTCCTTGCGCCGACGCAGATCGGAGTTGGGCTTGGGATAAAACCTTAAATCCTAAGCTGCATTGCTGAACGATAGCTAGCTTGATGTTTCAGGTTCAGGGAGCCAAGTCGTGAGGTCAACACTCGCTTTAGTGCGAATGGCTTCTTCATGGAATCCTGGCTGGCCCCCCACGTGCGGAACCAAGCAAATGCTATTGTTTGAGCAATGCAGCAGTTTCAGATCTTAGACGATATCGGCCGCCATCTTTTTTTTGCCAAGGCTCATGTGTGCGAGAGCCCGGTCGCAGCAAGCTCTCCCTAATAACTTAGTATTGTAACTGTTGGAGCTCATTCCAGGTGATCAACTGACCTGGCGGCAGGTACATTTTGTGAACGCCGAGACTTTTTCTAAAATCACGTGACTCCGCTAGCAGTACCTAGAATTTGTCCGCCCGCCACTTCACCTCGGTAATTTGAGCGCCAAGCACGTAGAATTCTGCATGGTGTCATGTCTCCAAAACTTATGCTTGACGGTAAAATGCTCCTTTCTCGGTGAGAGCAGCCAAACTGAAGCACATGACAGTGCCAACAAAATGAAGGGCGAACGAGAAATTTGGCTGCCTTGATTGCTTTGCCCTCGACCACTCTACCACTTCAACGTGACCGTACTTGCTGTTCAGGAATGTTAATGCGAGCAAGTGCTGCAAAGCCGGCTACAGGGCTTGGGTAGGTACCGGGAAGCACAGTCTCCTCCATCGAGCCCACAGAAAAGAATCGGAACCTGAGGTGATGTTCTTCGGCCTGCAGACGCGGGTTCTCGGTACGTGTCCTGGCCGAGAGATGCTAGCACATTTTCCAGGACCTCAACCCTGGCTCTGTATATTAAATTATGACACTTGTCAATTGCCAAGAGCTCGCAAATTGAAGTGGCAACCAGCTATTGTAGGTGACAGCATGCCAGAGCGTCGCTCCCGTTGGAAGACCTCTGAAATTGCCGTACATAGGAAAAGGTGGCGGTAAGCTGCGCATCTCTCAGAAATGAGTATTGTCTTCTTGTGGCTCCCATATGGCCTTAGGGCCGTCTTCGGTCATTCCAGGCCAGCGCGTCGAGATCTCGCTGGGCCCGGGTGGCGCGACTGCAGGGTTTGTGCGGGAACTGTTTTTTTTTGCATCCGGATTTGTGAGCCTGCCTGGTACGGCATCATGTTTGACTGCTCATCCATTCATCCTAGTCGAGCGCGTGTTTCTGCTTGAGCACACGGAGCTCCCAGGTGGCCTGCCGCGCTTTGCATGCTACTCCGCTTGGCTCCTGCAGCTGAACGGTTATCACACATGCTTTATGTGGAGCAGGGCATCCCATGACGGCAGGATCGAACATCTTTACAGTGCATGCATAACGAAAGACCCGGACGCGCTTCCTCGTAGCGGAAGTAGGATTGTCAAAAGTTGTGATGCTAAAGAGTTGGATGATTCTGATACAGAATCAAGAAGCTGCGTCGCTACAGCTACCAGGCAGAGGTAAGAAGCTTTGGAACTTGGTCAGAATGTGATGGACTGGGGCAGTGAACAGAGGTTGGAGGGGTTGCCCGTTGAGACATCAAACCTCCATAAGCAAAACGACGACGGGACATACCTCCAAGACAGGCCGTTTACATGTCTCTTCAAGCCTGTTTTATTTACATTGATGCCATCCTAGTCCGCAGCACCAAGACTTACATGGCACCGTTTGGCTGTTTGTCTGTCGAAGTACGGACGCCGGCAAGACTCCAAGTTTCACTTCAGGCATTGCTGCTGGGGTGCTGCTCGGTACCCCTTCCAGAGGACCGGGAACCCTGGTCGGGGCACCCAAAAGCTTGTGGGCAAAGCTTGCGTCGGATCTTTCGTCTTGGGACTGTTTAATTGTGCATGCATGGGCTCCAGTGCTTCTATCACGTGTGGGGCCGCAGCAAGGATTTGGCTACGGCTACATAGCTGATTGTAATTCCATGTTGATTCAGTTTACAGCAAGATGTGTTCGTCGATCCTTGTGAGGGCAGTCTTGTAGAAAGGGCGATAAACAAGGATCCCGTCGACATGTCTTCGTCGACCTTTCGCCAGAGTACAAAGAGTCGCATGAGTCGTGAGGGTGCCAAGAATTCCCGTGGAGCATCGTTGGAGTGTATGTGCACGCGAAGGTTTCTGAAGCTGAGCTGATGCACGCGATCTACTTGCCTATCTGCCAACCTTAGCTAGCACCTCTACGTGCGCGTTCGGACACATCTGACTGTCTATCCTTTTGCCAGTCGCATGCATATCTCTCGAATCCATGCATGGTTCGTATACGTAAGAACTTGTCTTTCTTCGACTCATGAGGACCGGCGCTTTCGTGAATTCACGTACGCGCATGCATCAGTGGGGTAAATTTATAGTCGTAGGGAACTACTGCACCCTGCATGGCACTGAAACAGAGCAGATGATGCTCGTTGCGGCACGTTCTGCTAACTGCCTTACTCTCCCTAATGGAAGTGTCTACCATTCAGAGGCACTGCTTCATGTTATCCTTGACAGGCAGTCGCATGTCGGCTTCCCTGGTGGTTCTAGTTGCGCATCCCACACAGCTGTGAGAAAGTTTCAGGGCAGGTGTTGGCCATCTGCCCCACTGACGCTGAACTGGAAGTGGCCTTGACCTCATGCATCACCAAGACATGATCATTTCCCGAACCTCCTTTACTGGCAAGCGGAAACCTGTAGAAGCGCCGGGGGAGATGGCAAGTCTGACGTTGCAAGGCAGCGCCTGGGACGGCCGGCTGGCCGCGCAGTTCTGCAAGACTTCGCCGCGCCCACCCGCGTGGCCTTTGGCGCTGCTGAGGTTCCCTGTCCCGACTGTCTGAAGGTCTCCGAAATGCCTTCGAAGTGGAAGGGCCTGCTGGCGATCTGACCTTGGTGTACCCAATCTGACCCGAACGCAGTCCTCATTCTTGCAACTTGCTCCCCACATCGTCATCCATCTGCATGGATTTCTGCGTGTAGCTGGCTCTGCATGCGGACCCTCGCTATCAAAGGTGTGCATCCTCAAGTTCAGCTGCCGTCACTCGGGCGAGTCTTGCAAGCTGTTTTCATGCCAACAGCTTACCGTCGGTTTCTCCACTGTTGCTTGATAGCTCTTTCGAGAACACCTTGCGCAGCGACCGAAATATCAGAATGAAAAATAAACCCTCCATTTCTCCGAGCACTGCCAGACCAGCTGTCTTGCAGAAGAATATCCTGTCTTCAAGCTTCCCAAACTGTCAGACGCGAGTCATTAGCGTAAACGGGGCGAGCAAACCGATCGAGGGCTTCCCCGGGCAAGCTCGATGTCGGGTGGCCATCAGCTCGAAACTGAAGCGTGAGAGCCAGGTGCCCCTGATCTCAGACCTTCGGAGTGGTTGAGAGCCTCACTTTTGAGCAGCTTGGCTGTTGTTGTTTTTTGCACGGGGGTTGCAGGGTGGTAGGCTGGCCAACGAACCTCGGGGCTCTGCGTAAGCGCGCTTTGGCATTTCACCTGCCGGCATCGTAGTCGCGTGGTAGTAAAGGTCTGCTTCAAAGAAGGTGTGAAAGCCGTTTGAAATGGGTTACTCGAGCGAGAGAGTCTTGGGGTTGCCCAACTGTCTGGACAGCCCCCGGACCATCTAACAGGAACAACGAGAGAAGCCGAAGCCCTAGACAGAGCAGGCGCTGTGCTGATCCTGATGCCACTGCACTTCGGCATCACCATCTACCGACTGGCTGCGAATTCACATTTCCGGGCTACTAAGCTCAACCGAGACGGGTTGCAATGCTCTCAGGTTCGAGATGCTTTTGGGCTCCGTTGAGCACAAGCGACATATCATGTAGGATATTGGCGCAGGTACAACTTGTCAATTTTCGCTGAACTTTGCAGGGTGGCAAGACTAAGTTTTTGCGTGGCTTCAGTGACTTAGCGCAGTGAAGGACGCACATCATCAGCATCCTTCGTATCCTCTTTCCAAATCTTTCTGTTGGAATCCACAGCAGGCGCCGCAGTTCAACCCAGCGGATTTAGACACGCGCAGGACAAGCATCATCAGCATCAGCCGGATGTTTTGTTTTCTGTCGCTCTCTGTCCTTCTAACGTCCAGCAAGTGCAGCAGTTCGACCCGGTGATTGCATGGATCTAGCAAGGAGCAGGACGAGCATCATCAGCATCAGTTAGATGTCCTTTGAAGCTCTCTCTCCGATCTCGCGTTCTTGCAGCCCACAGCAAGTCAGCAGTTCGACCCGGTGACTGCATGGATCTAGCAAGGAGCAGGACGAGCATCATGAGCATCAGCTGGATTTCCTTTCAAGCTCTCTCTCTCTCTCTCCGATCTCGCGGTCTTGGAACCCAAAGCAAGTGCAGCAGTTCGACCCAGTGATTGGAGGGATTCAGCAAGGAGCAGGAAGAGCATCATCAGCATCAGTTGGATTTCCTTTGAAGCTCTCTCTCCGATTTCGCGTTCTTGCAACCCACAGCAAGTTAGCAGTTCGTCCCGGTGATTGGATGGAGGGAGCAGGACGAGCATCATGAGCATCAGCTGGATTTCCTTTCAAGCTCTCTCTCTCTCTCTCTCCCCGATTTCGCGCTCTTGGAACCCACAGCAAGTGCAGCACTTCGACTCAGTGATTGGAGGGATCGACCCCCAGTGATTGGAGGGACTTATCTGGGAGCTGGACGAGCATCATGAGCATCACCTGGCATCTTTCCAGACTTAGATATCCAGGCCTGTGGCATGAGAACCGATGCCTGCAGGGCGAGCATCATAAGCATCGGCTTCGAGCGTCCGAAGTTTTGAAGCCACAGAAGGGTGTGGCAGTTCGACCCATTCAGTGGCGAGATTCAGCTCGCCGCAGGGCGAGCATCATCAGCATCGGTTGGAGTTTATCCAATCATCTTTCTTCGTTAGCTGGATATCTTGTTCCAGTCTTGCTGGCGGTCTTAGTCCCATCTCTCTGAGAGCCCACTATTGAAAGTTCTACAAGTCCTTTCAAAACCGGACCGGCAGCTGTACTGAGGATGGCACAGTGGACAAAGAGCTCTGCAGCCAGATCGAAGCCAAACGCAAGGCCGCTTCATGACTCCTCCTTCCCTCAACGCGGCGCTGTGGTTGCCCGGTTTCGGGTCCCTAGTTGTGGACATGACAGAGCTTTGGCAGTGTTGTCGGGTGGAAGGTGCCTTTCGTACAGGGCATTGCCAGTTCGTATGAAAGGTGTTACCTGCCACCGTAATGTTGGAGCCCTCCACACTGTTAGCCGTCCCTTGTCGAACTCAGTGGTCCCTGTTGCACCGTTCACACTTCCTGCAAAGTCATCGCACTTCATGCTATGATGGGTTGAAACAGTCTCCTGACTGCTTCTTCATAGCTGGTGTTTCAGCTTCCCGGACTCTGGCGAAAGCCAGCTCCTCATGGAGAGAAGAATGCATGAACATGTCCTATTTAGGCCACTGCGGCCACAGGTAGTGTCGAAAGGGCTCCCATCCACGGCGTTCAGTTGCTTGCCTAAGTGGCAACTGCCTCACGGACTCAGCCGGAGACTCATCCCTCATGCTCGGCAGCAGACTTGCAACGGCCAGGAGATCGAAGACTTTGCAGCGCACTGTGAGCAACACCCACACGAGTACGAGCTCCTGGCAGTGGAGGACCCGGGATGAGGAAGGGATTCTGAGTCAGCCGTGACTCAGTTGCTGACAGTGGGACGTCTGACCATAATCCACCCTGCGAATGTCTATGTATATCTATGGATGAGAGAGAGAGCGAGAGAGAGAGAGAGAGAGAGAGAGAGTAGAACGAGAGGGGGGTGCACCCCTGCAAAATCGTTTGATGCTCCGCTTGTTTGACTTTTTGAGGTAGCCGGAGGGGTGAACCCCAACGCTCGAACCCCACTCTTCGGACTTCAGGTTTCTTTGTCTTCAGTAGGTTCCGAGGTTTCCCTGCCCCCCCTTTCTTTGTTCACCTGTCCCCCAGGGGTGGTTTCGTAGTTTCGGTCTCACTCAATCTGGGCCCTGAGTAATTGCTTTGGGTGCTCTGCTTTCGTACTTTCACCAACCTACAGTGCCTTGCTTTCAATCGGTACCTATAGGGCCCGGCATTACACCAGTCTGAAACACGGTTTCGAGGGGCGCCCCTGTCTGTCTGTCTGTCTGTCTTTTGTTTGGTGATGAGTTGTTCAGTTGCTTCTCGGCGGCGGAAGCTGACAGGGGTTAGCCCTTGCAGCCAATCTCAGTGACATCGAAGGCCTGGGCAATGACCCACTCGAGGAATGAGTTATTGTGACGGCTTTGCGATGCTTATAATTTCCTTGGTGTTTTGAGCGACGTTTCCGCAACTTCCTCGAGTAGCCTTGATGTTGGAAGTGCTTTTCGTTGTGCCTCTCCGCAACAGGCGGGGGCGCTTGACGCGCGCGGGTGAGGGGAGCTCCTCCCCTCTCCCTCAGCCCTTGAGAAAGAAAGAGAGAGAGAGATAGAGAGAGAGAGAGAGAGAGAGAAAGTTCGGGGTTCCTGGCCGGGGGACTCCATCGAATACAGGTCGCAGGCAGTGTGGGGGATCAAGTTTCAGTTCGGGATGAAGGCAGGGTCAGGCTGGACAGCCGGGGGTTACCAGTGACTGTAGAGAACAGTTTCACGGAAGCTCCTGGGGAGCACTCAACTTTAGCGGACTGTTACGCTACTTGGGGCCTTGAAGTTTACCTGCCCCCACGGTGCTCTTGACTGTGTGGAAGAAGAGAGGGAGGGGGGCTTGCATCGATGCCTTTTTCCGGGAACCGAGCAACCATGTCTTTCTTCTAGCCAAAATGATGAACAAGCCCTCTGTTCACAAACTCTGTGTCTCCTGAGAAAGATGGGCCTTTCCTTGCACACCGGGGCTTTGGAGAAGAGTGATTGAACAGCGCATCCACGCCCATGTCCCTTGCAGCCGCAACAGAATGTAACCTCTGCAGCAGCCTACCCTGGTGATGGTCTCGAAATATGTCCAATTCAGGGAGGTTCAGAGGCTTTGGGCTGAAGATGACTGCTGGAGCTTCGAGCCAGGATCCTGCGTCGGACCTCGAGGGCCAAAACAAAACGCAGGCCGAGCGGGGGCCCTGATGCCTCCAAAGGCGCTCCCTGCGCTTCCCAGCTTTGCGGCTCTGACTCTCAGCTGCTCGAGTTCTGGCACCTTCGGATGATGCCGGAGGGAGCACCACTTGCGGACAAAGCTCTGCTGTACAGCGCTTGACAGCCCTGCTCTGTGGCGAGGAGTGGAGCACTGATCGCTTCTTCATCTAGACTGTTGGGTAAGAAGTCGCATGGTACAGGATCTCTCTGGGACACGTGTACGCCGAGATGTTGGAGGATGCACAGGCGACTAGAGTCAAATAGAGTCAAAATGGAACAGAAGGTAGAGGTGAGCTCTGAGCTTTCGATGCTCCACGATGCGACCGGGCGTTGGCAGGCAAGCCTTGCATGTCACCAATAACACGCAGCATTTTCTGAGGAATTTCTCAGATCCGGTCGCGCACCACTTCCTAATGGAAAGGCGGAAATAGAGTAATGCACGCTGCTTAGCGTTCATTTTGTTGCATCAGATCTCAGCTTGAGTCCTACTCCTACTGCGCCTGTGGCTGCTGATGGGTTCTTCTTGCGTGCTTGTGACGATAGGCCTCTTGTCAGGACGGAGCTGAAGCTAGAAGGGATACACGGAGGCGACAGGTTCGTGGAAATGGCAAAGGCTCTGAGACGACCAAGCACCGTAATTACAATGATTTCTGTCCGTCCCAACCGCTTGAGCCTCCACCATCCCTACGTTGGCAGCAATTCAAATCGAAGTCGCATCTGCCCGTGCGGCATGGCGAGTCTGTTAGGCCTGTTCAGCTGTGCAAATGAGTTGACTAAACTCTAGACAGCCCCCGGTTGACGCCACCTTCGCGCTGCCTCCTTCCTAGCCGTTCAAGTACCTTCATTGCTGTTACGTCACTGAAGCCACTTTGTCGTGCATGGCGTCTCTCGCGCTTCGGTGGGGTCATTTGGCTCAGCGCTGGTTCTTAGTTGATAAGAATGACGAGCCAGGATGTTCCCGCAGACACGGAGGCATGTGCCACTCAGATTTGCGAGCCCCTCATGATAAGCAAATTGGAGGGCTCCGGGTGTAGATTCAGGGCCTGACTGCTGCCCGAGCCATGAGCCATGCCACTTCGTCCGCGGTGGACAACCTCCTAGCTGTCGCAGGTGGCAAGCCGCTCGGACAGAGACATCGAAAACAACTTGCACCATTTCAATCGTCACATCGTCTTGCGGTCTTTTGTGCGCCATTTCTCTGGGTTTCGGTCGGGCCACAAGACATGGCGACAAGCATACCGCTGGCCGCTGGCCCCAGGAAGGGCAGAACCAGAGATGCAAGGCAAAGCTGGTGCGAGGCAGCTCATCGCCGCAAAACAGTCTGTGCTTTCGCCTTCGTCCCAAACCAGGCTCAAGCCAAATGTTTTCCAAATGAGATTGAGAGTGCCCAACCCCCCCCCCCCCACACCAGTCCCTCGGTACGGATGGATGCTATTGGAGGTTCGCAAAGTTGCGAATCATGCAGAAACTCTTCTGTGGCTTTTTCCGATGATGTCATAGATTCGAGAAATCCCAGCCGCACGCCGATGAAAAGCCAACGAAGTAGATGTTGATGAAGGGTCTTGTTGTCCGGACGTAAACCCCTTAGATTCCAGCACAGGCATGTAGAATGTAGACAGCACAACGTCGGTGTTTTGGTGTGGGTGCCTTTGTAATGGGGTGTTTAAGTGCTTAAGTATAGGCATTTCAGAGCATGTCTAGGCTTGCGTTCAGATCTACCTGCCCAAGCTCAGGCTTCAAAGCTTGTGCGACGAAGTCTCACGGCAGGCAGGCCTTTTGAATCTTGATAAGCCTTAATGCCTCAGGGCTCCTTTGAAGTGGGCCCCAGAGCTGCAGTAACGCACCGCCGGCACCGCCTCAACTTTTTACAAATAAAGGCCTCCCCCCTGTTGTGTGCAAAGACAGATTCAATATGAGAAAGAGGCGCGTGCTCGTCTCGCTTGTCAGGTGGCCGAGGAGCTCTCGAGGGCCTCCGCCGAGCTCGTGTCTCAGGCCGTGCCGCGGGTGGGGGCCGTGGTGGAGTAGGGTAGCATGCACCTTACCGTTATGGTTCGATTCGATTTCTGAGGGTTGGAAGCGGCATGATGAAATCAAGCCCGCCTGCACTGTTTGAAAGACAGGGTGTCCGGAGCGTAGGAGGCCCGAGAAGAAAATCTCGAGCGCAGCGCAGCAGAGCATATTATGCAAGCAGCAACGATGCGGACATGATGCTTTCTGTCTGTGAGTAGGAACTGTGCCAAGATAACCCGGATTTCAGAGAGGTGGCTGCGCCTGAAAACGTCTCAAGGATCATGGATGAATATATACACGTTCAAGCACCAAAAGTTACTGTAGGGTTCTCGACCTCTCAGACTTCAATAGCTGAAACGATTCTGCAGCTTCGTTTAGGACAGCACATGCTTAGTTGCTGGATTTCCCAGGAGAAGCATGTGCCCTGCAGGTCGAGCGTAAGCTTGCAGGTGCCTCGCAGATTCCAAGACAACAGGCCGGGCGGGTCCTGAAGGGCAATTTCCCCGCCAGGTGCCACCGCTCGAAGGAATGAGACTTCCTAAGGACGCACGACAAAGCCCCCTCGGGTGTGGAGTATGACTGGAGATGGACGTTTTGAGGCAGTTTCTAATGCTTACTTGAATGTCTACTTTCGCTGTACTTCGATTGTAGGCTCCACTCGGTTCAGTGAGTCCTCTAAGGCCTGTGGGATACAAGTCTCCCGCCCATTCCGGATTCCTCAAGTGTGGAAACACTACTCCGCAACCCCGGAATCTAAACCCTTGACAAGTTGGCTCTCATCTTACCAAGTGGATCGCATGAGATTGCGCAAAAACCAAGCTAAGTAAAGCACAGTTCCCAAATCCCAACAAAGCCCAGACTCCTTGCAGCGAGCCCTGTCCAGTCGCTGGTCGCTTGGGCGGAGACCGACGATGGCCGGAACACGCCCAAGAAGACAACCGGGTGAGCCCAGCCATTTCCATTCCTTTCATGTAGGGGCTCAGGGCTGCTGGCTCTTGGACATCTGGGGTGGCAGATCACAAGTAAGTCAAACCGGCCTGACATTCTCCTAGTTTGGCTGTTCGTTGCTCTTCGCTCTTTGAGGATGGAAATAGGCAGACCTGTCGCGTGCTGGATTGGAACTTCCCCGACAGGTTCGTTCCCCATGCTTGGACGGAGAGGCACATGCGGACAGATCATTCAAGCAAGCTTTTGGAGGACGGTCTGAGCCCAGACACTGGGTACAAAATTCTAGGCGTCCAGGGCACGGCGACGGTCCGAGTGTTGTCTTGTCTGCGCTGACGTGCTGTCCATGGACTGCAACTGAATGTGACTCTGTCGGAGAGGAGATCCAAGAGTCCTTCGCAGAGTTGTGGTACGGACCAGGCGCAAAAGCTTTCCGAGCATCGCATCAATGCTCAGCGATTAGTAGTGGTGCTGGTGCTGGTGTTGCTGCTAGTTGTGTGGAAGCGTCTGGTTCGTGAGTAAGCCGCGAATAAGCGTTGTCGCTGTTGCTAAGGGTGCCTCATGGCTCACAGAATCATGCTTACTGCGCAACGAACAACTGGCACGATTGCGTCCCTGCTCCTGCCGTCATTCTGCGCCATAGTGAAGCATTGTACGGGAAGAAATTGCACCGGTGCCAGTGACTAGCATTGCATCTTCTCCTGCTGCTAAGCTGATGACTGAGCGTGAGAGTGAGAGAGAGAGAGAGAGAGACAGCGAGACGTTCAACCAAAATGGTAGATGGGGCCGCTCTGACGAGCAGGAGGTAGGGACTGCCTGCCTCCCATGCCCCGGATCAAAGCAAAGAGCGATACGTGTCACCCTCCTGCCTGAGATGAAGAAGAGACACGTATTTGAGAAGTCTGACACGCCCCTAAGCCTGAGAAACAAGAGACCAGCAACATTTCTGGAACTGCAGGGCAAGCCCAGGTACTGCGCAGTCTTGGACCCAAGTGCGGCAGCCGACAGAGCCCGTAACCAGGAAACAAGGCATGCGTTTATTGCAGCTTTCTGCTGGCTGGAGGCCCTAGCAAGCGCAGTTTGCAGTAAGCGCGCAGCCGAAGAAAAACAAGGCACGTGGGCGCGGAGGGTGGTTGGGTGGGGGCGTGGCGGGTGTACGGACAAAAGTAAGATTTTTTGTGGGCATGCGGCAGGGTGGTGGGGAGGGAGCGAGATGGTTGCTCCAAGCGCCGACGGTTGGGTCACCGGATGCAATGCAGGGGAATCACAGCGAATCATACCCGTTTCTTCGACTTCTGCCGCGACCAGGGCAACCACGGCCATAGGCCAGCACGACTATCCTAGCTACTGCCGCGTCTACTACGATGGGGCATACAGCATCACTAAGAATAGCGACGGTGGCATTACTGCTGCGACTTCTGCCGCCGCCCTTTTGGGGTTTCTCTGCAGGCCACAGCGAGAAGTCCGTTTTCCCGTCGGATCAGGTCGACCCCCAAGGCCAGGGAAAGCTTTCACCAACGTCTGCTTCCAGGTTCTTCGTTGTCTAGGTTGGGTTCTGCTCGACATACAGCCATAAGCACGTTCAAGAAGTCTTGAAAGATGCTGACCACGACTGTCGTGGCGCGAGCTTCTTTCTTGATAATAAGGTGGCCACTTGGCCCCTAGTTTTGCAGACCCGGATCTCGATCTTGGTTTTAGGTCTTCAAGCTCTCCGGCTCCAGCTTGGGAAAGTGCATCCTTTTGACATGTGTTTTTCTCCTGTCAGGCGCCGAAAGCTCGTCGACCCTGGTTCAGGCTGCAAACACAGGGCTGAATGGGATGCATCCGGGTTATAGGCGCTTTTGGACTCGGACTTTTGTCAAGAAGATGCCTTGAGGTACGTCCTACTTGTAAACTAGCTGCTAGCTAGCTCAAACTCTTTCTGCGTTGGCTTGACTCACAGCGTCGGTGCGCGCTCCTCGTGCTGGCAGCCAACCAAGACTCGGAAACCGCAGACTTCTCCTTTGCCGTGTTCTTGGGCGGAGGCGATGTCGGAGGACTCTACGACGCAAGCGCGAGGCCTGCCCTCAGGTCTGAGGTAAGGAATTCGTGATCAGAGAATCAGAATGAAAAACGGGCCTTTGCCCCAGCTGCCAGTCGACTTCTGCGATTGAGGAACTTGGCCTCTCGCAGGGTATGCATAGTTCTACATGACTGCACCAATAGATTGCAGAACTGTGGCACTGCATGGTGGTACTGGCTTTACACTGCTTGTGGCAATTGAATATGGCCCCAGGAAGTGCTTTAGTCTGCAGGACGGGATGACAATGACAGGGACTGAAAATCACAGCGAGAAGTGCAATAGGACTTTCGTCCGTTGACACTGGAGCCCTACCGGGCAGGTGAGAAATCCCCCGCAGTCTCAGCACCGCGAGCCAAATCGCGGTCAGGAGCCGAAGACCTGTTGCGTTGTAGTTGCGGAATGAGGAAGGGAAGCTTGAGAAGCCCTACGTGTCAGACAGTCTGCTGCTTCATTCTACTGCAGATCTGACCGGCTTCTGCTGGTGTCTCACGGAGATAGCGTCAAGCATCGTTGCATGTCGAAAACTTGTTTTGGCTTGCCGTCATCTTCAGCTGGGGTATTCGGCTTTGGTGGTGAGCCTCTCCTTTGGCCTTCGCCGCAGGAAACTTCGCAGATCATGTCTTCGGCATGATCCCGAACACGGACGACAAAGCCTCTCGGAGCCGAAGCCCAGCAGACTCCGACCATCTCTGAAGCCCCCCTTGGAGCACCTTGCACCGGACGCGGCTGTGTCTAAACTCAGGTCTACCACTCCAGAGCGCCTCGAGTCCCCGTCCCCGTCACCTCTTTCCTCCCTTGCTCTTGTTTGCATGGAGAGCACCCCGAAACCGATCGAGCAGAGCAAAAGAAGCTTGGCTGAGCCAAGGCTCTTCCTTCGACTCACGGCCTCTTGCCAGACATGGCCGTCAGATTTTGCTTCAACAAGAGAAGAGAGTTCGCCAAAAACTGCAGCATGCCCTTTTACATGGCGGAAGTTTTTTTGACTATCTGCACATCATACAGGTTACGACGCCAGACAACGAGACATGCGTGTGGTATACTTTACTTTATATTGTTGAAGTCGATGTAGGGAACATGCGTGCGTGCAATAGGAAGACTTTCCGTTAAAGTTGTTGGTGGCATTGTCTTGGCCATGGTCACTGCCAGGTTGCTGTCGGAAGAGGCTGCGGCGGCTCGTTCAGAATCCATGGTCGCTTGACCGCAAGTAGAAGCAACCATTCTCTCAAACTTCGCCGAGACAGGACCTCTCGGAGTTACCGAGTCGTTTCGGATGTGTTTGGTAACGGGACGCAGCGGCATACCGACCGCTCCGGCAGCCGTTGCCGTTGGCTCGGGTGGAATGGACAGACCCAGGTGTTGCAAACCTTTTATTTCAATGTGAGCAGAAGCCTACCAGGCTGACTTGATATGTTGCTGTATCCAGAGCTGCGATATGCTGCTGATGGATGATGCCAGTCGTGTTTAAATCCGACTCATATGAACAGAGTAGAGTGACTTTGACAGGGGATAGCCGCAGAGACCGAGAGCAACCGCATGTCACAGGTCAGGGGATATCTAATCATGATAAATCGGAATTACTCATGTCCGGCAACCAGGTAAGTTGAAAGCCGTCAGTTGAAAACTCAGAGTTCGTCGACAACCTCAAACCGGGCCCAGCGTTTGGCATAGTGCAACGGAGCAGGGCGGCGAATGCAGAAGTTTCATTTCCTGATTGCGGGCATCCCGCTGTCTCCGCTGCACAACTCGATTTCAATCGGACAGGAGCTTTGTCTGCGCGGTCACAATGTTACAGTCTTTAGCTTTGCAGACAGAGGACGGAAGAAAGTGGAGAAGTATTCTCCGAGATGCAAATTAGGCTATGTGGATTTGGGCCCATTGCCTGTGAGTGAGGAGCAGGAAGAGCGAGTGATGCTCACAGGACTGTCTACCAATAGTACAAGGAAGCAGGTGAGCTACATCATGAACGACATCATGCTGCCATACAACGAAGCCCTGACCGATGCAATGGAAGCATATTTCAATGATTCCCCAGCGAAATTTCACTACGCTTTGCTGGGGATGCCGTTTGGGCAAACCGGACTCATGTTGAGAAAGCACCAGATAGACTTCGCTGTGAACATTCCGACGATCCTGGTTCCTCCACTAGTTCCGTGGGCCGCTAAATATGTGCCCATTCCTTTCTACCATGTGAGTGTGCACAACATGACTTTCTTGGACAGGGTGTTTGTGCTTGGCGGCAACGTGCTCATCAATTTCGTCCGTGCCTACGCCTACTCAGTCGGATTCAAGTTCAGCCTTGTGCCGGAGATGGATTGGGACCTTTGGAGCGGACGTCTCGTCCTCGTGAACACCATTCCTGGTATGGACATCACCCAACCGCTGCCACCTCTGGTACAATACACTGGGCCGGTCGTGGACGTGAAGAAGATGGAGCCCTTCTCAGAGGATGTTGAGCAGTGGCTGGAGGAGGTGCCTCCGGATATGCCCGTGGTCTACGTCAGCTTCGGAACTGTTGTGAGACTCACACCCGATCGGGCCAGAGCGATGTTGGCAAGCCTCACTTCGTCGGAGTACTACACCTTGTGGGCCTTACCGAAACCCCAGCAGGAGGGCTTGCCAGGTATTCCAAGCACCGTCAAGATTCATCATTGGGTGCCAACTGCCAGAGCGCTCGCACATCCCAAAGTCAAGGCTTTCGTTTCGCACTGTGGAGGCAACTCGGCTACGGAGTCCATGGCTATGGGCGTGCCATTAGTCGGCTACCCGCAAGGGGGGGATCAGCCAGCAGTTTGCCAACGCATTGCAGATGCTGGTGCAGGCATCTCAGGCCCTCCTGGCGGCTGGGTGCAGGCTGCGGATGTCTTGCATGTCTTGAACACGGACCGCTACGCCGAAAAAGCCGCGGCCCTGTCTCGGCTCTTGGGAAGCTTCGGAGGAGTGTCGCGTGCTGTCGATTTGCTGGAACTCGCCGTGCACGGCGACCTGAAGCTGCTGGAAACCCCTTTGGAGCGCACCAAAAGCTCACAATTCCTTCTACGAGGCTATGACCTCATGATCTATATGAATCTCTTTGTCTTTATGCTTGCATGCTGCTGCATGCGGTGTTGCAGCGGAAGACTGCGTCGACCTAAGGAGAAGGTGCAATGAGATGGGATCAAGCCGCCCTTCGGAAGCCGAATAGCTGTCGAAGCTGTTCAGTCAAAGGAGTCAAAGTGATCTCCCCTAGACGTGTCACAGCAGTGGCTTTGCCCGCTTTCAGTGGAGAAGTTTAAGGAGGCGCCTGAGGCGTCTGTGGCGATTACAGCATCAGGTGATATGTTACTTTGAGAAGACAGAGACTGTGCGGACGGACTCGGCTTGAAGGTTGATTTGAGGGAAATTGGGCCCATCACATGTTTAAATGCAATACTGTATCCAAGGCAGAAGTGTAGGATGATCCTTTTCCAAAGCTGCGTTCCACAAGACTGAACACCCAAGTCTACATGCGTGCCCCTGCAGTGTTGGACAATCTGTATCCCAAGCCGCAGGCATACGCATGATGTAGAAATATGTAGAGTCCACAGTCGTCGTCTTGCGCCGTGCTGCGGCTGGTGTGTGCTAGACGGGTTCTAAATTTCGCTTGGGCATTGGCTATCGTTTTTTGTTGCATCTTCAGCATCTTCGAGGCAGGACTCGCTGAGCAGCTACTTGTACCGTATCCTTCTGTCCATCCCAATCCCCATGGCATCGCAGTGGGAAGTCCGATACGCTCAGCCTGGAGCTTGATGGCTTGGCTTTCGGAGCTATTACGTTTCGTGAACGCGAGCTAATCTAAGAGCGCCATGGAGCACCTTACCTGATATCGAGTCAGACAGACCCGTCGGCAACCTCCAGGCTGGTCAGTCCGGTTGCACCACAGGTTCGACTGCTTCATCATGGGCATGATCCTGGTCCACACGCTGTCTATTGGCCCGGCTCCTACCGCACGGCCTGAGAGTCCAAGGGTACATGTACAAGAGGATCCATCGTGGAGTCCCCTCAATGTCTGGGCTGTTGCTTCCGAACTTCTGGATACTGTCGAAGCCTGAGGTGCCCAGATCAATCACTTGGCAGCTATGGAGAGGACGGATGGCGGAAGGCCTCAAGAGATGCAAGGAGTTAGACTCAGTTAGACTAGACTTTGCAGGGGACAGGTGCCGTATGGATTTCCCAAGCTTCCCTGTTGGAAATGTCTGAGTAAGCCACTCTTTAGGGAATCTGTGCCTTTGCAGAACAAGAGGTGTCAACCGGTCAACCATGACGACAAGCTTCGTCTGTAGCACTCCGAAGAACGAATTCGGATGACATCTCAACATCCTTGCCTGATTTCCGAAGTCATGCAACATTCTGCGTATGCTGCTTGGAACATGGGAGTATGCTATGGGAAACGACGCTGCAGCAGCAGGTACCAAGCTGGTGAAGCAAGCTTCGACAAAGCTCCGAAGATCAGTTCCTGGAACCGGGGATCAATGACTAACCCACACTTCCATTGCCATGGGCTCTTCGAGATGTCCCCTGCTGTTGTGCTTATCCGTGAGCAGCATCAAAGATAACCTCGTCTATCGTTTGTATGCATGTACCATGAGTCTTGGTAAAGGTGATTATGAAACTGATACCCACTGCAGGCCTCGGTATGTACGTGCGTATGTATGCCAATGTATGTATGCATGTATGTGTGTGTATATATATATATATATATGTATGTGTGTGCGTGCTTGTAGGGCGGAATTAATGAATGAATGGATGCATGAAATGATTGAATGTGTGCTCATGCGTGCATGCACGCATACATAATTACAGATGTATATGACCTAGTATATGATATATACACACACACACGTATGCCTACACGCATGCATGCTTAAGTGCATACATGCATGCATGCATACATTCATATTTGTTTCGGCAAGTATGTCATCCAGATCTACATCTAGCTGTACATTTGCACGTACATCCGCGCATACATATGCACGTATGTATACAAATCCTGTTGCATGTATACATAAATATATGCATGCATGCATACATAGATGCCTGAATACTTGCATCATGCACACACATACACACCCACAGACCTGAAGACAACTCTGTCACGTACCCATGTTGCTCAAGGCTGTTGGACAGGAAGTAAGTGCAACGTTGCAAGTTTCCAACACGCAAGCGGCCCAAGCACCTGAGTGTGACGTTTGATTGCTAGTTGGGCCAGGTTCTGGCGCTCGATCGACTTCTTCTTCTGCGTCTTCTTCGCCACAGAGGCGAACTGGGCAGAAACAGGTGGTTGCACATAGGTGGCACTCGACACTATGTAAGGAGACCCAGTTCTGTGGCGGCAACACTGAAGCAAGACCCAAGAAGGCCTTCCATCCCTTCCACTATTGTCTTCGCAGGTCAGCATCAAGCTGTACGTCTACCGGTGTCTCGCCACTTTTACTGTTGCACGAAAGTTCTATGGGCGGGATTCTCTGCTTGGGGTCTGAGCGTACATGCCCCGTGGGCTGATGGTTCTCGCTTGCTCGTTGTGCCTTGGCCGAACGTTTCACGATGTGAAGCTCACACGACGCTCAAACGACACCGAAGAATGAGCCGGGCTGGCTAAGGCTACGGTTCTTCACCATGCATGCCTGTGCGCCGCTTTCCTGCAATTTGTGACTCACTATCAAACGCCCCACCATGTCAGACTGATCCTGGCTTCGAAGCGGTACCGAGCGAGCGGCAGCCACAGCCTTCCGAACTTATGCTCGTCATCAGAAAAATTCAGCATGAGGCCCTCAGTCCCCAGCCGAGCATGCTGCACAGCTCCAAAGAAAAGATGCAAGTGAAGTGCAACTGCCGCAGAAATATCAGGTGGAACATCATCGACCTGGTGCTCGCAATTCTGCAAATCGTGGAAGAGGTGATGGCCCTGGCTGCGTCTCGGCGAGCGAGGAGTCGAACACAAGCCAAGCTAAAGCCGCTGACTGAAGTACAGGTATGATATTATATTATACTATATTATATTATATTATATTATATTATATTATATTATATTAATCTGTGATGGCTGCTGTGGGACAGGGAGCCAGGCTCGGGGATACCTCAAGGCCTCAAGGCTTGAAGGTAACGGGGATGTTCTGTTTGGCTTGCAAGATGGTGAGCTGCAAAGCCCCTACTGCACGACGATCCGGGTTGAGCGGGTTGATATATGTGGATTCGTTAGCCAGCTCAGGATTCGTCTGAGGCGTGCTGTTGCCGAGGCTAGCATCACTGAGGAGCCCTATCAGAGCCTACGACTTGATTTGATGCGCCACCTGGCTGGCATGCTCAAGGTTCAGGTTCGCAATTTCGAGTCTGCGATCTGTGTCCGGTGTGTGCAAGTATGGCAAATTGTGGTCCATCGCAGTCTTGTGTGATGCAATCTGCTCTTGGCCCTGTGGGCCGTGTGTGAACAAGATTTGACCATTCGTGCAATCTTACAGCTCACCCTCCGCCTCCACTAGTCCCACGAGCCGAGCACCTGGCAACGAGGTGCTGTTCGCATGATGCGAGGCGTCAAGGCCTGCGAGAGAGACAGCTAGTGCAACGATGTCCATGATGTTGGCAGAGATAGGCAGGCTGGATGCAATGACTGCAGGTCAGACATCTCAACAACCAAGGGCCTCACCTCAAACGCCCAAGCCGCCAAGCGCCCATGCTGTGTTCTGGAGGTCCTTCGCCTGGTGAGGGCCGTTCGATATGCTGGCGACTTGCAGCTGATCGTACCCTCGACAGCACTCAGCCATGGATCGTCGAATTTCAACTCATGCCAGCTCAGGTCAGCTGCTTGATTCTGTCCCTTCGGACATTTCTTTGGAGTGTCCTCCTCCTGGTGATGACGATCTATGCGTGGAGCCCAAGCACATACACGCTGTGAGAAGTTTGAAGCGGTCGTTTTCGGCCTGCGACGAGACCAGGTCATGGCTATCTACATTACGCAAGCTTGCAACATCCGTCGATTTGAGAATCCGGATGCCGACGGGAATGACTTGCTGCAGTAGCCTGGCTGAAGGCGAAAGGTAGTGACTGGTAGTGCCAGCGGCCTCAGTCAGTTTTAGGGAAGGTCTGCAGGGAGTCTTCCTCTTTTGCCTCGTTTGGTCAAGCTGTCTGTGGTTGAGCTGTTTCATCAACGTCTTCATCACCTCGACAGTTTCGAAAAAGCAATGATGACAACTCGGATGGACCTGCTTACCGAGGAAATGGTGGGGTGACATCTTCATTAGCACTTCGGCGCATCTTTCTGCAGCGGTTTTGTTCTAATTGCATGCACACAGACAGAGCCATGTTGCCAGCATACTCTGGGAACTCTGGAAACTGTCAGCGCCTTTTGTTCAACTTGTGGCTGCCCTGGTGTGGAGTATTGAAATTGGGAAATCGATCGGATCGTCGCCGTGGTCGCGAAGGAGCTGGAAAGATCCCCCAGCAGGTCTCCAGCAATGAAGAGTCAACCGCCTCTGAAACAAAGCGAAGCATGCAGCTCCAAGTTCCGAGCCCGAAACGATGGAAGTTTGGTGGGGTCGGTCTGCGAAGCCAAGACCCCAGAACCTGTTCTGAAGCTTGGTGAGAGTTTCAGATGTGCTCGTGGGCCAAAAGCTGAGGCATGCTGTCTGTTTTTCAGGCCCTCAGTGGAGGAGACACGGCCAGGGAAGACGGGAGGGTTCCAGAAAAGGCAGTCGCTTCTACAAACGCACAGAGAGGTAAGGCAGGGCCACGGAGTTTGCCCGACCGAATTCACGCTCAACATCTCTGCTCCAGCTGCTTCTGTTCCAGGAGTGGACTGGAACGACGTTTACCAGCCCATCTTCAAGCCGCTTAGCAGCTTTATTCGACTTCCGAGTTCGAGTCGACGGGTCACCTCCCAGAATGGTGCAGAGCTACCTCTGACACGTCTTGACTTCACAGACAGCTTGGGCAGCTGTATCGATTTCGCCACCTGGGATCGGGCCGTGATTTGTCACAGGCAATAACATGATGGAGCTGTTTCAGAGGGCGGGGGGGAAAATGCACAAACGGAATCAAGCAGGCAACAGGGACTAGCAGAGCAGAGCAGCAAGAGAAGGTATGTCTCGCCGGCTCTGGCAGTCTTCTTGGTCGTGTACCTGGCATTCTGCTGCCTGGCCTTGAGTTGCATCTCATTTCTCACCTGCTGTCTCTGCCTGTGCCTAGCCTAACAACTGTGTATGACTTCCTCAATTCTAGGACTCAAAGCCACACGCACCGGCCATGAATGCTTTCTTGAGACAACAGCACGTACTTGTAGGACATGTACCCCTATCAGTTGCTGATCTTGGCGTACCGGTTGGAGAGGGAGTGCTCTCCTCAGCAAGCAGCGACTCGTCGCCTTTGAGGGCATGGCATCTGTGAAGATGGCTATGAGCTCCGCCATCCGCAAGAGTAAACCGCAGGGAAAGCAAAACAGTAATCTGAAACCCCAAAGCCTGAAGCTACTTCAGCACTCGAACGGGCAAAGTTTCCGGGCTTGCTGGCAAGAAGTGTGTTGCACGACATCAACGCAATGGTGTCTCACACTTAATTTATGAGTTGAGCCCATGTGTACCGTGTACCGAGTACGGTTAATGCGGTTCCGAGGCGCTGTCAGCAGAAGTGCTGGGAGTCGAGGGCAATACACCTCCAGACACGGGAAAAGCCCCAGCTTGAGGACCATACCCAGCAAGTATTCTGCGCCAGCATCCATGACATGACACCATTCTGCAGCGTTCCGCGAATCGGGTCTTCTCTCGAGGCTACATGGCGCTGCTGAACGTCATTACGGGGACCTTCGTCCTCGGGCTGCAAACCCTTGTCTCGGGTTTTCACTAGGCGTCGCCCGCGAGTCATAGCCCAAACAAGGGGACCTCTCGTCTGCTTCTCTATATTTCACTTATATATCTCCGCAAGTCCAGTCCTGTCCGGGTCCTCCTTAAGAGGTGTGTGGTCGGCGCCCCTTTGTTTGTGGCGACCTCAGCCTGCTCCGAAGGTGGAGACCGTGGGCCGCCAGGCCAGCGATTTGAAGATCCGCACGCAGAGCCTCGGCGGAAGAACCCCCTCAGAGTTGCCCCCACGTGCCCGCACGGGAATGCCATGCCATGGCATCAGAGAGGCTTGAGTTCTGTGCAGGATACTTCAGGCGCGGCGGCTGTTTCAGCAGATCGACGAAGACCACTCTGGCTTCATTTCACTGTCGGCCCTTTGGCTCTCAAGAATCGACTCGTAGGCCGTAGGCCCTAGGCTAGGCGGCTGTGACAAAAGATTCTGCCACAATTCTCGGAAAGCTCTGCATCAGGAGATCCAGAACCAGACTGCCACGGCCGCGGTCGTGGATTTCTTTGATTCATGGCTCTGACAGTGGGCCGCGGTGGCGCGCACATGTCTTCCAGCCAGAGCTTTGATGGTTACCAGCCCGGCGAACAGCTCGGACGGTAAGCAACCTCACGATGGGCACTGGCAGGAGTACGACTACTGTATCCGTATTGTCACTAGATTACGAGGAAGATGATGCGAATGATTGCGAACTGCCATTCACACCAATCGAAGTATTCTCAATGCCCAAAACTCACTGCATGAAATTGAGACCATCGACCCTGGAATCCGAAGCCGCTTCTCCAAGGAGTCGGTGGACGTGGATCCCTCGGAGGCACAGTACTTGCTGGAGGCTTCTCTGCCGAGTTTTTCTTGCGTGGAGGGGTGGGACTGGTAGATGAAGATTGGATACTCTGACGATGTAGGTTGCTGTTGTACTTGTCAGGTATGTGGTCGTACGCCTCACTTACGAAAAGGAGCCTCGCATGCCGTAAATTTCATGCAAAGACCTTGTGCTGCATGGATGTCTGTACGTATGTACTGCATGTTTGTATGTGTATGCAAGCATACAGTGTGAAGAGAGTTTGACAAGCGATGATATGGAAGTTTAGGACGGTTTGGGATTCAAGGTTCAGGGTAAAGGAGGCTCCTGTGAGGCCGGCGGTTCTTTGGAGCTCTGAGTATCTGGAGGTGTTCAAACTTTGGGAGCTCCACGGCGAAGTGATGACATGCTGGACAGGTCCTTGACATGGATGGGAGCGGCACCATCAATTTCGAAGAGTTCCTGCGAGGAACTTTGAGGTGCCATCTGGCTCCCATGTCACGATTCTCGCATTTGGCAGCCCGCTCTCTCCCTCTTTGTCTCTACCCTCGGTCATGCCTGGCTGGGCAGTTGGAGTAGATCCGGGAGCTAGAACGGAGCAACAGAGAAAGGTGACCAGCATGAGGACGATATGCGTGCTAAGATTGAGCTCCTCTTCATGGCTGGTCTCTAAAAGAACGGAGAGAGAGGGCTCCCTTCCCTTGGCTCCAGGCTGAACGGCTCCGCTCGGGCGGCAGACTTGCTGCTGGTGGCTCGTGAGATGAAGAGGCCAGGATCTCGGACTCCCGCTGGACCTCCAGACTGGGATAAGTCCGAGGATGATGGCTATCACTGGTTATCACTATCACTGACCACTCATCATAAATGGTCTCTTGATGCTCGTTTGTTGGTGATGATTGCTCTCACTGTTGGGACAGGATTGTTGATCTGTGCAAAATCGGTGTCCTGGAATATCAATCTTCTTGCTTGTATTCTCAGCTTGGCATTCCACCGGTCTTACGGACGGACGTCGAGCCGCTGACTTCTGCAAGACTTCTGTCTGTCCTTGGAAATGTTGGTGGCATTTAGTGTCTTGGGTTTGGAGATCTTGTTCCTTAGGGCTCGTGCACAGGTTCTTTGTCCACACCGCGGCCGAGATGGACGTGATCAAGAGCCATGTATATTTAGTTTGCCAATGTTTGCCATGTGCGTAGTCTCGTAACACCGCCTTGGTTTACAAAACTGCAACGAAGGCATCAAGCCCAACCAAATTAAACGATGCAAGCCGTTTTTAGGCACAACGGTTCTTTTGGCTCGAGCTGCTTGCTCAGATGTGGGCCCCAAGAAAGACAGATGTACTAATTCACTTATATTAGCCAGTGACCGCCGTGCTCACTTGGACATGTACCTTGTTTCTCAGATCCTCCAATATATCAAAGACTTACCACGAGCTTCCGGAAAGCTGGCATTGCGAACAGCAGCAGAAACAGAAACGCCGATGACCACGGCGACTGTGCGGAATGTGACGGCGGCAGCAGCAGCAGCAGCAGCAGCAGCAGCAGCAGCAGAGGCAGGATTGCACCACTCCGACTGCCAAGAGGAGCACCAGCCGCAGGAAGGCGGCAAGACCACTAAACAGCGCGACCAGCACACGACGACGGCGGGGGGACGGCTGACGACGACAACGAACCACGACTGGTGAGAGCAAGGATAACAGCCGCACAAGCAGGACCACAACAACAACGGCGACTTCAACAACGACAACAACAGCTGCTGCTGCTGCTGCTGCTGCTACTGCTGCTGCTACTACTACTACTACTACTACTACTACTACTGCTACTACTACTACTACTACTACTACTACTACTACTACTAGGACGACGACGATGACCACAGCAGTGACAGCAGCAACCACAGCAAGTTTCCGGCTGTGGCGGTCACGGATCTCAAAATCAGGACACGATGTGTCATGACGCCATTTACAAAAACGATGCAGGCTTTTGCGTTTAAGTCAACCCTGCAGGGCAAGTAAGCCTTTGACCCGTAGTGCAGCAGCCAAGGACTCAGCTGGCTGGATATGGAGCTCAACATCCCAGCGCTTCATGAAGCTAGAGCAGTTGAAACACCATTGTGCGACTCCGATGCATCACTTGCAGCTGCCATGGAGTTTTGACGCTTTAGGCGACGAGAGCTGAAGTGGCAGCTGACTTTCCTGCCGTTCGCACATCCGGCAGGCAGCTCTTGAACGTGTAGCTGTGAGCTCAGGGGCTCCAGCCGTTTTGAATTTTCCATCAGGTTGGCTCCTGTACCCCTGCAAGCACCACCTCGAAGTTGCAGAAAGCCCGATCTGATGCCAGCCGGCGACGGTCTGCCACCGAACTTGCCACCGATTGCACTCCCGGAAGCCAGAGCTTCAAACCACTTGCCCGAAGTCCTCGAGTCTTGCCGGAGCCAGCAGAGTGCAGCAGAATTCACCATCCAGCCGGCGAAGTCGGCAGGATCTGAAGATCTCCGAAACCTAAAGCGCTGACCTCATGAGGTTCGGGTGCCCTCCAGCAACCTCTTAGAAGCCTTCCGTGTTTCCTGGAAGTTTGGCCTCGCCAACAACGGTTAAGGCAGAAGCATGATGCCTGTTTAGGCTTCCTATCAAGCTCAACGTGCAAGAAGTCTTTTCAACAGCCGAGTCAGAGGCAAGGAATCCAGGAAGGTGCCTTTGCTCGGAGGCGGCCGCTTTGTTCTTGAAAGCATGTTCAGACTCTCAGTGACCGGCGAGGCCACGAAAATCACCTTGCTCTTGTTTGTGAGTCGAATTACATACATTTCTATACAGTTATATACACATAGAATAGAAGATATATGTAAGTCATTATGTATAACATGTGTGCGTGTGTGAGTGCGAACAGCAGGCATCAGCCTGGATCTTGGCCGACTCACTGTTTCCAAAAGCGTGGAACCAGAGGAAGCCCGATTGATAACACGCAGCCGGGTACCCTCAACTGTCACGTGGAATATTTGGATAACTGCCTTGGGTTTGCAAGTTGAAAAACTCAATCGAAGGCGCTGCTACGGCCGAGACCCTACCGCCGACCTATATCGCGACCGATTGTACCTCTTTGAGCCAAAGCCCGGAACAGTAAAGAGCCAAGAGTACCCGCAAAGCTACAGCTCTGAGAGCTGATGGTTTGAAACGGTTTTCAACCTGTTGTCTGGCACATCGTTTGGCGACGTTTGACTGTGCAAGGGTACATAGGCAAGCGGATACGACACAACGTCGTCTGGTTTTGAACCGCATGTGCGCTGCCAGAGATGTGTAGTTGTTGTTGTTGGTCATCGCTGCCATGTCTGGCTCTATCTAAAAGTATCTCTTGGATTCGCTTCTGCTTTCGTTTCCACGATGATGACTCACATCGTCATGGTCATGGAAGCTGCCAGTCATGTCGTCTTACAAGCAAGACCCACGAAGCGAGCCTAGCCTAACTTCATCCGCAGCTTCTTTGTGTAGCGTTGATCAGCTCAGCAGTGCTGGTCAGCCAAGCCTGTAGATAGGCTTTGGGATGTTCAACGCCTGCTGCTGTGCTGATTCTGGTCGGCAACTGTCGCAGCACACCGGCGAAGTCGCAGACGAGGTGGGTGCGATGCTCCGTTGCCTCGCGCACGAATGACCCGCTACATGCATTGTGTGGAAGACATGCTGCGAAACTGTAAACATGAAGCTGAGGCGGTGCATAGTGAAGCATAAACCGAGGGCCAGCGAGAGCTGGAACCGACCAGCGCCAAGACACATTCCAAGGCGTCATCGTAAATTTCCATGTGCTTCGTGTGCCAGGCAAGCGCGAACCGGCGGTCCGCCCCTTTGATTTCGGAAAACGTGCGAAACGATCCTCGAAGCACTATATCAGCAGTCTTCCAGATGCTCGAGATGTCTAGCTTCTGTGTAGCTTGTCGGCGCGACACGCAGAGGATAGCTCCCCAAAGCAGTACGGCGATGCCAATGAGGAGGCAGGCCGTAAGCCGGAAGTGTTCGTTTTCCTGGAACGTATCCAGGTGACGGTAGATATCCAGAGCCCTCTCAACCGCGGGTCGAGCGGCCCCGACGTCTTGATATGTTCCAATTATCACTGGATTAATGCTTCTCAGGTGCTCAAGGATAGTGAGTCCAGTCGTACACGTTTGGGTGTCGAGCCAGACCAGATTCGTGCGAAATCGCTGATGATGTCGGCGGCCAGGCACGCCAAGAGAAGTACCTCGCCAGTGTGGGCAAGGACGAGGCTCCGACAGATTCTCCGACAGAAACCCGAGAGATTCATCAGAAGAAGCTGCAAGTAACAGTAAGAGCATCCGCCTCTTCTGCTTGCCTTGGCTGCGCCAGGTCCGGGGTCTACATCCGGCTCCTCGGTTGGCTTTACAGCCGTGGACGGCCGTTCAGAGGGCAAAGAATCCTGTGCCTGGCAAGGGGGGGGGGTCCCAATAACCTGTAACTTGTTCTGTTTTGGTATGGTGCGCTGGTTCATGCGGCGTACACTGGTGCATTCATTTGCCTTGCATTGAGGATGTAGACGATCTTGGATCGAAGTGCTACGACAGTACTTTCACTCTCGCAGCCTCGACGCGATTTAGGAAGGTTCGGGTCTCCCCGCCCGTAGGACAGGGCACTGCCCGTGCTGCAGATAAGTTACCTCTGTCTCTGGAGCAGTTGAGGAACGCTCAGAAGCCTTCAGCGAACCTGGGAACTAGCTATCTGCTGAAATACTGTAGCCACCGTTCGTGAGTCAGATCTGTCCATGCCCGCACCTCAAGACTACTGCGCACGTGTAAATTGTCAAGGCTTCTGGTCGTTCCCGCAGAAGACAGGTCGTTGCTGCAGCGGCAGATATCCTGGGGGGCCTTTCCGACTGGCAGCGGAGTTGGTGCACGGAAGAGGCATCCATGGGCTTCGAAGGATGAAAGATTCATCCCCAAGTTCTTGGGTCGAAGACTGAGTGCAGGTGGTCTCGATCTACGAGCGTGGGCGCCCGGGAGATGTGCCAGCAGCGGGGCAACTTCTGGCCAAGGCTTTGCGCTGGCGTCAGCAGAACGAGGAAGCATGGCTCAGAAGAACCACCGGAGATGATGGGACGGGACGTTGTTGATGTAGTGCTGCAGCACCGAGGACATCCTCGTTGGCAGGCGGCAGCCGAAGTGGGTTCATGATTGTCGGGTCCTGACTCACGGTGACGAAGGCCATCCCTTAATATACGTGCGGCCCAGCTTTATCGGTAGAGCTGGGATTGAATCAAGCTGTTTCGGGAAAGGGCTAGGTTGGCTGTAGACAATTCTTTCCCCAATCGCTGGACAGTGGACATGTGGCGACCGAGCAGCAGCAGAGGTGCATGCGACATCAAACCACTTTCTGCAATTCCAACGACGTGGAGCATTTTGCAGTCGTCATGGAGGCTGCAGTGAAGGAGATGCCTCCGACTGCGCAGCAGGCCAGATGGTGCAAACCCGTCTGAATGTGCCCTTCTCTGTGCAGAAGATTCCCAGTTTTTTCAATGCGGCCGCAGCTGCGGCTCGGCCTTCAAGCCTCCCATTCGTCGGGTGACCGTCGTTCCGGATAATTATTCACCTAGCTCGGACAAGCCACGAACGTGATGGAACTTGGTGCCAATTTTTTTGTTGGACCCCAAGTCAATTCCGGGCCAACCGCCAAGAGCGATCAGGTTATGTCGAAAACAAGCCAAAGATGAGCATCAGCCATACCACCTGCTGGCTGGAGTGCTAGACCGGTCTTGTCATCCTTCGCGGCATGTATGTGGCCTGCGCAGGTTGACTGGATCATGGATTTTCATGGTGCGGACTTCCGGAATCATCTCGATCCGAGGGTTATGCTGCTGGACTAGATTGGCCTCGCATCTTGTGATCCTGTGCGGAAGATGATGTGACACGTTTAAGGATATCGATCGGGGAAATGATGCAACAACCTTATCGAGATCGACTGCGATCTGCTCGTGCCTCAGCCGAGCGATGCAACATCTTGAAGGCAGAGTTGTACGTAGCTTAACGGCCAGAGAGTCCTTGATTCAGGTCATTCTTGTGGATTTTCCATTCATACTTCGGCCTATGATGAATATTGCACTGCCCTTCCTGCCGGCGAAAACGCGAAACAAAGTGTATCGTCTTTCTGCCGATGCCGCAGTTGACCAGATCAAGGTGACGGCTCTGTGAAACATAATCGAAGCCATGCTAACCGTGTATGTGAAGTAGGTAAGTAGGATTTCCGTGTATGGGGCCACTTATTGAATTTTGATGCGTGTGTATTTGGGGTGTCCTTCACAAGATAGCAGTAACAACAGACCCCTTTTCTGAGCCTCTCCTCAGCCACGGTCGAACGCCACATGCCTTGATAGGAGCTTCAAGGACATCGCGCAGCCCAGATTGTCCAACAGGTAGTGCGGGAGAATCGCAATGACAGTGGTCCTGGCGCCTTGCCAAAATCCTTGCCAAGCCGCCTGCCTGCACTAGCACAGGAAGTGCAGGCATTGAGCATGTGGGAGTTTCAGAAAATAGGGGACCCTAATACAGTACCCTAAGTAGTAGGAGCCTTATTATATAAAACCCCAAAAAGGTACCCCTTGTTTTCGGAAACTCCCATGTCTTGAGCCCTGTGCTCTTTAGTCTCCAAGGCGAGACCCACTTCTGGAAAGGCGTGAACGTCGGCACCGGCCGCCTTGGGTCGCTGGCCGAGTCCAAGGGTGCCCCGGTTGTTCTTCACAGACCAGAGATTTCTGCAATCTGCAAGCCCCATCTACTTCCCAACTTCCCAGTGTTCATGCTTAACAATCCTCCCCAATCCTAGCAGCGTAAGCCCAGGAGAGCAATCGCGAGTGTGGTGTGCCCGTCGAAGTCGCGAGCTTGGATGAAACGGCCTTGTTTTGATGCCGTACACTTCTGTTTCTTGGGTCATTGTTCCTGTCTCTCCTGAAAGGAGAGGACGGAGATCGCCCAGTAGCTATAGGATTTTTCGCATGGGGTTTCGATGCAGGGCAGAACCCGCATCCTCCAGAGCCTTCTGCATTTATCGCTTGCTATCCCTGCGAGTTGCTGCTTGGCGCTCCAGCGGCATCCTTCCTCGGAAAGAAATCAGTGCAGGTGCTTGGAAGGGACGTGAGAAGGATTGGAAGTCTTTCACCGGGAGCGTAGTTAATTTAATCTACCCGTCAAGGCTCCGTGTCCGTTCGGGGCAAGCTTCCACGGTGTTCCTCCGAATGACAGTTGCCCTGCGAGCTAGTGACTTCGTCCAACATCATTTGAGTACTAGTCTGGCTTAAGACTTGGGCATTTTGAGACAGTATTCTGATCAGCTTCATCACAAGCAAGGAAATTCCTTCGTACTCCACCTTTACGGTGCAGCTGTTTTCCGGCCTTGATCTGCGAGAAGCGACACCACGGACAACGCGTAAACAACTCAGCTATGTCGGGCTGGAGCTGAGATGGCTCTCCGGCGACTTCGTGGACCGTTGTTGCGGCCAATCTGCCGAGCCCAAGCGCTCTCCAGCTCCTTGAAGCCTTGGGAGGCGCTCTCTGAGTCAGAACGCGCGGCCTGGGAGTCACTTGGCCATGGCGAGTCCTGGCATCGCACGCCGCAAAAGACCCTGCCGAGTTGGGGCCAGCTGCAGGTGCGGAGGATTTTAACCAAAGTTGTCTAGGGTCGATGCTCAAACTCGAACTGCTTCCCGAGGCCCACCAGCAGGCTGCAGCCAAGCATGGTCTTGGGCTTCATGAAGAAAGCTGGGAAAAGTTGAGGACCCACATTCAGGCCGAAGGCGCACCTTCACCTTCGGTGTCTTCTGGTGCTCCATTGGCAGACGGCGCTGGCGCTGCCAGGACCGGAGCAGCAGGATTGGCCGGCGTAGCCTGGTCAGTCTGCAAGACCCTGGCTCCAATCGTCGGAGATGCACTCGATGGGGCCAAACACCCCGGCTTGCGCCTGCTGGGAGGAGCTTTCCGGTACATGGCAGATGTCAACGATACCTTGGCAGCTCCTGTCAGGGTGGATGACATCGAAACCATAATGTACTTGGACGACTCAGGCTCAATGCGTGCTACCGTCCAAGGCATGTTTGGCAAGTCCGGCTTGCAGTTGGGCCAAGATGCCCTGGATCAGGTGGTCCCTTTACTTCAGGGGCCAACGCGTATTCTCAAGTTTGGAACTCTTCCCAAAGTGCTGCTTCCGAGAGAAGAGCTCTCTGCGTCACAAGAGAGAGCTGCCACGGAAACACTGCTCCAGATCCTTGCTCGCATTGTTCTTGTTTTTCCCGCATGCGGTTGCTGGCAGATTCCATGAGCCATTCAGTGCTGCTCAGTAGCGTGGTGGCCGCTCGGTGGAACGGCACTTCCGGCGGGACCTACATGTGGAAGATGATCGAAGAGGACGTGCGCTCGAGGTATCTCCCTGGGCATGGCCGTCTGCGCCTGATTGTCATCACGGACGGGCAGGATACGCACTCCCCAGGCGTTGAACAAACACACACAACGTCGGCTGTCAAAGCGGAGGCCGTCGAAGTCTGCTGCGTTTTTGTGACAGGTGTTTATTGCGGCATCAAGGGCATGGATGCTCTGATGAAGGACAAGTATACTGAAGATTCCGGGATGCTTCGCATTCACACAGACACAGCCACATGCCCTAGCTGACCAAACAAGGCAGTTTATAGTTCTGCCGCTGAAGGAGTTGCAAAAGCAGGGCTTCGACGTCGAATGGCACATAGACACTTGGATGCGCTTTTTTCAGCAATATCCGGATTCTCTCGGCTGCTTGCCGGGGCGGTGTTGAGATCAGGGAAATGTGACTTATGTGGGGACTTCGACCGGATCTTGAAAGATGTTCAACCTTACCTATCTTTGACACTTCAAGCATGAGAGCTACAGCCTTCTGCATTGCATCCATCCTGTGACGTAGTCTGGGCATCAGCTTCATTGACAGTTGACCTGCTACAGCCCTCAGCCGGAAGAGTCTTCTTAACTGACGCTCCGGTTATCGAAGCACTGAGATCATCATCGGCCGGTTCCAAGCTGCGGAGCGCAAACGCTACGAGACCTTGGCGGGCGCCACCGGAGGCTCCTTCCTCGCGCTGGAGGCCTCGCATTCCTTCTGCAAGGATACCTTTGGGGATTTTGGGATTCGTCCTAGAGCTTGAGGTGTGCGAAGGGTTGTTGTATCACAGCAACACGGCGAAGAACGAGATCTCTTCCGTCCTTGGGACATTCTTGCGGCTTGCGCGTTTCGACTCAAGGAGGCCGAGGCCTTCGAAAGCCCGGCCGCACAGCGCTTTCTCGCAGCTCTCAAGGAGAACCCAGGCGCACGGCAGGCTTGGAAGGGAAGGGAACGGAAGGCATCAAAGCGCATGCGCTGAATGACCCAATTCCTCAAGATTGCTGTCTCAGCAGGCCCGGCAACAGGCGTACTTGGCAGACACAGCTGCCGGCCGAATGGAGCGGGTGGAGTGGTTTAAAGCCTTACCGCCGCCGGGAAAAGGGCTCCTACGGGAAGGGCTGCACTCGAAAACCCTTCGAGCCCAACCGGTCACCTGCAGGTGATTTGAGCAAGGCAATCTCACGTCAGCGGAACGTTGGATGACCACGCCGTCCTTGCTCAAGCACTGTAGCTGTAGCTGCGCGAACAGCTGTGAGCTGTCTGTTTTCAGCAGCAGTCCAGATCTGGAGAAGATGTTTTAGTCTAGTTTCGGAGCAACATCTTTCACGGGTCCTTGCGTCCTAATCCCGGACTAGATCTGCTGGCCATGGCCATGCAGGCCCCGTTTTGCAAATCAGCGCTCAGCAAAGTCGCACACGTCGAGGTTTTTGAGAACTGTCTGACTGTCTGTGCCAGCCGAGCAGCAAATCTAGCAGGTGCAAGCTGTAGGGCTTTCATGGTATTGAGTTTGTACATACGGCGGTGGCCTACCACCATCTAAGCGTCCGGAGTGGCACTTACAAAGCCCACGGCCTAGCTTAGCGGAGATTGGCCAGAGTCGAGCTGCCGCAGGTCCCGATGTCCAGTGCGCCGGTGCTGATTCCGAAGACCAGCAATGACTGAGACCCAGTCCCAAAGCAGGAGTCCAAAGATCGTGGATCTTGATCTCTCGTGGAGTTGAACCCTGCGAAGTCTCCCAGGCATTCCCTTTCCTCCTGAAGTCTCCGCTTTGGGTCAGGTCGGCCTCAAGAAGGCGACTGTGCAGGCAGGGACGCAGTGCCCACTTCAGGACGGAGTGCTGGGCCTTGTGCCCACCGATCCGCCTCGAAGGCTATAGACTGCTAGAGACTGACTCGAATCTCTCAGCGAGCTTAGCGTCGGTGGACTACAGACCAGGCACATAGGTCTCTGCCCATCAAGCAGCAGGTGTAGACTGTCGGATCTTGAGCTGAGAGCCCCCCATGGAGGTTAGTTCTTGAGCAGTGTCCCAACTGCAGAGCCGAGCCTCCCAAGACTTCCGCCAACCCTCAGAGGCCACTGTCCTGTTGTCACTGCAGTATCAGGACGTCAGAGTTAGGATTCTCCAATTTTCCAAGCGGCTGCCATGGCGAATGGCTACGCCTCCAGGGACTCGACCCTACCCGAGGCCTGACCCTCCGAGTGTCGGAACGGGTGCTCCGAGGATTTTCCTCACAAAGTAGACATGACCAGCTCGCCGTAGACTGTCCGAGGTGTCCTTCTAGTTTCTCTGTCTGCTGAGGCCAAGGTGCGGTTTTCAGAGCTGCGCCTGGCAGAGGAGGGCAAGCAGGCAATGCGGGAGGCAGACGGGTCGGGACAGGGAACAGATGAGACGTCCCGTTTCGGAGAAGTTGAACCTTGAGAAACGCCCTGCACATGATTTCTCCCCTTGATTTGCTGTGCTGAAGTGGTTTTCTAGTGACTGCGTGAAAATGGGTGTTTTCTGTTGATCTTTCCTCTTGCAGTTCTGGTTTCTTGATCACTGTGGATGTTCTTTGGAATCCTTGACCAGGCGTTCCAGTATGAGTTCTTGATTCCGGGCAGCACCGTATCAGAAGAGTTGTTCATGTGAGTCAGTGACTTCCTAAAAGATTCCGACCCGTGTGAAACCTGCCACGCACCAAGGACGGAGATCCAGCAGAAGACCTTCGAATCTATCCGCAGTGGTGCCGAGGTCGTGGCGAGGGCGAAAACAGGTCCGGTTTCAAAACGGGCAGAGTGGTGAACACTGCGCGGGTTTTCGGCCGCCAGGCTCCGGGAAAACGCTCAGCTTCCTACTCCCTTGCTTGGACAGGCCAGTCCTGCCCTTTGATACGCACAGGCTGTATGCCAGGTTGCTGTAGACACACACGGCGATGCCGCTATCCGTGAGGGACCAGATCGCGCTTGAGTTGTTTTTTCTGTCATCGCGCTTGGACGTCTCACTCTGCATCTGTGAGTTGTATGAGTCATAGAAGTAGAGGATCATCACATGCGGAGGCTGCACGAAGAGCAGGCCGCTCCAGGCCGGACCAACGTCGTGGTTCGGATGTCTGTGGTATGATCATTTCCGGGCAAGAAGGATGTTCAGGACTTCCTTACTGCTTTTGTGTGAACGCCTCCGTCCTCAAGAGAGAAATACCTGAGTGCCGTCAGGGCCTGTAAAAGCTAGCAGTGGAACCAAGCATTCGCCTCCCTCTGTCAGGCGAGATTGCTGTTCTGGTTCTCACGCCTGTGCGTGAGCTTTCCATGCAGGCCAGACTCTTGGGCTTGGCCCTGTGTCCGAGTCCAATACCGCCCTTCTGACTGTCATCCGTCCAGCCCTCCACAAATCAATGCATAAGAAAGACAATCATTCATTACTGCGGGATCGCCCCGGGTGTGTGTCCGTTTGTTCAAGGTTGAGTTGTGGGATGTCAGGCAACTCTTCCTCAGGTTCGAGCTTTCCGTTTCCACATAAATGACGTCGGGCATTCATGGTAGCTGTAGGGATGCCCGTGTCATCGCAGGATTTCGCAGGTTTTAAGCATCTCGAGCCGGAGCCTCCAACACCCTGCAGCCGACCATGTTGTCGCATAGGTTGCGGCCGAAGCGGAGAAGCTGACAAAGTACTACAGCAGCAGTAGCACCTTTCAACTCAAGTTAGGACTTCCAGGGACTCATGACTTCACGCGTGATGAGTTGCTTGCAGACTCAAAGTGTCTTGCGCATATGGCGATGTACAATAAGCCATGGTGTGTTTCTGTTCCCGGTACAGGGAAGCCAGCAAAAGGTTTTTGTGTCGACGGACTTGCCGCCAAGCGTCGCTGTTTTGATGGGTTTCTCTGACAGCCCTGTCGCCCGCAACATCAGTCATGGCAGACTTCAGTCTTACCTGAGAGAATGACACATTCCGCCTCAGGTATGGTTTGCATGACCGGCGGTGTACCGTGGGAGGAGGAGGCGCGTGTTGCTTGCATCGGGACACGTCCGTGAATTTGGAGCCTTTGACGATCTGCAGTGTCAGCGTGCGCTATGCCATGTTTGATGCGAAAGGATGTCTCGGGAGGGAGGTAGAGCTTCTCCGCATTCAGCCTCCGCAGAGCATTCAGCATTGCAGGATTTGGAAGCTCTGAACGCAGCAACGGGCGCAGTGCAACTCGACTGAATGCAAGAAAGGCTGCACGCCATCAGTACATCAGTGCTTGTGATTGGTCGAATGGGATTTGCACACTGCACCCTTTGATCCGGTGGCGCCCCTGGTTGCGAGGACGTTGGTGGCCACCCCAGGCCGGCTACAGAGCCATGCGCCTTGGCCAAATTGGACTCCGAGGCAAGGCACTTGGGGCTGAGTGTCATCCGAACGTCGTGAGTCAAAGCCCGACTCCGTTCAGCTGGGGCAGGTGGTGCAGCAGATGCTTACAAAGTGATAGAATGCCACAAAGGAAAATTGACTCGTCGTCCGTTTTGCCCTAAACGCATGGTGTCGAGAATTTGAGGCGACGAAGACAGATGGCTTCGCCGATCGGCTAGGCAAAGTGCAGACTCTTGGGCTACTATTCAGATTCGACAGAGTGGTGCAAATCAGTTAATCGCTGTCGGGCCCGCGGCTTGAGCAGCTGCCGCTATGGCACTTCGGCTTGTGATAAGGGTAGATTCTCTTGACTGCGCATCGATGGCGTGAGCCCTTCTCTGCTGTACCGGCTGATCCGTAGCTGAATGGCAGCTGGTGACAGGGAAGGTCCCTGCCTGAGGATCCTGGTGTTGGACGAAGTGGACCAGCTGGCCAGCGTGACTAGGCCTGAGTCTTTGAGCTTCTGGTGCTCAGAAAGCTGCGCGTGGGCATCATTTGAGGATCAGCTGCAGGAGATCAGGTCCAGGTCTAGGAGATGTTGCTGAGCGATTCAAGTGGTGGATAATTGGCAGGCTGTTGCATTGCAACCTTGCAAGGCAAGGGTAGGATGTTTTCTGGCTTCCAGCCAGTGAGCTTCTGAAAAGCTCATCTGCTTATCTCCAAGTCCACCCGAGGATGTATTTCGGCCGGCGACGCTGGACTCGGGTCACAGCTGAGGGTTCGCAAGGGTTCTTCGAGAGACGACAAAAGCCAGAAGCGCCGAAGCGGTGGGTTCTCAACGATAGGATGTGGCGAGAAAGTGACAGAAACAAATAGAGGGAAGAGAGGTGTGGTACTAAAAATGCCTGATCGAGCCCATGGCCTACGAGCCGAAGCTTTCCAGGACATCGTGAAAGTGCTGCCTCCGGCAAGCCAGCGCCAGAGCCTGCGTCTCTGGCGGCACAGAGCGTCACTGCTTCACTCACATCTTCGGAAGGTAGCAGACGAAGCCGGGACTTCCGTGTGTTGGTGTTGCGCAGTTGAGTGAGCTGCAGTGCAAATTGCCTTCGAGGTTCTACTCCGCCACAATGGGGGATGCTGTTACAAAGTTGGTCGCCTGGTGTCAACTGGATTTGTGCGGTTCTGCTGCATGACAGACCAGGCCAGCACCGCACGCAACAGCTTAGATGTTGCCACCCTTTGCCGCTTGCAAGCTCGCATGATGTAAAGACAGAATTCCAACAGGGCTCGGATTACTGACAACACCAGGGGGGATTTAGGTCCGGCTTCGAACTGGTAAGGCATGGGCCGGTGTGATGTGTTTTCAGCCTCATGTGCAAGAGCAAATAGCCCTTTCCGCCTCTTCGAGTCCAAGTGGCAAACAAAGGTCAGCCAAATTGGCAAACCGGACCATATTTACGTGGATGCAACTTGGCTGCCTCCTTCCTGGGTGTACGATGCTGTTTGCAAATTACTCGCGCGAGCGGCAAGATTGCAGTGACCCGCACGAGAAGGTCATACGCTCTGACGATGTGTTGGTGCCCGAGCATATCCGCCAGACATATACTGCCTCGTCCTCAGAAAGCAGCTGATCTCATTATGGGGTGATCTCATGAACACAGGCAGCAAAAGATCTGACATTCTCGGTGGAGCGGAAGTCTGCAGGGTTGCAGAGGAACGAGTGGCACAAGTGAAAGCCAAATGTGAGGTCTTGCCGACGGAGCGCATGACGGAATGAGACCTGGACTTCATTCCTGGCCTTTTGATCGCGAGCTGCTGCTTCTCTAGCCACCGTAGCCGAGGCCTGTGGGCAGCCCTCACCATTGCAGCCACAGAGGAGGAAGCGAAAGTCGCGGCTGGACTGCTGTTCAGTATCGTGCATCGAAAATTGAGAGTTGCAATGCTCGCACTCTTGTGAGGAGATGTGAGAAGCTCAGCTGCAAAACAAGCCATCAAGTCGGGCCGACTCTCTTCACTTAGGTCGTGATCTTCATGACGGGCCGCATCGCTGCCTACTACGCTGAAGCTTTTCGGAAGTCAGGCCTCCGGCAAGTCTTCGGCTTTAGGGATCAAGTTTTGGATGTTCAGATGATGGAATAGTGAAGGCACCGATCTGCCTGTCTTCGAGATCCATGCGCGAAGAAGTCAGAAGCAGAGGACTTGCCTCTGTGATGCATGCTGGCTGCTGCGCACCGTCTTAGATCAACATGTTCTGTAGCTGCTTGCATCTTTAGGACTTTGCTGCTTTTTCGCCCTGCTGGCCTTAATCCACTAGACAGGTATGAACGCAATGAATGCAGCTGGCGTTGGGATTGACACAGCATGGCCAGGACAGATGAGTCGGAGCGTTTTCGCGCAGCAACCCGCGGGGTGCTCTGTGGCTGCTGTTCAATCGTAGTTTTAAGGTTTTGGAAGTTCCTAAGTTTCTGAGAACTCGCTCGCATTCTCCCACTTCCCTCCTCTAGACTTAGAGTGAAGGTACATCTACGGTGCGTCCTCTCGTGAGACACGGACGTCCAAGGCTTTTCACAAGCGACGTGTCCTCTCGTGGGTTGGACTATCCAGGCCATGCTTGCCCATGTCTTGTGCAAGTTGAATTCAACACCAGGGTTTTGGGATTGTTCGCGCAGATTGATTGCTTACAATTGCTTTCGGTTGCAAGGCTTTTGCGACTCGCCTGCATGTTTGAAGATGCGGCGCAACTGCTCTCAAAAACAGATCTGCCGCGACTCCAGGGGTCACGCACGTGATTCAGATGGGGGCAGCCCACTCCAAAGCAGCCGCGCCCCAAGACTTCGAAAGCAGTTGCGAGGCATGAAGAAGCACCTTCTGCAGGTCAGAGGTGCATGTAATTGGGGAAACGGTTCGTCGTGATGACGCAATTGCCTTTGACCTCAACCGCTTCAGCCTTCCGGAGAGGCAGTCTCAGCTAGGGTGAACCTGCAAAAGTGATGCTTGTAACAGGAAGGTAGACGGGGCTCAGCGGCACCACAAAGACTGGAGAGAAGTGCAGCGGCAGTGTGACCCGAGGAATATGTTCACCGCCTCGGCCGCACCGGGCGCGCCGGCCGCGAGGGTCAGGGGCTACCGGGCGGCACTGTTTTGTCAGGTCTTGGACTAAATGCAGCCGGTGGCCCAAGGTTGCTCCTGCTGCACGAGTTCGAGCAAGGCAGGAAGCTTAAGCGGTAGTGCCAGATGTTCACATGGAGCGTCACGCTTGCACTCGTGATGCTGTCACTTGTGTTTGTGCTTAGAGCTCGGTGCCATGCAGCTAGCCGTGTGGGAGTGGGATGATGCTGCTAGAGTGAACCCGTCACTGAATGAACCTGCATTCTCTAGACATCTGCAGGGTTTGGGTAGCCTGAAGAACTGTCGATGTTGTGGATCTCAGCAGTTCGGCTTCGCAGGCCGACTTCTCCCCCATTCCCCACAAACTTGTGAAGAGAAAGCCTGGCGATAGCAAACCGGACGGTGACGTTTTCAGTACTTCCCCCATACCACGCTTAGCCTCACCCCAATTCTGGTCCCACAGAACTGGAGCCCTCAAATGTTACTTCTGTAAGCTCGCTGCGAGGCTTCCTGGCAGAGGTTTCAGACCTCGGGATTGCCGAGGTGCCCCCGCCTACCGCCGAGGGGGCGGCTCAGCCTAAGAAATGAGAGAAGATGTTACTTGGTGCTTCTGCTCTGAACAGCATCGGGGGCTGGGAAAAGCAAGACTTCTGCATTCGAGCGTTCTGGGCTTCATCTCGTACATAGAGCACTGACAACGCATCTTCGGGATAAGGAAATGCCAGACTTCATCGGCATGCCAATCGCCAAGAACGTCAAGGCCCAGGCCTACTACTCACGGCCACCCGGTGGAAGTTCAGACCACGTCGCCCGTGCATGTCACTTTGCGGTCTGGGTATGGAGCCCAGAGACTCCGAAGGATCAACCACGTGATGCGCAACTCGAGCCTTGGCAAGCTGGAAATCATGCGCGAGGCCAGGAAGCATGGGGCTTCAACATTGAACCTTTCGCTAGAGGGTGCTGCGTATGAGAGAACAAGAAGGCCGAAACCCTACCCGGAAGGCGACAAGCATACCACATGATAAACTTCTCTGTCCGGAGGCCAAGAGATTTGCAGCATCGGTCGGGGCACTCGACGAGGTGGGTTTCCAGCACGGAGAAGCGACGGGCCTGAGCAGTTCACATCGAAACCCACCTTGATGGAGACATTTGCAGCGATGAGCCGATGGTGGGCAAGAGATGAGGCTTACATCCAATTCGGTCTGTATTCGATGCGAATTGTCCAGCTGTGAGGCATGAGCATATTGCCGCGGGACAGATGTTTTCGTTTCATGGTCTGAGAGTCCCTTGGCCAGGAGGGTCGCCCGCCGGAAATTACGCGCGAGAATGCCGAGAAGATGGGCGTGACACGACGGATTCAGACTTTGTAACGAGAGGGCAGAGGCTCAGCTTTCATCCGCGCTAGGGCCGCTAGGGTGCGCAAGGCGTTGGGAGGCGACAGGGGAACCTCTGAGACCTTCTGACACCCTCTGATTGTCTGCGGAACCCCGATGCCCTGCTCCAGTGGCTAAGACGATTTTGTCGTTCAGGGTCGCAGCTCCGCATGTTTGGTTTGAGGCGAAATCCAAATGTTCTGGCTTGAAGATCTTGTCCCTATAGGACATGTTCAAGCCTACTCCAGGGAGCAACATCAAGCCACGGGTTCAAGTTTCTCCCGTCCAGCGCTTGGGAGTGGCTGGTTTTTTTTTTCAAGCTTTATATGAGGATTTTGAAGGAATGCTGGAAGGCGATGGCTGGATGAGCGGCCTAACTTTGGGCCTCGGGGGCCAAGCCAGCTGCTTTCGACCAGTCCCCATCGACTGGGAGGAAGTTACCCGATGCTGCGGCCCTGTGATCGGAAGATCGGGAAGTGCAGAACCTAGCTGCCCCTACTCACCCCAGGGGCCTGAGATCTGCTGTGAAGCCAGCCTCATTGCTGAAGTACCGACCGGGCCCAGGGAGAGGGAGGCTGGTGGGGGCGCTCAAACGCCGCGAGCGAGCGTGGCTGAGCTCGCTTTAGGGATGATGGCTGTGTCTGCTGGAAGCCCTTGCGGAAGCGCATGCCTCTGGGCCACGCTTCAGCAGATCCGGGCTCATGTGGCTTCAAGCTACGCAGGAGCGACAGCGTGGGGCAACTCCCGGTACCACCGAGTGAATGCGGTGGGTCATACTCTGGTGCTATGCTGGGTTGCCATGAACCTCTTGCACACTGCAGTCACCGGACCCAATGAAGAGCTGACCTTACAGGTCTCTGACTTGCTGCTTCTCGTGGCCACGTCTTGGGATTGCTGGGAGAGTGCTTTTGCTTTGAAGGTTCCACTCTTTCGACTTCTGGCGCGGCTCTTGCATCTCATGGGCTCTCAGGTGATTAGCCCGGGCCTTTCCGGGCTTCAGTGCAACGCCACCGGGAGCAGCCCGAAGCGACTGTTGAGACTCTGGCGACTCCAGTGGTCCTTGGTACAAGACCCCACCTCTGTGGCGACGTCTTACCTGCGGATGATGCAGGACTTCCTGGACACCGCCTTTACACCAACCTCGGCTTGCGAGTGGCTGGCTGTTGCGGGACAGTATGTACTGACCTATCGCTACTCCGAGCATGGGTTTTTAGCGTTTTTGGAAGAGAAAGAGAGCTTCCTTCAGTGGGCTGCTCGAGCCATGACGATGGCGTTGTTGAAGGCCGGGCGGGGAAAGGCAGCTGCCACGTTCTTGCAAAGCGCGTGGCCAGTGTGGTATCTCCTGGCCGATGCTTGCTGGATGGGCCTCCTGCAACCCAGTCGACGTTACGTGGCAGAGTTCTTGCAATGGATCTCTCCCTTGCTGCCCCAGGAACATCCTGTAATCTTCGAGGCCGGGAGCTTCGATGGAAAGCATTCGGAGCTCATGGCCCGCAGGTGGCCAGAGGGGAAAGTCTTTGTCTGGGAGGCCAACCCACTCCTTTGCAAGAACGTGGAGATGAAGCTGACGAGCCTTTCCAATGTTGTTGTGATCTGCGGTGGCCTCGGCACGTCCACTGGGACCACCAGGTTTTGGCACTGTGGTGAGGACGCCACTTTGTATTACGAAGAGGCAGTTGCCCGCTGTGGTGCCCGGGCGCTCGAGGTGGTGGAGGTGCCAACCGCCACTCTACAGGCAGCTTCAGAAGGATTGGGGGTGCGGCCCGATTTTTTGTGGTTGGATGTCGAGAGCGCGGAGCTGGACCTTCTCGGGGCGTCAGTCGCACCAAAGGGCGCGACCCGAGGTCCTCCGGTTTTGGCAAAGGTGGCAGTCATGAAGCTGGAAACGCGGGCGTCCGGCCTTTCGTCCTTGAAGGACCTTGAAGCCTTACTTGCTTGGGAAGGCTTCTCATTGGTGTTGGCGCCCGCTATGATACTCTACCCGAGCTCTCCAGTTTATCCCTTTGCCGGCTCTTTTGATGCGATCTTCATCCGCAGGCATGTCTTGGAGGAGCATTTAGGCATCCGGGACTCCGGAACTTTTGAACTCGACCCGGTCACTGTGCCGAGAGCAGCAGCAGAGGATGTCGCGCAAAACGACACATGGATGATGTGACAAGCTCCGGGACCCGTTTGACAGTTTGACGGTTTGCACCGGTGCACATAAGCGAGCAGATCTAGCCCAAACGCCTGGACATTCCAAAGCATGAGGGCAAAGCTGCAGCAGAAGCAGTGGTACATAATGGTGCTCTGGGCCCTAGGCCTTGTAAAGATTCTAAGGGGTCGCAATACTTTAGAGGAGCACTTTCATTCTGTGATTACCTCGCCTGACCTGAAGCCTTCATCAGAGCATGTTCAAGAAGCTTCCTGCAGCCGCGGCTGAGGTAGCCGACATCGAGGACCCTTGCGTCTACATCGTTCCATCGCCGACGAAGTAGGGGCAAAGATTGATTTATAGAATTTATAGGCGGAGGATCAGGAGACTGGACTTGAGGCTCGCGAAGGGGCAGCCAGAGTCGAGGTCAAGCCTACGGTTCGCGAACCACAAGTCCGAGAGTCAATCCCCAAAAGCGACCCTAAGGGTCCAGGCTGTTTGGGAGTGCGTTTTGCTGGCGTTGCAAAATTGCCTGAAAAAGCAGAGCAGGCCCGATGGCTCGATTCAGAGAGAGACTCCCAGGCCCTGTAGGCGTTTCGGCAAATCTCCGGATTCTAGATCTCGAGGTGGCCTGGGGCTAGATCTTGGTTGCAGGAGCTTCTGCTCAACCCGGGAGAATGGTGTGGGCTCTCTGACGTTGTGTCTTGCTCCTCATCCCTTGGCGAGGTGGTTCCTTCGGCGCCCGTGATCACGAACTACTGGCGCCCCGGGGTTCGTTCAGGGCCCTAATCTTGCGGAAAGAGATTCATCCGCGCGGCTCGGCACAGAGCTCTTTTTGAGAGCATGTCTTGACAACGCAATTGACCGCCGTTTGGAAGAGCCTTTTGTGGACTGTTGACGATCGCTTCTCCAGTGGGGTTCTTCTGGCATGTTCAACATGTCTCAAGAGTTCAGATGAGACGTCCTGTCGTGGGATGTGAGAGGTACTCCTTGACGCCGTATCCAGCCAGCGATCATTACTTTCCCTACCACGTTGCTGGGTGTGCACATGTGGTTGTAATGAGCAAGGTACTTCATGAGTGCTTCAGCGTTAAACCGTTATGCAGCACCTTGACATACCATGAGCTTGACGTTGACTGGAAGCCATAGATTACTCAGGATCCCATGCGTGGTCCCAGGCCGGTTGGGGTCTTCTTGGTCCAATGACAGATTGAGCTGCTCCAGCACGTGTAGGTAGGACCTCTGATGTAGTGTATAATTGCCATAATCACAGCACGCCGCCAGGTGGAAGACCTCCCAAGATGATGCGTTGGATTCGGCATTGCGCAGCCACGAGGACGGTTCTTGAGACCCGCCTGCGCGACCCCCGTCGCTCTTGCGACTGATCAAAGGATTACGGCGCAAAGACGCCGCTGATGGAGTTGCGACACGAAGCTTTCATGCCAGGAGCCCAGGTTTTTAAACTGTAGGATGCGGTGGTACCCATCCCAAGCATCTGCCCAGAACTGGTGTAAGCACGAGGCGGGACTTCCGGGGCCTCTTTCGCTACCCTGGTGGCGCCAGCTCCGTGACATGCTTCTCGGTATCTCCGATTCTGCTCTTGCTTTCGATCAGGTCAAAGTTTTGTGATGCGAGTTTCGGGTACTTGCTCGCGACGGTTCTTGGATCCTGGGATGTCTTGACATCTCCAAGTCACACACCACTCATTCGTTCACGGCCTCGAAGCAACGCTGAGGGAACAAGCGCCCACCGCCTCCGGTTCGGCGCATTGCGGTGCGCCGGGGTAGGGAAAGCTCAGGTTGAGAACATGTGTAATGGCTCGGTTCGGAGACAACGTAAAGAGACAATGTGCACCAAGAATCAGTCAGTCCTTGCGCTCTCAGCTGCGACTGTGGTGTGCCAATGGAGGAGCCGGAGCCAGAACGTTCAGAGCGTTGCCTGCGTGCTTGCGTGTAGACGAGCCATGAAGCCCGTTTGGGCCTGCAGTATGTCATCAGTATGGGTTTCGTGCTGATGAGACGTCTTTGCTCATGTCTTTCGAGAGAGCCCGGCGTTCGATGTTCCGTGAGAGAGCACCCTACGGGACGAATGCGATGGCATCAACCATGGCAGCCATAGGAATTCTAGATAGTTCTGGGATCTTGGCACGGGCTGCCATATACCAAGGCCATGTGATGACAAAGTTGTTTTCTCTTTATGCCACTTTTTCGACTAAGCTGCGATGCGCTTCGCCGTCACCAACTCCAGAGCCATTTCTGAATCGATGACCCATGTTCCCAACCTTGGCCATGGCCACGATGATGAGGGTACTGATTGTCTTCGTCACCATCATAGTCATGGCCGGTATCATCATCATCGTCATCATCATCATCATGATCACGATCATAATCATGATCATCGCCAGCGTCAACAACAAGATCATCGTCGCGATGATCGTGTTCGCCGTCATGGTGGCATTGCATGGGCCGAGTGCATATCTGTCGAACCGTGCCAGGCAGCTGACCCTTTGAAAGCTCAGAGATTTAGGAGAATAGTAGGTCTCGATGATCGTTTTTCGGTCTCACATCTTGCAGCTGGGGCCGTGGTTCTGGCCGAGAAACAGAACAAAGATCTGAGCAATACCAGAGAGCGGTTAGTTAAGGCACACTGTATGAGCTCCTGGTGTCGTGTTGCAGCCGAGCACCACGCTGCTGACTCTGCTATACGATGGCGCCACCTGCCTTTTGGTTTCAATGGGCCGTCTCAGTCAGCTGCATGCTTGTAGCACTTGTCGCGTCATCGCCCTTGAAGGGCACAGCGCAACAGAGAAGCAATCCAATGCTAGAGATCGCTCCCAAAGCTTGTTGCAGCGATGGACCGAATCCGACCGAGAGACCCAGTGAAAAAACTGCCGTCGTAGCCTGCTTCCAAGAAAAATCCCTGACGTGTTGAGCAGCTGAGACCAGGAAGCACAGGATTGAAACTGCGGGTGCAACCGGACATTTCCATTCGCCGCAGGATTTCGGGCCGAGGGTTGTGCATTCGCCCAGCCCGTGAGGTCATAGGAGTGGTCATGATTTGCGAAGAAGTCCCCCCACAAATGCCCCTGCTCGACCAAGAAGCCTCGAAACCGGAGTTTGCCTAGCCAGTCGATGGTTTAAGCCTAGGTGAAGATGCTACACTGCCATACCGACGTGCAAACCGGGAGCCCTAAACCCCAACCCATGCCAGCTGCATCGCGTGTACAGGCTTGGGAGCGGTGGGTAGAGTTCGAGGCTTCAGATACTGGGTTTGAGGAGGGCCTTTGTCCACATAAGAGGGGTGATTGGTCTCCAGACTCCAGCTGCTGCCAGATCGGCTTGACAAATAAAGCTGTTTGTAAGGCATGCGGCATGACGCGAAGTCTTGTTATTGTACCTGTGTACGACTTTGATTATCCTCTTATTGACACCATCATCTAAACATGCATCCTTGCATCCAGGCTGAAGAAGGCACCCTTGCAACACTCGCCCAACTTCCCACGCACTGTTCGGACTCGTCACCAGGAGTTTCTTATGGCAGCTTTGAGTTAGCCCACCCCAGACCCCGGATTCGCAGCTTGAGAAACCCAATCGGGGCGCAAGTCCAATCACGAGAGCATCTTTTGTCGACAGATACTACAAGAAAGATCCGTGGAGCACGTGAAATGCGTACCACGCCACTTCACGAATGCAGGAATGGATGCAGATGACGCCGCCGCAGAAGTTTCACCGGGTGCGACGTTTGGACCGCCTGGTGACGAGCAGCTTGACGGAATCAGGCCTTCCACCGAGTAGAGGCTTGGGGTCATGATAAGAACCAGACCGCTTCAAGACCGGGCCCTGAGAGCGTTGGATCTTGTAAACAGCTACCCAGGCCCCGGCTCTTTCCTGACACAACCGTGAACGACCCAACGGCAGCCTTGAGCTCCCAACACTTGGACAGGCGAAAGATGAATCAGAGTGGTCTTGCAATCGTACTCGCCGAGGTACGAAATTGGGAAACAGCTGGGCAATGGAGCCGCTTCCCGGGTGTTTGCATGCAGGCGGTCAGGGCGACTCATAGGGACGTGCTCGGGGTCTGAGCTGTCCCTCCAGGCGCCTCAACACCAACGAGCAGCTGGCCGTGAAAGCCGTGGACCTGCGACGCTTATGTGACTCGGGCTGCAAGGGTGCGCAGCGCTACACTCTGGTCTCAGGGCCAAGTTCAAGGAGTGAACCAGACATTCGCGCTTCCGGCGCTCAGGCCTGCTTGGCGACCTCCAAGACCAGATGACCCGCTTAGACAGCGAAGTCGGAATCCTCCACGAGCTCAGACATGCGACTCGGCCAAAGGCTGGTGCAACCAGGGACTTGAGAATCAGCAGTCAGCTGCATGCAGAACATGGGAAAAATCCAAACCGCAGGCCAGTCGCACCACGACCCTAAGACCAAAGTGGCACTGTGCTACTTCTGAGGAGAGAATCGTGAATCTTCAGGGATTCCACAAGTGCCTTGGCCGTGGTGTCACTGGTTCCCTAGCTCTGCTAACGTTTCATTTCCGGTCTCCACAATGTAGGTTGGTGAGAACGCACATGAACACACCTGTGCATTGCCTCAGCCTTTGCTGGGTCACGTCGGCTTCAGGTGCAACAAAGGCTAGCATTCACGCTATGTTGTTGAGGGCCCTGTCCGGGAGACCATTCTCGCAAGGACGGACAACTGGTATTTCCTCGTGATGGAGTTAGTTGGCGGAGGAGGGCAATCTTCTGCCGCAGATGGCAGTTTCAGGTGTTTGCCCACGCTTTGCCCTTACAGTCGGCCTTTCGGCTTCCATGCCTCTGACGGAAACCTTGGTGGGTCGGATGCGCTTCTGACGGATGTGACAGGAGAACTCTTCGACCTCATTGTCCGCAACAAGTCGCTCAATGAGGCGGAAGCGAGCTGCAAGGTTGCAGAATCAGCTCGGGCAGCAACCGACTTGCAATCATCGGGTGGCTACTTACAGGCTTCCCGAATCCAGCACTGTAAGCTCTTTGCCTCTATCTGTGCATCTTTCTTCCGCTTTTCCTCGCCACGTCCGCCAAGGACACATCTTTCTCCAGCTCCTGGAGGGCGTTGGCTACATGCACGCGCGAGGCCGGAACAAGCCGCAGACCGTTCGACGCAGTTGTCTCCCGCTTCTCTCGGTGGCGTAAAACCTCTGCGGGATGTGAGGCGTGCTTCACCGGGACCTGAAGCCTGAGAACATCCTCGTGGCGGGGTCCAGGCGGCCGAGCCGAGTCGTCAGAGCCAAACAAACCCAGCAGACTGCACGAGCCGAGCAGCGTGCGCCTCTGTGCGCCTCGAGGCCGGCCGAGGGTGCCGAAGCGGGGCAGCGTTACGACGTGAAGATCGCTGACTTTGGGCTTTCCAAGGCTGCAGCTTTCGCGAGTTCCCTCCCTCCCTCTGCTACTCTCTGGTGCCAAGATACGGTGTCCCCTGCGAGCCGTATCGCGATGGCGTAAGGGAGACTGGTAAAGGCGTAGTCAACGTGTAGGATGTGTGGTGTCCGACTGGGCTTAGTGTTCTTTCCTTCCTGTTGAGCAAACTCTACCACCTCCATGCATGGGGTGGGAGGCTGATAGCATTCACAGACACACAGTCAGGGTTCACGAGATCACGCACTTCGGACTCACCAGGCGGCTTCGGAGTGGTTTACGGTCTACGGCAGAAGCAGATAGTTCCTATGCTCCAGCAGATGCACGGCGGTCTTCTGAGTGCTGCGTTTAAGCGGATTGTGATACTCACCGTTTCGACGCTGAAGGCCATCGGAGGCGGCGCCTCTCTAGCGAGGACGCGCGTGGGAACGCCTCAATACTGGGCCCCAGAGGCGCGCTGCCGAAGGGTTGCGGCTGCGGGTACACATCGCGGGGCTTTCCCGGTCCAAACTCCGAAGTCCCTCGCAAGACCCAGTTTGCAAGAGAATCCCCAGCCGACCCTTACCAAGAAAGAAGACCCGACTACTTGAAGACCCGGCCGACTCCGACCACGCATCCGGGCCCTTGCCTGGTATCTCACGGCCTTTTATCCCTGATTATATGATGCTATTGCTTCAGGGCTTCCATTACAGCGCAGTCAGCTCAGAGACTCCACTGCCTTGAAGGTCCTGGACGTGCAGAAACGGGGCGGTGACTTGTCCTGCTCTTCTTGGCACATGGTTCTGACATTCGGAGCGCCACCTTGAACGGTGCCACCAATCAACTTCCCAAACCTGTCTCGCTGAAGGACCCACACCGAACACAACCTTCTCGGTGCATCACTGATGGATAGCTTTCCATGCTTTCCGTGCCGAGGCTCCTACGACCAAGCGGCCGATTTTTGGGGTTTGGGCGCAGTCCTCTTTGTCGCGCAGCAGCAGTCAGAGAGCGAGCCTTCTCCCCGAGAGCCGAAGGCTCAAGACCGCAGAAAACCTTCTAGGCAACAACCGTGATGACTGTGAAGGATAGCTTGATGCTTCATGGGAGCCACAACCTGGATAGTGGTAGTGAGAATGGTGAGGGCGGGATATGGGGGGGGGGGGGGGGGGGGGTAGCGATGACGTCTCCAGACCTCCTGGGAAGCAAGTCGACCTTCAAGCAACCAAGCCTGAGCCGAGGTGATGCTTTGTGGCAGGTATCCTTTTGACGGCCAAAAGCAAGCTCTGGATGACCAAATCCGCACGGCCTCCTACAGCATGACAGGCCACGCAGACAGTGGTCTTGCGCAAAGAGCTGAGACGTTGCATTCCTTCCAGATGCACAGAGGTTTTCGTTGCCACTCCGTGCTTTCGGGACGGGGCTGCAAAGTCCAGATTCCACCTCGCTTCAGAGATGCACTGAGTGCTGGGTTTCTTGCATGTCCTTGGCGAGGCTCACGATGGCGGAACATCTCCGAAGCTGCGAAGAGCCTCGTGCGTGGGCTGCTGCGGGTCAATCCGGTGGACAGGCAGCTCAGTAGCCGACGAAGCAGGGAAGCTGTTGTGGACTTCTCGCTCTCACTTGCGATTGTTCGAACTTTTTGGATTTACTGGTGTGTTCTTTGATTCTCTGGTTGGATATTGGGAGAAGGCTCGGGGCCGTCGTGCTGAAGGCCTGAGCCCTGAGCCCTGCGCTCGAGAGCACTTTGGCAGGCTCTCCTTGGATGAGTGCCTCAGCCATCCGTGGGTCACTGGCGCGCCCATGCCGCTACCGCGGCGGCTGCCTCTCACACCTGCAGCGCCTGGGTTCTTTTGGTGGTTTAGCTTGAGCTATGTAAAGGGAGAGGCAGCACCACAGCAGATAACGAGGCCCTTCGATGACAGATCATGGGCAAAAGTGAAGGAAGGACAACCAACTCTTGATCTCGGCTTCGTAGAGTCCAAGGTGCCCGCCTCGGGCAAGAAGTGCCTGGTCGCTCGGAATGACCTGGCCTGGAGCCGTAGCAGATAGCAGGCAAAGAGGGCCTCTGGCTTTGCCGCTTTGCCTCCCCAAGCCCATTGTCGTCTGCCCTTCTGGGCTTCCATGATGATGCCAACATTCTCTTGATGTCAAGTGCGGGGATGCTTTGAGCGACCCTGGTATAAGGAACTGGCGCAGCAAGCGGACCTGGCACAGAAGACTCTTCGAAGGGTTCATGCTTCTTGTGCGTCTGTCGGTTTCGCTTGGGGCTTCGCATCATGACCAGAGGAACATTCCAAGAAAAGGGCTGTTGAGATCCCTTGTCAAGAGTGTGCTGAGAAACGGAGCTCCCGAGGATGGCCGTCATCGCCGAGTCACCTTCGGGGGAAGGTGAGGTCAGGAACTCCGAGGAGCTCCGTGCTTTCACGCTCCTGAAGTGCCTTCTCGTCACATCAAATACAGAGTTCCAAAAGCTTATCAAATCCCGACCCTGTCGTAGAGCAGCGTGTGCCCCACTACTCCAAGACCTTCGGAAGGAGCACCGCCGAAGAGTCCGAGACTCTGAATCCACCCTCGTAGAGTGCTGTTGCTCGATGCCCTTTAACTCCCGCAGATGCTTGAACGTCATGAACAGGACTTCCGGAATCTTGCAAACCTGGACTCTGAGCGCCTGGCGGAGTGGCTTGGCACTGATAGCTGAGATAACACAAGATTTCGGGGGCTTCCTTGGTGCCGCCTATCTGGTTTGCGAGTGGAGGTGCAGCGTTGACCATGAAGCAGTCTGCAGGCGTGCCCCGTCCACGAGCTGCTGCAGTGCTTCAGACTCTGACTCTTGGCGGCAGCCCTCGTAACGAGTATGCGAGGTCGTTGTCGTGGCTTGCTTGGTTGGCCCAGTCAGGGCTTTCCCGTTTCTTGAATTCGCCTGAGCCTGCTGCACAGCACACGCACTTTTGCTGAGGGCTCACACCCAGCATCCGCGAAATAGCATTAGCTACCCAACCATGCCAAGGACTTGGGCAAGAGCTGCAGCCGCGTCGCACCTGGGTCGCAGGTTCAGTCCTACAATCCCAGATGTCGGCTTTTGCTGGGGGCCTCTTTGTGCGTCAGACTTGAATGCGAGGGCTGTGGCTGTAGCTGCAACACTGCGGCGAGACGTCGCTGTATCACAGGATATGAACGGAAGCCCAAGCGGGCCTCCAAACCTCAGGCAAGCACATTCAGCAGCCCAGATGAGGAGGCGCAAAGTTCGCAGGCCTGGAACAGAGCCGGCAGCGACGTTCGGTGTGATTGCTTGTGTGGGTTTGGGTGTTCCCGTTGAGTTCATCTTGTTCAAAAAGCGGGACTTGGTGCAGGGGCAGCCGCTGTCAACAGAGTCTGCGCATCTACGAGTTTGAAGCTGCTTCGCCTCTCCCTGCAGGTCGTCTCCTTCCTCACAGGCCAGCCGCCATGCTTTCAAAATCTTGGAGGGCTCAACAGGCGCTGCAAGGAAAAGTGGTCAATCGGCTGACGGAGTCCGCTCATGTTCACCCTGACACTACAACGACCGGCTGAGCGCCGATCAGCACTCCAAAGCGCTGGCCGAGACAAGCCCCATCAAGCTCCTTCTTGTTGCTTCAACCTTGGCCTAGCCACATCCTAGCACATCGCTGAGACGAACATGGGGCAACCGATGGAGAGAGCATAGAACAACCAAGTGGCAGGCAAGAATCTTCGCTTCGGCCGCTGGTACTGGCTGCTGATCCTGTGCCCCGGCTACAGGTAGCTCAAGAAGTGCTTCTGACGTCCCTACACAGGGAATTGCTTCGGCGTGTGAGAAGCGCTCTGCACCAAGTAGTTTCGTACACAGACAAGCAAAGACCGAGCCCTGAACGCCCAGAAGCCCAGTTGAACCGACCTCCAAAGCTGGACGGCACGCAATGCAACAGAGCCTCAACTCAAACCGCACGGTCAAAGCCCCAGCAGTTCGAAGCAAACATCGCCAGAAAGCTGGAACTGCTTCTTGTTCCGGTGGTCTGTGGTGGACCGAGGCAGGGTTACATCACTTACATCGTCTTGTTTTGGCCAAAAGGGAGTTTCCCAAAATTAGGGTACCTTATTTTGGGGTCCTTATAATAAGGGTCCTACTATTTAGGGTACTATATTAGGGTCCCCTATTTTCGGAAACTCCCAAAAAGAAGCTCTCAGAAGTGGCGATGAGCCGAGGCTTCTCGGCCTCGCTCTCTGGCGCTGCCGCGCGCGGCGCGAGCTGATTCCTGGCGAGGCCGGGGCCGTTCAGGCGAAAAAAGGAAGCCTAGGGTTTAGGGTTTAGGGTTTAGGGTTTAGGGTTTAGGGTTTAGGGTTTAGGGTTTAGGGTTAGGCCTAGGCGGAAGTTCTCCAGTGCTTCGTCGGGACGTTCACATGGTTCTGCGTGCAGAGGCATCCAGCACATGCACGCTACATGCAGACACACACCTGGCAACCGCGCAGCTTGCAGAGTGCATCTTAAAGTGGTATGTTTAAATTGCACACTTCGAAAACATATATGGTCTTAGCTTCCAAGCGAGAGGGTTGTAACTGTAACCCCCTGCTTTTGCCTTTTAATTCTTGCTCTGGCGACCACGATGCTGGGCACATGCACGACTGTGGCTTCCAGGCTGCAACGTGTTAGCCAAACCGACGACAGGAACGGAACAGATGATGAGTTACGTCCAACTTGCTCGCCTTTGCATCACGCGCTCAGTTGCCCACGATGAGCTTGGACAAGCAGCCCGCCAGCTACAGCACGCAGCTCTGTTGCAACAGAGAGGTCTTCTGCTAGCGATTTCAAACCTTGTCGCAGGGAGGGAGGGCAAGTGAAGCGCTCGGCTCGTTCCCAAGTGCTCCCACCCTGAGGCTTTGGTAAAGCTAGGCTTAGAGCCCTCAGCAGAGTCAGGAATCTCAGCGGGGACGGTGACGAGAAGAGCATGCTCGCGGCGCTCGACATGCAGACGCCCCTGCACCCTGGCTGTCCATTCAGATGACCTCAGGGGCGGACGAGGCTCCATTGGCCGTTGAATTCCTGGGAACCGCGACCGCGAACTTTGACCCGAGATGCCTTCTCTCAGGTACTATCTGGGTGGTGCACATCGAGGAGCTGCAGACTCCTGGCTTTCAGGGCCAAGGCTTTGCCAAGCATATTTCCAAGAGGCCGAGGTCGCGACAAAACCAGAAAACATGGATCCTATCGCTTTGGAGTCTCTTCGATTCTATCCACTGCAAGATTTACGGCGCAAAGGGTCCCGACAGGTTGCCCCCCTGCTGATCCGAGGAAGCGCTGCTCCTGGAAGCACCGGCAGAGGGGCACAAAAAGACCCCTGGCAGCGATGCATTCGAGCTTGCCTTGAGAGGTTCAGATTCGTCTAGGAGCCACTCCATGCTGCCGTGCTCAGCACTGGTAGGTCCCCAACCCGCTTCCATCCTGATTTCTTGGAGGAACAGCATCTTCCAGCTCATAGAGATGCTGAAGAGCCAGGTGGCCATTGCAGGCGCCTTCCGCATCAAAGGAGTCTCATTATTACTGCCCCCAGGAGTCGGTTCAAGTCTTTTGGGTGGGATCTTCGGGGGCGGAGGCTCCCTGCAGATGGCGAACATTGCCGTGCGCCACGTGGACCGAGAGCTTGCGGAGGCAACGAGCAGCGCCTACGAGCAGGCGGGAAGGGCAGGCTCTCAACGCTCTGCTTTCTCGAGAGCTCCCCACAAAACCGGAAGTTCATCATACTAACGAAGAATTACTCCATCCATGTCTCGATCATGAACCTTGCATACCGTTCATGTTGTTTATTTGGCATGCACTGCTGCCAATCAGTGATCAGCTGCATGCTACGTCATCGTCGCTAAGGCGCACCGTGCGTGCAAGCTTGAAAATGCCAGTTCTACCTGCACAGACCCTTCTGTTCTGCATCGAAAGATCCGGACACAGAGCCATCTGCAGCAACCAAGTTGTTCAAACCATCTCTGACAGCTTTGATGCTGTTGGTATTTGGCAAAGGCGCGCGACCTGTTCAAGAAAGCCGCAGACGTGGTCTCACGCTATGCGGACGTCGCAAAACAGGCCGCACTGGGTGGATTCTGCCCATCCCCGACCGAAGTCCGTAGTCGCCATCGATTCGCATAGCAGCTGTGCGTGAGGAGCTAAAGCACACCTGTTCACCGCATGGAACGTTTGTGCTGCTCTTGTGCTAGATGTACCACACACAGGTGAGTGAGCACGTTCTGCCCGACCTCCAACTGGCCGTCGAAGAGCAGGTTCGGCTGGATTGACCGGTTTGAAGCCGAAGAATCATGAGCCCCTGCTTCACTTTTCTGCCAGACTTTGACATTCTGCCCCTCAGAGCGTGCAAGACTCTGCAACCACAGCCTGCGTCTTCTCGTCTCTAAAGGAGCCTGCAATGGCGGCAGATATGCTTGAGATGGTCAAGGAGTGGGTGTCTGCCGCTTGGCCGAAGCGTCAAGAGCTGCATGTCCTCAAGAACGCGCAGTCGAGGTGTCTCAAGGAATGCATAGGCTCTCTCTATTCGGAACAATCATTCCTCTGCCTGCAGCTCCAAGGCCATGAAGAAGGACAGCGACCTCATTCGGAGCAACTACGGGGAGCTTCAGTCCGCCGTCCTGACGCTACACGGCGATGTCAGATTTTTTCAGAATCGAGCTGACCAAACTGTGGAGACTCGGGCCCACATCACGTGCATATGGATACAAGATGCCATGTGCAGAAGACATGTTGAATGAGCTCGGACATGCCACTTGATTATTCGAGTCTTCCAGAGAACTCCGAAAGCCTTTTTGCCATGGTGGCCCACGTCCGCTTCCTGTCGAAGATCCATGCAGAAGGTACCCGATCTAAGCGAGGCCCTTGAAAAAGAAGCTCGAAGACCAAGCCCCTGAACTCCAAAAAAGCCGTCTTAAAAAACACATCTTCGCATTGAGCCAAGGTTGGTGGATCGAACCTCCCGCAGCAAGCAGGCAGCAGACGACAAGCTCGCCGCTGCCGTGGCCACGGCCAAGGAGCTGCTCTAGCCGAGTGCGGTGTAGGGTTCTCAGGATTCAGGGTCTAGGGTTTACGGGTTTAGGGTGTGGGGTTTAGGGCAAGTTTAGGGTTCAGGAGTTTGGGTTGAGTGTTCTTCCACATCACGAGGGTGCTTTCTTGCACCGCGCAACCTGTAAGGAGGCCCAGATTGCCAAGGCCACGCAGAACCAAACACACGGCTCAGGCGTGGCCGGTGCACCGAGACCGTTGAGTGCCCTTTTCGGGAGCGGAACGTTCGCAGGCGATCCGAGCAGTGCCAGCTGCGGCTTTCCGGACGAGCAGATCGGGAAGCCCTACCAGGCCGTCGCAGAAGTCTTCAGTTTTGCTATGTAAGATCCCAGCCTTGGGGCCCTGCGTGTACTTTCAGCCAATTCACGGGTATCTTGACATGAAGAGGGCTCCGTTCGCTTGTGCCGTGATTTATGAATCTATCTAGAGGTATTTCAGGCTTGTGGCTAGCATCTCGTGGTGGCATTGCAACTGCGACCACGTTCCTCCACTGCGCATCCCGATGTTGCTGCAAGTGGATCGCTTGATCGTGCTTTCTAGTAACATCTGCATGGGAAGCAAGAGCAGGAAAGGGCTTGCCCTGCAGGGCCCAAACCTCCTTCGATCTACCATCGTCCACCACCCTCTCTGTCGACGCGTGCAGGTGGCCACGCGCACCAGTCCAGACGTGTCCCCGCAGGTGAAGACGCATGTCGCAGCCGAGGCTGCTTGCACTGTGTGGCGTGATTTGGACAAGGCAAAGCTTGTGGCTTACTATGCCGGCCGTGAGGCTTCGGGGATTTTGAGTTTCCAGGAAGTCCCCAAGTCGAGGTCCTAAGGGGTGGTCCTTCGACACGGTATTGGACGATCGGTGCAGGTGGACTCGCTCATAGAGGTCACAGATGAGACCATGCATTTGCAGTCAAGCGAGCCTTGGCGATCCAGTTTGGATTCAGGACTTGGGACGTGGGATTCGTTTGGGCAGAAGTCCGCTTCGAAAAAACCTGCCCTGGAGCGCTTCGCACTTCTGTCCACTGCAGGTGACCACCACTCCGCAGTTGACCAGCAGCGAGTACATGGCTTTGGTGCTGTGGTTGCGTTGGTTCACACGCATAGCTTCTTGTAACAGCTGCCGTGCTTGGCCAAGGCCACATTCACAGTTACCAGTACATGTCCTTGAGAACCATCAGCTGTTTACGTCTCTCCCTCTCTATATCGCGTGTGTTGTTCTCAACTCAGCTCCTTGCTTGGCTTTTTGCTTGGCGCCCAGCACCTTCCGCTGCAGCCGAGGTGCCGTACAAAGACAGCCTCTTCCCCGAGGCCGAGGCTCGCGGGAGCGACCTGAGAGAAGAGAAGCAAAAGTGCAAGAAATATGGTGGCAGTGCGTATGAACACAGAGCACGAAGAGCGATTCAGAGTCCGATTTAGAGAGCGTCTCAGGGCGCAGCCGGACACGCCGCCGACTCCTCCAAGAGCTTGCTTAAGGCGGGGCCAGTCTTTGTCAGTGCCTTCCACGGGCCCAGGGTAAGATTCGATGCGTGCAGAGTGCCGACCCGTGGAAGCACTGTCAGCCACTCAATTTCTGCCGAAGGCCTTGCACGAACTCCGCCGGGTGGACTCTATTTTGGAGGGTTGATGCTCGGCCGAAAAAGGCAGCAAGTGGAAGAATTACAGGCCTCGGGATCTGGCTCCTCGAGCACGAGCCTTGAAGACAACAGACAGCTTTTAAGTTCGTTTTGGGGCTCGTGCCCGAAAGGCTCTGGGAACGCAAAGCACTTTGCTCTCACCTGCGCCAGCCTTGCTCTGCTGAGGCTCCGTGTTTTGGGCCGGCATGGATCGTGCTGCCGGAAGCTTACAGGAGTTGGAGCATCTCTTGAGCTCGATGGAAGGCACCTGTTGGATCTGAGCCTCAGACTCTGCCAGCAATCGCCTCGGCCGGCCCCGACCGCATTCAGGTCCATCAGCTGGGACAGATGAAGCAGCACGCGGAGCGTCTTGTGCAGCTCTGCAAGCAATGTGATCACCCTGCATTGCCAGCTTGCGTCACCTGCTTCCCCGTAACAGCGAGAGCAAGCTCTCTTGCTTTGCGGGCGTCGAGTGGCTCCTGAGGAACTTCGCCACGAGCACTCCGAAGCTCAGGGAGCGCTTCGACCAGCGGATGTTGGAGACCCTTGGACTCGGCAAGCTTGGCAATGTTGCGTTTCATGTGGTGCCCAGAGTCACTGAATTCAATGATTGTACAAGGGCTTGTCTAAACGCGTACTGTAATGTTTGCGGCTCGTCTTGGAGCTCCAATGCAAAGTCCAGATCGCGTCCGCTAAGGTACGGCAAGAACTGGTCTGACCTCGAAAAGCTTTGCCGGGAGTACAACTCGAAGCATCACGACTCTGGGCTGCAGGGTCCCACGAACATCGAAGGCTCTGGCTCAAGCGGGCGATTGAAAGAAGTCCTTGCAATTCTGGCCGGAGCTCTAAGAGCGAGAGACACATTGCGTGCATCTGAATCATCACGGAGCTTAGGTCCTAGGTAGCAGGTTCATCGGTGTGCCAACGAGAACTTCAGAACGGTGTGGAAGAAGAACCATCACTGAAAGCACCTATCGCCTGTCCCGACGGTTCCATGCCATCTGACTGGTTTGCCTCGACAGTCTAGCTTAGAGTAGTGAGCCTGTCACACATGAACCGGCTGCTGCCACGAAGAGAGGGCCCATCGCTGCACGTAGTGGATACTGGCTTGACAAAACCCAGACTAGACAGAAAGCAATCCTAGCTTCTCCGGATTAACCGGAGCACCGGAAGAAGACTGCAAAAAGCAAGCCTCATCCATGTCAATGTCAACGCGAGAAAAGGGCTTTGTATGCAGGCATAAACGTGTTGCGTAAGGCTTGTGCCTGCTGCTTGTCATCTTGCCCAGAGTCGCTCTTAAATCAGTGAAGCTCGGACAAATCTCCGATGCAAGCCTTCAATCTTCTAGTCCAGTTAGCTCGCTGAAGCCTGTGACCATGCAAGGAGGAGAATGCAAAGATGCGCGATGCCGTTCGGGAGACTTGGCCACGCACTGTCCATTCGAATAAGCTCGGCATGTCAAAGCCGGAATGCATTGAGCTTGATGCTCCCTCCGATTGTGTCTACGAAAGCATCCGTGCCAGAGCCTTGACTTCCTAGTGAATGCGTGACATTGCAACGTCGCAGATACCGAGCACAGATGGAAAACTCGGATTGAAAGACACGCCAGTCCTCTCGCTGGGAGGGGAAACCTTGCTGCATGCTTCTGTGAATCAGGACCTGTTTTTGAGGGCGGATCTCGAGGACTGAACTGGCGCAAGTGTACATGTGAGTTCTTGCGTGAAAGAGTACGTTGCAAACCACAACTACGAAGTGAGGAAGCGGACCAGAAAGTGTGTCGTTGGGATGAATACGGTATGAATGAAGGTTCTTCGGCTTGCGAGTGTGGCTTTCACAGAAGCCTCACAGGGTGCGTGGTGGCTTTCCTTACGCCCTGCAGCTTGGGAGGGCCAAGGCCATGCACTTCGGGGCCAAGTAGTTCGTCCAGTGTCTACGCGGAAGCACAAAAAATATGCACAGTCCACGATGACAGCGAGATAGGGACCAGCCGGAAAATGCATGCCATGTGGGCTCTGCGAAGCTCTGAAGACCAGTATTGCCGCAGGATACACGTAGCAGGTTTCAGCTTTTGCGTCTTTTGGGAAACCTCACCTTCAAACGACTCTGCAGCTAGGACATCGCGCGTGCGGCAGGCACAGGGCTCGGGTCATGAGCTGTCTTTGGCCTCAACCTTAGTGTGTTGCAGTGAGAGTTGCTGAACCATGGTGGACTTCGTTGAGCAAGGGATGGACAGTCTGTTACGACGTGAAGCCCCATATTGCTAGGCCTTTGCGCCGAAAGCTTTTTTGTCCCAGCCCGGCATACAACAACGGAAGCATTCCATCATGCACTCGTCAACTTCTCTGCCAAGAATACAGATGCCACCAGACGATTCCATCGAAGAGAAGGGCTTTAGGGTGTTTTGTTGCACCGAAGCTCGGGAGGCGCTTTTGCTCCACAAGCAGATGACAGGTGACTTAGACTTCTCTGGGTTTCAATTTGGAGCTTTTTGCCCGATTTGAGCTATTTGGGCAAGCCTCCAAGTCTGATTTTCCAGCGAGAGGGGCGAGTCGCGGCGCCTTGGATCAGGCTGTGCATGAACTGAAATTCGGAATCCATCGGAATCCAGTTTCTAGGTTCTACGAATCTTGAACTGCACTCACACTGTCTCCACCTTGCATCATACCCTGGCCACGGCCCATGTTTTCCTTCCAGGTCCTTCATCGTCTACAGAATGGGTTAGTATCCTGAAGCCTAGTCTTGTGGCCACGCGTAGTGCGATTGACATTCACGACAGCTTCCACGGCTCTCGCTTGCCCCTCGTCGCTCTCGCTCGCCACAGCAATTGTACGGAAAAGTTCGGACTCTCGAACTTTTGCTTTCAATTCAGCTTCCAGCTTCAACCACGGAAGGGTTCAGCTTTCGGCACATTCTCCCAAAGCACGCGTGACCCCTTCTTTGCACGAAGCTCCTGATCTGCGGGCCCCTAAGGGGCCAGGGGCCGAGCAGTCTGGCAAGCATAGGCTCCAAGACGGCAGCTCTCAGATGACCAGCATTGGCATACTTTATGGCAATTTCAGGTCTTGTTGCCGTTCTTAGGCATAGCTAAGAGGTTTTAGGGCAAGGCTGGGATGACAGGTCGAGAGGTGGTTGGTAGGCTTAGCTGGGAGGGTTGAAGGCAAAGCTAGGATGACAGCGTTCCAATTCAAGGGGCATGAGGCCCTCCGGTCTCAACAGAGGGTTGGCAGCCGAAGTGTAGAGACAGCGCCGAACAGACGACTAGACTGTGTCGGTACCTCTGGGGCCACCAGCTACACCAAGCTACAGCTGTGAGAGTGGTAAAAGCTGGCGCTTCGCCCCGACTTTGTCAAGCACGAGGCGTTCGTAGATTTGTGCATGCCACCGGCCGCAGTTGACATGTTGCACACCCATACAAAAGCCTTTAATGCAGGTCGGTGGTGTGGGCCTTGAGCATGAGGTGCAAGCCCAAGAATGGGAGCTTTCCTTAACACTCCCGCCAGTGCACAGCTGGTAAGAACTCCCTTGCCTTTTCGATGCAGACGGCGACAGCATCAGAATAGCAGGCGGCAGTCCGCGCTAGAGTTCCGAGGGCACATCCGTCTCGCGATTTCGGTACTTAATTCACCTTGGAGGAGATTTTGCTTCACACTGACAAGTACAATGAAACTACACTAGGGCTGGTCTGGAGGGGGATTGTTGGGGTACAGCTGTGCGGCAAAGATGCCCAGGGCTGCTTTTTCTTGCATGCCCAACACTGCATGCGAGCACTGTGCAGCATTATCTGGCGATTCGGGCTGCAAGCATGTTGAGAGATGACGATCGAAATTGGCCTAGCATTGCTTCCTTCCCATGCGCAGTTGACGCGGACGGTTTGCTTCGCCAGCAATAAGCCTGTGCAGTGGATGTTGCGCGGCCAGCAGCGCACCTGAACTCCGAGTCCTCAGAGCTCAAAGGTCCCATTTCCTAGCTGGCCGGTGTGTTGAAATCAGACTTAATCCGGGGTCTCAGGCAGGAGCCTCCTTCACACAGCTGCGCCGGCGAATCCGGAGTTCGGCCTCATGCAGCTGCTAGTCTTCTCTGAAGCTGGTCTGAGCCAGCGAAGTTTGACAGATCCAGGACCGAGATGTCGCTTTCAAAGAAGCCTCATATCCTAACCTTCCAGGGCCCGCCAAATCGACCCGGTTGCGATACATCTCGGCCAAATTTACTTCCAGAGAAAGCGCTGCCAGGCTTACTGGCAGCATGAGGGAAGCAAGGCCGTCAGTGTCCCTTCATGCTTGGCGACATCTGGCGATAATTTCAACATGCAATGTTATTCTGCGAGACAGACCTGCGTTGACATGAGCGGCCTTGACTAGATCGATTGGCCCTTGGGTGCTCTTGGGCATGTGAATATCGCTTGTGGTGCAGTCACAGGAGCCCAGTTGCAGGCAGCTAGCTCTCGATCAAGTTGTGCCATTAATTAAGTTTGGTGCATGAGGAGTTTCTGCTGTTGGCACTGCAGATGTTGATAGAAGAGCTCGCGCTGCATGTTGCTACATTTTGCTGCCAACTGGGTGCTCGAACGCTGCCCTTGGATGCATTTTGTAGTGTAGGCAAAACATCAAAAGATTCCGAGTGAAGGGGCATTGACTTTCAGCCGCCCTCAGTTGTTGTGCACGTGCAAATCTTGCAGGGTTGACGCTAGCACTGCTTATTCACAGGTGTGTGCACAGGACAGGTGTCTTGACCTCGGCTCAAACGATGATGCACGAACTTCAAATTCACGGAGAGTAAATTGAGGTATACACGAGTGGAAGGATGGGTCGTGTTGAGAGAGTTTGAGACCTCTTAAAAACCTGAAGGGAGACCGTCCAGTGACAGCAACAGTGCTTGTCTGCGATCTGGAGTTGTCATACCTACCGCGCCTTCAGCATTCATTATCCCCATCATGTCAGAGCTGTCCTCAGAGGAGGCGCGATGTCGCGGCTGACAACAGTTTGAGCGGCATGGCAAAGCATGCAGAACCCTGGTTGTGGAACCTATGCCCGGGTGCAGCAGTCATGGGCGAAGACGGGTCCAGAGATGTGCAGAGAGCAGGGAAGAGCCGGGCAGGAGGCGGCCTTGGCCAAGATCCAGGCGGCTGCGAAGGGCGCCGATGTCCGGACCCGTTCCGCTCTGCTCAAGTGCCGGGGATCTTCTGCCATGGCAGGTTTTCTTGAGTGTTCTGGTGTGCGCATGGCCCGCATGGCATGTGAAGCCTGTTCAGCATTGCCACTGATGGAGGATGGCCGCCGCTTCAGGTGAAAGCCAAGCAGGCGTGCGACCGAGTTGGCAAAACATCAAAGTGGCATTTGACATCGGTGGTGTACCAAAGGGCCTTCCAAGCCCCGGGTGAAAGGTGAAGCGAAGAGGAGGGGTCGTAATGCTCAGAACGTGCAGCCCCCAAACCACGTCGGTCAAGATTGCTCGAGCTTGAAGCAGTGTTGATTTGCCTGAAAGCATCGCAATGCAAGTGGTTGTGCTGATGTGAATGAATCTAGCACCAACACCTACGAGCCTCACAATGTTCCATCGAGGCAAAGATGGAGAGATGAGTTCCGAGGAGAAGGATGCCTTGCTGAAGTGGCTCGGCTGAAGATTTCTGAAGGCAGCTCAACGTCGATGCACAGTGTCTGCCAGTTACGACTCGCGCCTGGCATCCGAGCAGCTCGCATAGCACGGCCTCGCATAGGAAGTGATGCACTTAAGTGTACTCAAAAGAAGTGCCCCCTCTCCTGCCACCTGAGAGTATGCAAGAACTGCATTTTTCTTGACCGCCCCAGGATCCAAGCAGCCCAGAGGGGTGTGGAAGCCCGAGTGGCCGAGGAGCAAGCGGGCACCAGGGATAGGGCTCCTGCTCACGTCATCGAGAGCACGGTCGCGGGGCTCACAGGCAGACCTTCCTGTCATGGGACGTGCCAGGACAAGCCTCCCGTGGCTCACATGATGATGCCCCTCGCCTGCAAGCACTGGCATCCGACAGCCCCTGAAGCTGAAATGCTCACCTTGTCCAGGCCGAAGAAACGGCAGCAGCGCCGGAAGCTGCGTTCAGCTCGAATGCGCCGCGGCACTGCAAAGCTTCCTGAGGGGATTGACAGCAGGCTGTTGTAACAAACAGTTTTCGAAACACCCTCGGTCTTGATCTGCTCACGCAAGGCCCACACGGCCCGATGCTCTAATGCCAGCACACCTTGGACAAGTTCGATTTGGGAGTGCGTAAACGCGGCGGCTGAACTCGGAAGACTCGCTGCTTGCAGGTATCGCTTGATGTACGATTTCAAGGCGAAGAAGCTGGCCAGACCCCCAAGCTTTTGTTGTTTGTCACCGGAAAGTGTTCACAGCTTCGTTGGTAGCTTTGGCCCACGGCCAAGCTGTAGAGTGCGCTGGAGCTCAGAACTTCCTCAAAGCGATTGGGGCCGAAGCTTGAGCCTTGCGGCACCTTACCGGGTTCTCTGAGTTCCTCGCAGGTGACCCCTTCCTGATGCTGGTCGGACCTGTGTCCAGTCAGTCCGAAGCCTGGAAGAGTTCTCGAGTCCGTGCCCCCTTATACAGTATGCCGCGGCATACTGCCACCGTGACTCCGTGACTCTGTCCAGGAACGAGTGGTTTGGACTCAGGCCTGAGAGCTAGATCCTACATGGCTTCACAGTGCAGTCTCATTGGGCTGCCTTGAAGATCAGCTACTGAGCTACCGTAGCTTGTCCTGCTGAACTCCGTCTATGTCACAAGACCGTAAAGGTGCGGTTGTTCTCAGGTGTGGAAATCAACCATGCGCGCTCATGCACCGGAAGCCAACATGCTGAGCAGCCATCATCGCAGATAGTTGGCTGCCGCCGGATACCAAAGGTATCTGGCATCGCAGTCTGAGAATCCAGTTTTCCCAAAGGGCTATTGCCGAGGATCCTCGCCCAGTCTTAGCGATGCACTCTCACAGCTTGCACGGTAGCGCTCACACACATGGGGCCCTTTATGGCCAGAGGGTGAGGCCACCCTGGCAGAAGCTCGATGGTTACGGAGATCGCTTTCTGCACTTCTCCTGGACTCGCATGAACGAGCAGGGCCCGGATGCTTAAGAACGGAAAGAGGCTTGAATCTAATTGTTACTGGGGCTGCTGGGGGCACCACGGCCTTGCGGTTCTGGTCAAGTCCAGGTTGTCGAGCTGCGTGGCCTGTGGCAAGAAAAGAGGTCCTACCCATCTTGTAGCATATCTCGAGCTTCTAGACTTAGCTCCAAGCTAGTCGCGAGCTCTTCGGGAGCCCGTCAGACAACGGCTCGAGGGCGCGCTTAAGTGGGCACGCAAGCCGCGATGTTGCGATCGCACCAGGTTGATGGGGCTCATTCAGGCTTCTGCCAATTCCTGTGCACAAGCCGTTTATAAGTTCTGGGTTGAAGGTGAGCTGTCAAGTATGTCAAAGGATGCAAATTGTCCTGTGACGGAGTGATGGATTTGGTTTGAATTTGGACATAGGGCAGTGGGAAGCTCACGAGACTACGATGTGGTGTCCTGGAGTTCTTTCGCAGCCTTGGAGGCTCAATTGGGCAGCAAGGGTCTGTGAGGCGGAGCAGGGACGTGTCAAGTGCAGGATAGGCGAGCATCTTGCAGGCAACTGCAGCTTTGATCGGAGTTTCATGGGATCCTGCTGAATCCGAGAGCAGCACATGGACGGGGATCGCTTGCAAGCCGTTCTCGCGATGTCCTCAGAACCGATTTGCGATCAACCGCCAGTGGTTGGAACTTAAGGGGGCTCAGAGGTCGCAAACTGCCCCTTTTCAGCCTCTCCTCTCTCTCTCTCTCTCNNCTCCCCCCCCCCCCCCCCCAACACAGCCATGATGCCGAGGCACGCTGCCGGAGGATCCGAGGTGGGGCCGCCGCTCCAACGAAGAGCAGACTAAGACTTCAGCAAAGGAAATGTCAGTGCACTGAGTCAGTGTAGTTTCGAGGCGTTCGCATCAGGATTTCTGCACTTTCCGAGTGAACCTGCTGTGAGCTGTCCCGGGAAAAATCCGCGACCCTAGTAGCTAAGGAAACGCTCAGCAATCTCCCACCGCAGCTCGCTGAACGGCTGAAGTCCCTTTACGCCAAGTGCGAGAGGAGCCCCGTCTGTGACATCAGCCCTGGTAGGTGCAATTTGCCCGCCTCGCACAAAGTCCGCCTTCCTGGAATTCGTCCTCCGACAGCCCAGAAGCCTCCAGCAAAGGCTCAAGCAGGCGAAGGACAAGACCGACACCCCCGAGTCTGGATCGCCTGCGCTGGCCGTGGAGGAGTGGAGTGAACGCAACGTCACCATGGTGTCCAGGGCTTAAGGGCCTGCTTTGGAAAGTTGTCAAGTATTGTTGCATTTAGGCATGTGGCAAGGAGTCTCTGGATCTTGCGCATACTGTAGCATGCCAGTCCAACGTCCAACTCTCCGGCGCAGATGCGCGCACACAGAATTGCAAGCACAAGACTGGCCACCCTCGCCTATCCCTTTTGCTCCCTTCTTCCCTGAGCGGAGGAAAGCGGCTCAGAAGGCGAAGAAGGCGTCGAGCCCGAGGACACCGCGGAGGCATCGTTTCCGTGCGATGCCGCGGGCATAGCAGCACCATTCGTCCTTGTCGTAGACCACCAACCCCTGTTCGTGAGGCTTCGGTCCCTACCAAGAGCGACGAGGCTGAAGCGAGGGGGACAGCAAGAAGAAACCCATTGTCAGATGCCATTCTAAAGGTGTGATGTGAAGACATCGGATGCATGTAATGCTGAAAGGTTGACAAGCTACCTGGCTCCGATCTCTTGCACCTTGCTGTGCAGGCTTTGCTGGGTCGTGATGGCTGGGATGGTCCCTTGGCGGATTGTAAGCGGTGGATGTGTGGTGATTTCGGCTGTCATGACATCCTTGCCGAGGCCTGGCAGAAAACGCGGACAGGCCTCGAGCACTTCAGAGAAAGAAAAAAAGTCAAGATGCGTCGCAGCTTGTTTTGACAGCTTGTTGATTCGGTTCCCATGACGCGGAAGGCAGCCTGAGCAAGACGACAACACGGCAACGCGTCCCGGCAGCGTTGAGCGGCCAGCGTCTGTCGATGGGATCAATTCTTGCCCTGCATGACTCGACGACGCTGCTCCCGCCGACTATGCTGCATGAGGTTTGATCCCTACCTCTTGGAGGACGCAGATGGAGTGGAGGAAGCCGAAGAGGTTGAAGAGGCGGGCTTCGGCAGAGAGTTGGCTTATCTGGTTATCTTGCTTGGGCCCGATCCTAACGGCAGTGCCTGGAAGCGGGGGTTGCCCCAAGGACTCTGCCACGGAGGCCAGTGATTGGGAAGACTGCGCAGCTTGGGTGCACTCACTTGATGCCGATTCCCAGGTCCTGACCCAAACTCTGCATGCCTTGGTTTTGGGCACACTTCTAAAAGACCCACTCACCTGTTGCTTCGGGAGGGAAGTAGTTGCCGCCTGAGGATTGGACTGACCTTCCCATTGGCACCACCTTCGATGCGGACGGCGCCGCTTCACTTCTGCTCAGTATCGTCGTGCTGTGATGATCGACCGCGTGTAGGGATGCAAAGAGGTCCAATGGACAGGCTGATGCCCGTTTGCTGATCGAGGGTTGTTGGACGAGTTTCAAGTCTGTGCAAGTGACATACTCGTGCCACTCTTTTGGACTTGTCACTGCCCCCACAGGAGGTACGTACATCGCCCAGAGATGTGCACGACGCGTACCATATGTCAATGTAATCATGCCTATCTGGGCGAAGTCAACTTTGCGAAAGGTGGGCTTAGGGTGGTCTTTCACCGAGGCTTCCTACTCCGTGGCCCGGAAGCTGGGACAAAGCCAGGGGATCATCACTTATGCGGTCAACTGCAAAGGCGCATTGACTCGGATGGCTTGGTGCTTCTGGTCTTTAGGAGTCGGCCGAAGAAGTAGTATCCTGGCTCTGGAGGCAGACGTGAAGGTTGAACAGGTTCCATGCATTCAGCGATCCCCGAGAGTACTCTAAGGGGATTTCCGAAAATAGGGGACCCTAACATAGTACCCTAAATAGTAAGCCCAAAATAAGGTGTCTTATTTTCGGACACTCCCAAATAAGCCTGTTTCCCCGCGGCCTCTGCAGGAGAGAACTACGTCGCCAAGTTCGCAGCCAACGGCCCTCAGGCAGCCGCGAGGAGTCTGTGCCTTGCTGCCAATGCAAGCACTCACAGCAACCCTAGAAGCAACGCTGAGATAGCAAAAGCATCAGTGCAACGCAGCTTCTGCATCGCGTGTAATGATAGTCCCAACAACAATGGTGGTCACTAGTTTTAGTAGTTACGTGTTCAATGGAACATGGGATCGCTGCTAGTAACTTCTCTAGTAGTCATCGTCACGCTAGTCGACCTGCAAATGCCGGTTCCAGAACGGGCTGAGCCCTGCCCTTTGCGCAAAGCAGCGTTTCAGTCGCTGTGGTGGTGGGAGAGAGCCAAGCAATGATACCCAAGACCTGGGATGGTGTGTGAACCGACATCTCTCAGTCAACGGAGCAAGAGTCCAGGGCCTTGCTTGCCACTCCGGGCGACAAACGTCATGCCGCGAGGGTGTCAACGCTCGTAAGTGAGTCACCGCTTCATTCGCGCTACCACTGGAAGCCTGCTCTTCAAGCGGCGTTTCGGATCCGCCGCCACCAGCATCAGTATCATCACCGCAAAATTCCGTGTCATCGTTGCTGTGGTGCTCTCAGGTCCATTCTCAATACTGTCCGTGGTTAGACATTGACTGACTTTCTCCAGGAGGCGTTCCGGTGAAGCGGCCGATGCCGATGTCGTGCTGCAGAACGTGTCCGTAGAGCCCCGAACGGAATGTTACTGGAGGGGACTTCATCAGTGGGCAGCACTTTTGAGAACATAGAGGGTATGGGCAGGTATGGGCGGAATCTGTGAGTCCATGTTCAGATTTCTGGGGGTGGTGAGGGTCTTGGCATACGGGCTTGAGTGCAAAGAGACACACGGGGGAAGGTCGCCATCATCGACGGATGGGCTAGTTTTGTTGGGATGACTCACAACCATAGCAGGTGAAGCTCGGAAAAGAGCGAGCTCTCCGACCAAGACTAGTCTCATATTGTACAAACCATGGTTGCAGAAGCAACATCTCTGGAATGCCATGTTTGCTCACTGTGAAGCCTCCCTTGAAGTTTCAAGCCGTCGAGGATGTATTTGACGTCAGCTCCTTCGTGAAGACCCTCGCGGAGGCGAGCTCAGGAGCTGACGGCTCAAAGCTGGGCTGTTTTGGGCTTTTTTGGGCTTTAGGTTCCATGAGACGTCTGGGGAGTCGCCCTTCCGGCCTGCGAAAACAAGTTGCACTTGTGCACGTTTGACTTGCAAAGCCGTCGGCTGTCGCGGAGGTCATGGCAGACTTCGGCGTGTCTCAGCTCGCAGCGCCTGCTCCCGCAGCTGCTCCAGCGAAGAGAGCAGCTCCGGCCAGCCAGTGTCCTGCCTAAAGCTATTGGTAGAAAGTGAGCAGTTGATGAGTCTTTTTAAAGCCGCTGTAAGGCCAGGGCCCGCGATGCTGGTGCCTACCGAGGCAGGGCTGCATTTTGCGGCTGCGGGCTTCGCTCCATTCCTCTCATCCTGTCTCAGGCAGCCCCGCAGCCAGAGACGGCGACGTTCAAGCGACTGCTGCTTGGCCGATGTGTGTGCAGATTTGTTGTTGGCCCTGTGGGTAAACTGGATTCTTGTTTTCGGACAGATGTGAACAATGCTGATTGCTTCTGCAGGTGCACCAGTTAATCATAACGAAGATGCCACCACCACCACCACCACCACCACCACCACCACCACCACCACCACCACCACCACCACCACCGGCTGTCGGCGGTCACGACGGTGGTCACCACGACTCGTTCATTCAGTTTTCTCGGCACATGCTCGAGCTGCTCTCGCTTCGATTTGGGACCTAGCAACGGCACATGCGAACCTCGCAAATGGTGGAGGCCGAGGGTCCGAGTCCCCACTCTCCCAAAAGCCAGAATCCGAGAATGTTCTCGTGTTGCGCGGTAGCTGCACAGATTCGCCACCCCATGCGTATTGATGCATAAAGCTTGGAGAACCAATCGACAGTGTCTGAGGTTTCACGAGCCAGGAAAGCCCGAGGAGCCTAGCCCAGAGAAGGTGAAGACGCTGTGTCCTGCCTGCAGTTTGCCTTGAGCAAAATCACCCGCTTCTGTCGGGGTTTGACTTTGAGAGGCTCTGAGAACCGGATGCTTCTGCTCGACTCCTAACGCCACCTCTGGTTTTAGGTTCGGCGAAGCGGCGGACGTCCAACCGAAGAGGCAGATGTCTTTGGACAAATCCTGCTTCAAGGTACTCTTCCGGCCTCTATGCGGCATACATTGCAGGTCGAGGGTCTCGCGTGCATTGAGATCGGCATGCAGGCTCGTCTTCCGTGTTGGTCTCTGTCCAAGTTGACTTCGACGAGCAATCCACGGCTTTTCAGATTTTGCTTTGGTGGCAGCCGCCCCTCAACCCTCCGGCTTCGATGTTTTTACTAGTTCCCCGTGCATCGGGGCATAGGAGCACAGTGCACCGCAACGTGAAATCTTAGGGAGCCGGCTCTGGAGACCGCACCGACCACGAAGGAGGAGGGCACTCGGCCAGAAGGCAGCCAAGGCCCTCTGAACGCGGAAACTGCAAGCGAGTTCCCACCATGTAGTCATGATCCGATGGAAAGTGACCCTGAGCCCCAAAGGTTGATCGAGGGTCAGTGGAGCACTAACGGAGTTGCACCAGCAAGGTCGTGGTTGTGATGAGAAAGCTGGGCGTCTTTGCTTCCCAGATTAATGTTGGGTAGAGAAGAGGCAAGCGAGCGGTCTTCTTCCCGACAGTGCCCTGTGGCCAGGCCAAGCCGAGCTCTTGGCGCCGGCGTTCGCAAAGTTTCCCTGTGTCGCGGGACCCAACTTGTTTTGCTAAGAGGGCAGTTCTGAGCCTGACAGAATTTTACAGCGCTGGAGGTTGTACCGCCGCCAAGGCCAAGGAAGGGCGAGGCACCGGGGAGCGGGGTGCCGACCTCCGAACTCAGCCACTGGCCTCGTCCGCGCGCAGGGGTCCTCTCCGGAGAGATCGCCGCCCGTTGGCCAAGAGCCAGCCGGCGAAGTTTGGTACAAGGCGGACGGAGAGACTCTTCGAACTGAGCTGGGTCGAAAATTGCATCAGTCGGGACTTGTGACAGTGCAGACTGTTGTGAGTAACTTGTAGGGCGACGAGCCACGAATGCTCAACTCCGGCGGGCTAAAGCGAGTCGACGGCTGTGCAAGCGGAAGGCGCCGCCTCCCAAGAAGACGTTGAGCTCCATGCTGAGCAGCTACGAGGAGGAGGAGGAGGACCGGCACAACGTCTCCGGGAGGTGGGTTTTCTTTGTTGAGGGCATGCGGAGCTGCTGTGGTAATGTGGAGAATGGAGAACTTCACAACGGGTCCCTCCTTTGGGCTTCGAGCGGCGGAGCTTCCCAGGAGCCCTTGGAGCCGGAAACTGCTGTGGAGCGGCTCGGAGTGAGGCCCAGGCCCTGGGAGTCTGGCAAGGAATCGAGCTTAAGGTACCAGAACAAGGAAAGCATGCTAGGTTGCCATCTCTCTACCTATCTCTTTGTCTGTCTGTCTCTCTGCCTGTCTATATGTATTTATCATATATCCAAAGCACGGCCTACTTCTGCTGCCACGCTGCAGCTGCTGATGGTCCTGCCCGTTCGATGCCGCTGCAAACGATGAGGAGGATTCTTGCCGCAATAGCAGACAGAGAGCGAGAATCAAGGAATCATACCAGCACAGCACTAGCACGGACAAGCACTGGCAATCGTGAGTTGGCCTCACAACGGTTGGTGGTGGGCACTGTTATATCCATGACACGCTCCTCTGCTGAGGAGAATTCCGACATGAGATGAATTCAGTCAGCATCTGCAGCTTAATTATGTTAACATGAATTGGTAGGCACACGCAGTTGTTCTAATTTCTCACCACCAGCATCCTGCCGTTCTGCATGGTTCCAGCACCTGGCTTGTTGCAAGTCTCCCTTTGCGGAAAAGGCCTTGCCTCCAAGACCACAACTACGACAAGATCCTACCCTGCAGCCCCGAAACAGGCTTACTTCTGATGCGGCTCGAGAGCGTGCTGCGCAACGCCGCGGCCGGGCGGAGGCGCTCTTCCCTTCATGCTCGAGTCGAGACGGGAGCCGTGAGAGCCCCTGGGAGCCCCCTCTGTGGCGGTCAGGTGCGACCTGTCTTGGATGAGGCGCCGAGCATCGAGGACATCCGTGCTGCGAAATTCGACATCCTTTTGCCAACTACTTGCTTGCTGTTGTGGGGTTTGGGCGGCTTTTTCTCTTCGATGTCGGCGGGCTGGCTGACAAGTTTGGGATGCTTCCTCTTGCTGAGGCATGACGCAACCGTGATGTCTACGTGCGGTGTGGCTCCCTGTCATGCAGCCCTGTCGGACAAACGCAGTGCCTCTGTCCGAGAGGATCCTGCTGCTGGTGCAGGTGCTGCCAGCGAAACAGGCAGATGGAGTGGAGATGAGGGGAAAGCTGCAGCCATTTGCATGATAACCCACGATAGTTGGCAGATGCTGTTCACACACACACACACACACACGCTGACACTGGCCAGTCAGATCTCCGTGTCGGTTGCAGAGAGCACAACATTTCTGCCAGAGGTGGCCTGCTGCCGGGCAGTGTGTGGGACCCTGCCACCGGCCAGTTTGTGTCCGAACCGCCTCTCGCCAGCAGCGGTGTGGCGGGTTTCCATTATTACAGCGGTCAGATGGGTTCGGCCGACGAAACTCACAGGATTCCCGACGACATTCTGCAGAGCTTCAAGAAGGAGAAGGATCTCAAGCTGGAGGTCGGCTGGAAGGGGAGGGTTTTGGTTTATGCAGGCTTTCTTCGTGCGGGGCGGGGTCGGGAAGGGCGGGGGGGGGGGGGTTATTCAAGGCTTGTGAGGCTAAGAGGCGATCGGGCTTGTGGACAGGGTCTCCAGCCTAGGCCTTCTGAACAGCCGCGAAACGGGCTCCGAGTCTCAAGGATTCTGGAAAGCTTCATGATTTCTCGGTGCCCTGAGTCACTGCCAACTACCCGCCTCTGCCCTCTTTCGCCTGAAGGACTACCAGGAGAGGGTGCTCATGGCCCAGCTTGCCGAGAAGAAGCGGCGCTTAGAGCCCCTTGGCTAAGCCTCGCAGACCCCAATGCAGGACTTGGCCGCTTAGGGCCTGGGTAGTGACATGAATTCCGACCACTATGAAAAAGGTAGACCTTGTTTGGGCTCGGGCTAGGGTATTCAGCTTGAAGGCTTCAGGTCGTGACAGGCTAGCACAATGCTTTCAGGAATGCAGGACTGCAAAGGAGGTAGTGAGGGAGAAGATAGAGTCTTCCTTCGAGCAACTGAATGGAAGAGAAGGCTGAAGATGTATGGGGAAGGTTTCAGGACTGGTCATCAGTCACAGTTTTACAGCAGAACCTCCACTTAGTTTCAAGCCCAGCGGAGCACGCAGTAATAGACAGCCACTTTCAACAAGGTCGCCACAGAATAGAACGTGTTCTGTTCCCCACACTTACGAGCAGCACCGCAGCTTCACGTTGATGATGCCCAAGTCAGGTATCAAAAGGAGGAGGCAGAGAGGAGGGTGCGGATGAAGAAGATCGAGGACGCGTGCATGTCCAGGGCGCAGGGATTGAGCCAGAAAAAGCTTTAAGTGCAGGTACGGCGGTGTGCAACCGATTGCTGAGCAACTCGCCAAAGAAGCCAGAATGTGCAGGGGCTTGATGGACGACTCAACCACTAGCCTGTTGAAGCAAACGCAAAGATCTACTGCATTGCCTGTATTTCCAGGGATCATGAAGAGCGAGCTTGAAGTTGGAGGCCCTGTCGCCGAGTTTGCAGTTTTGTTTAGCTGTTCCCTGTGCCAGGAGGAGCGGGCGAAGCAGCAAGAGCTCTTGCGCCAACAGCAGCCACCACAGCCCCAGCCACGTCGGCCGCCACATGACAGTGCCCCGAGCCTGCTTGCCAGGGTGAGGCAAAGCACCCACATCTTCCTTCAGTTTGTGCCGTGCCTGCAGGCGTCCTCGGTGCTTTGCTGGCCTACGAAACCGCTGAGGCGGAGCTGACGAGCATAAATCCAGTCTCGGCCATGTTTTACCAGCGGCAGTCATGATGTTGTGTACTGATCATCATCTTCCAAGCGGTACATTTTGGCTCTGCCATGCTTCCATGCTACATGACGGCTGCGTGTGGCAGCAGTAGCAATCCTGCCGTTAAGCACGCATGCCCCTGCTCACGTGCATGAGAATCCTGCAATCTGGCCACACACAATCAATCGATTGATTCCCAGGCGCTGGGAGCAGCGACGCAGAAGACCGAGGAGGAGTTTGTTCTTGTACGCTCTCTGTGAATCCGCCGTTTATTGCCGCGAGGGTACTGGAGCTCGACTCTCTTGCACAAAGGCACGATCTTGCTCTGGTAGCCAGCGCCATCGGCTATGGTCCATCAATGAATTGGTCGCCTTGGCAGTTTTTCTTTAAGATTCCCAACGCTGAGCAGTCTTCTGTCGGTGAGGACGAACTGCTGCATGGTGGCCTGGTGGTAAACGGAACCCCTAACGTGCACGCGCACATACCAACAAGCAAAGAGGCTGTCGGCTCCCGTGTCTCAGCATGCCGACAAAGATGCACATGCACTATCTGCGTGCGTCGGTCGAACCGTGTCAGAACAATCGGTGGTTGTGATTTTTCATGTCTGAGACATGAATACGTTGCATGTCTCGGTCATGAAGATGGTATGTGCCGGAAGTAGAGGAGCAAACGCCCGAGCTCTCGCCACCGGCCAATCCAGAGTCTCCACCGCCAGGCAGTTTGCACGTGTTTGCTAAGATTCGGCCGTGTGTTGGACTGTTCCTGACAGGCAGTTTAGTCCGGTCGTTGCCTTCAGAGATGCTTTTGATGCCTCCCCCCTGCCCACTCTGCAATTTCACTTTGTCTCTGACGAGGGCCAGATCAGTCGGAGATGCAGGCCAGGTGTGAAACCAGGGATTGTGCCGACACCGCTGCGTGCACTTGCAGTTTGTGGCATCATATGCACTTCTTGCCGCCATGTCACAGTGTTTTTGAAAGTGCACTTGGATACCGTATACCCAGCAGCTCCGGGAATGTGGCACTCCTAATTCCAGTGATGCAGAGAAACATCAACCTTTTCGACTCAAGTTTCGCTAGCTAGACGCCGTCATTCTTCCCTCTTCTTGACAGGCTGCCTCGGTGCCTGTGGATGTGCAGATGGTGCCAGGCGCCTCATTTGTCTAAGCGTCAGCGTGACTGAGAAATGGCTGGCACGTCTGTGCCGCGAGCTTCATTGTACACAACCCCTCCGAAGACGGCGGGCTTCACTGTGCCCTGTGCAGCGGCAATCAGTGGCAGCAGTAACACAGCTGTTTGTAAGAAGCTTGTGTCAAAGGTCAGGCGTTCTTTCTGCACCCACTAGTGGCGATCCCGAGAAGAGCCTCAAGAGCCTCAAAGTCTTGCTTACAAGTACAACTTGACCACTTTGGTGGCTCTCTTCGTCAACTCTCGATCGTTTCATGTGTCCTTTCTCCATGCGTGTCGAAATCTTTGGCACAAACTGTAGTTCCTCGGCAGTGTACCACGTACCGCTAAACATCACATCGAACCTCAAAGCCTCGAAGCAAGGGTGCAAATGTGCTCAGCTTCAGCATCTGTATGCGTGTGGGAGGCAGTTCGACGCAGCTGCCTGAGGCAGACCAGGCAAGGCAGTCAGGGATCTCAGCGTTGCTTTGGAGACTTTCGGCGATTAACGGGGGGTGCTTCCCCGTTCTGCAGGATAAGAAGCTCCCCGCTAAGAGGCACAGGTGCAGGCTTGGCTTGAAAGCCAGGCGCAGCTCCTGAACGTGCAGCTCCAAGCGCAGCCTCCCGACGGCACATTCAAGACAGCGAGACCATTTTCTCGATTCTGCCCTGTCGGATGGGTTCAGGGTTTACTTGCCCCTCCACAGCTCAAGGGGCCTCGTGAAGTCGTACAATCCGCCGCTCTATCGTAGACAGCAGACGACCTAGATATTTTACGACCTAGGTTCAAGACTTGTCTAAATATCCTGGGAGCCCCGAGGCAGTTGCAGGTGCAACAGCTGCAGCTCCAGCAGCTCCAGGTGGAGTTGTGTTGCGTCGTTTTGGAGTCGTGTGCAAGTGGCCGTCTAGAGTCTAGCTGTAGTGCTTGCCGAAACTATGCCAACAGCTTCAATTTCTTTTGCGGCACAAGGCGCAAAAGCGAGTCCCGCCTCTTTGGCCACTGTGTTTGCCACTTCTTGCAAAGACATGAAGGTGCCCCCAAGGACAGAGGCAAACATCACAACGATATCGAGCCTATGCGAGAAGCCTCCTTTCCAGTCAAGGAAGTGCCCAGTGCCAGCAGCTCAGCATGTCTAAGTGCAACATGCTTGTCGTTGCGTTTCAGGCACAGCAGCTTGCCACGCTCCAGTCGCTGCTGAATCTGTACAGCCGTATGCCGGGGCCCTGGGCGGTACCGAAACAGAGCACAGGCCTCGAACAGAGCCTTTGCTTCGACAGCTACGAGATCTCAGAAGCTGCTGCACCCAGTAATGTGATGGGTGGCTTGGTATTGAAGCAGCCATGGGCCGGGCACCAAACCGAAAAGAGCCGCGGCAATAGCACCACCCATGTCGAAAGCCTGGAGACAGTCAGCTCAGTCACTGACATCTTTTGGGTTGGAGCTGTGCGGCTCCTAGACCTATCAGGTTCACATGTGGGGCAGTACCCAGAAGACTGCATTTGTTCAGGTCTTCTCCGCTCGCAGCCGCAGGGCCAGCGATTCCTTTGGAGCAGCCCGGCCGGCAGAAAGGTTCGATTCGCAGCTCGGGAACGCAGTTTAGCAAAGAGGAGCATCTGTTCCCGCATTGCCCACACCAAGTCCGCAGCAGCTTGCGATGCAGCAGCAAATGCAGCTGGCTGCACAGATCCACGCCTGGATGTCTGCAGGCGGGATCACTTGTAATCAGGTACAGGCAGCGTCAGAGAGTGTCTCCCAGATGGTTGGATGTGGCACTGCAGCCGCAGAGTCTGCCGAAGCTGTGATTTCCAGCCCGAACCTGTTGTAGGTGCATGTGCAGTGTCTCAGGTCTTGTGGAAAGCACCAGATGTGACGGCTCTGCATTTTTTAAGTCAGCTGTGAAGAGGTCATGCGCCTCCTGCCCTGTGAGGTCGCAGCCTCAGAGCATCTGAGGATGAAGCGGTTGCTGTCAGTTGCTGTGTTGTAGGACAGGATCATTCTCATCAGCACTTAACTGCTGCTTTCACAAGATTCCAGAAGCATTTTGCAAAGGCGAAAGAACGTCGAAGATCCCCTCCTGGAGATTGCAGCGCTTGACTTCACTTGACCTCTGCTTTGTTTGATTCGGCTGGAGAGAAGTTGCTTGCCGAGCTGGGCACGGACGTCATCGCACTCTGAGCAAAGCTTAAGGGGCCTGTACAGGCAAGGGGTGGAGGGCAAGAACCACCTTCGCATCTGTCAGCCTGTCCAAGACGTTCTCAATCGATGCGGAGTGGTCCGATTGGCGAGCAAGCACGGAGGGCAGTTTGGAGTTCAGTCTTGCTCTGGTGGCGGTGGGAAGTTGAGTGCGCTTGGAGGCCATGCTCAGCAATGGGTTAAGCCAGTGCGCAGAGACCAGCCGGTTGCGGGAACTGCAAGCAGCCTGCAAGGAGCCTGCCCCCCCTCTCACGTTTCATGCTTGAGATAGAACACGATGGCAGCGAGTTCACCGTCTTGCCATTCTGCGAACATGAGGAACCAACGTTCCCTGACATGGTGGGCTTCCAGGTGAGGGTGACCTTCGGCGCGGTGGACTGGCAAGCAGCATGGGCTGCAGAGGTAGGCTGCTGGGTGGTTCACGACTGGGACAAAGCCGTTGGTCGATCACCAGATGCCTTTTGCAAGCTTCCGGCAGCTTCCGGCAGCTTGGCTACCAGGTTACCGCGATCCGCCGAAGTTCAAAGAGTTTTCGAGAGAATTCAAGCAGATCGTCAGACGGCACAGCCACAGCAGGCCCAAGTCTTCGCATGGCCAGAAAAGTGCTTTGTCCGTCACAGGCTGCCAGTTATCGAAAGTTTCAGGCAGTACAAGCTTGGCGTGGACTAATGTGCAAAACGGCTTGCAGCTTCCCGTTTCCGTTTGGCGATCAGTAATGTTGGATCCTGATTATCAAACCCCCCCTCCAAGATCTCTCTGCAGGGTGCGCCTGTTGTTTGCATGTTTGCGCCGATATGGAGTACCCCATCCCGATCCCCGAACCTCTAAGAGCGCTGAATTCTCAAAGCGCCCAAGTGCTGAATTCTGAATCCGTAACCCGGGCAGCCCCTCCACCACCAAGCGCCCAAGCCCTCGACTGCACTCCATTGGCCCAAATCGGGTTGAAGCGGCGGGCCCGGAAGACGATCGGAGCCTTGCCGGGCACCCAAGTATTTCAGAAACTCCCTTTGGAGTTGCAGGGCTCCCAGAAATCCCCGTGTGGGTCCGAGGGTAGTTTGGGGCGGGTCCAATTCTGGTTTAGGTTTGCGGTTGGAGCGGCCAGTAAGGCCACTTGACGACTTAAGGACATGAAGAAGGAATGATGGTAAAGGACATAATATTTAATAAGAAAAGACACAATATGTGATACGAAGATGAACAAGTAAGCACGTGCAGCAACGTACATGCATGTCGAGAGGAGACGAGCTCGTTTTTTCAGGGGGGGGCTTTGAGGCGTTTCGTGCTTATCAGTTTTACCGGGGTAGGCGTTGATCCAGTCGTAAGGTTCGAGCAAACACCAAGCAGAAGCATTCGACAAGTTTGAAGTTTGCCATACCAAGGTGGCGATTTCAACATCCTGCTCTGGTTTCCGGCCTGTGGAGGACAGCTTGTCGAGATGAACCTTGCGCTTAAAGTTTGTTGATGTCTTGGGATTTTGTTCAGGGCACATCTGCACAAAGACGTTTTTCTCCTCTGCGCTGAAGTCTTGTCACCAGGCTTGCGCAAGCCCATGGCCGTTTCAAAGGCAGGGTGGGAGACCGTTGCAGGATTTTGTGGAAGAAGGGCAGTTCACCAACGCCAGGTCTTCTTCTCGACGCCGCCTCTGCTTGGGCACAATGAGGCCCCGGCGCTATAGGTCCCAAAGCTGCGCAAAGAGATTCCGGCGAATTGCAGCATCTCCCCAGTATTCACCAAGACTTAGCCGGGTCAACGGCAACACCACGATTTGGCAAACAGCAAATGGCATGGCATGCCAAGTCAGCTGCACAGACGTCGGCCTGATGGCAGGCTTACCTCCCACCGATCAAGGGTATGGGCCATGTAGCACAGCTACTGGGCGGTGGTAGTCCTTGGTTCTTGAGCTGTGGAGCAGTGCCTCAGGGTGCAAGGTTCAAAGTCACGCGCGACGACGCATCTAATGTATTGCTAAGGCTGTTGGCTGGGCCGGCTCTGATGATCCTGGCCTCACCCCCAGGCATGCTGTTCTGACCTGTTCTGACCTTAGGTTTTGGTGCCACCTGGCATAGTTTGGGTGAGTGAAGAGCCCGGCAAGAGGTCCTGGGCTTGCAGAATCTCAAGAGGCAGCTCACAAACACCCACAAGAGCGCCACGCCCTCGGCTCCCGGTCAGTTTCGAACGTCAACCTCGTCCGATGGGTTTTCTCCTTTCAAAACGGCTGCCATGAGGAGCTCTACGAGCACATCTGGAAGTTTATTTCCAAGGCACGGAGCTGAAGAGTGGCTCTTTGCCAAAGCTCTAAAATTGCAAGCTTTGTCTGTGCCTTCCCAACAGAAGCCTTCAAGAGGGGGCCCCCAAGCGCTGCGTCCTGAGCTCTGTGCCGCAGTCGCAGGCCGAGGCCCGAGACAAGACCGGGCGAATCGTCCAATACTTCTGCCGCTTCCTGCAAGGCCCGGTGGGCCGGTGGGGGACCAGCGGATGAAAAAATGAAGACTTCCAACTTTGAGCCCGAGTGGTTTGGCGCCAGGCTTCCTGGGCCACATGTCCGAAGGCTTCTGGCTCCAGGCCTGGAAGCCCGTGATCGCCGAGGCCGGACGGGCACCTCTCTCTCCCTTCTCTCTTCATAATCTTCGCTGAGATTCCGGGGTTTTCCTAGGTCTAAAGGAGTGCTCTTCAGCAGCCTCGCAGCTCTGATGGTAGCGCGGCGCCAGGTTCAAACGACACTTGCCTGGGCTCGTCGCACCCACCGATGGGGCAAGGCTCGGGTGTGGCTAGAGCTGTAAGCTTTGAATCCAGCTGCAGCAGCCTGCCGCGAAACCCGGATAGGAATTGCAACTTGGTGCTTCACCTGGCCGCAATGAGCACGGCTAGATGCAAAGCTGGCCAAACCCATCTGACAGGAGCTCCCGCACATCCCAGCGCTGGGGAAGGCCATTGAGAGCGGCGACATTCTGGAGGCGCCCATGCGAGATCCATGTTGTACCTGATTACCATATAAACGGTGTCGTATAAATCTGTTGTTCAATCCGGGCTGTGAAGGCAGGATGCAGGGGAGCAGGCGAAACAGAGCTGATGAGCGATCCATGCGGCACAACGACAGATGTGAGACATATGCAAAACGTAGCTCGACCAGAAGAGACGTTGCTCTGAATGAGGCTTCCCCTCCCAATCTTGGAAACGTACGACTTTTGGCCGTTTTGATCCGAAGGCAGCTCAGCGGGCAGTACTCATCACCTTCTTGATCCAGGAGTGGCAGCGTTGCACGTGCATTCCTTCGGCCCAAACGCAGCTCATGGCATCCAGCCTTTGCCTTGCGAGATTTAGCCGAGACCATGGTGGATTCAGGATCATATCTACTGGCTGCTGAAAGTTGGCATCCTCAAGCATTCCCGGCCGTTTTGGGGCGGGCGTGACGAGTTGTGTCCTCGCTCTCTTTTGCCGACTGCACAGAACGACTGGTGCAAATAGTGTATTGGCAATTTGACCGCACCATGGTTCGGCAGGATTCGTAAGCATGTGCATCAAGTAGCTCTTCCTGTCCTATGGAGAGTCGAAAAAGTCTGTCACTTCTGTCACGTGTTGCCGTGTCCTTGTGGCAGATTCCAGAACTACACCGCGATCCAGTGGCATCGGAGAAATCTCAGGCGCCTTAAGCTGGAATCTTGAGCGAGGAGGGGAAACGCCAAAAGGCGCCCTAGCTCTGGCCGCTGTCGCATGCAGTGTTGACGGCTCACCCACACCGTATTATCGAGCCTTGACTGTTGAGCCCGGGAGGTTCATCACACTGTCCCACGTGCTCAACTTCTCTCTGTGCGTGCGGCAGGCCCGACCCGAAAGGCGTCCTAATGTGGCAGACAGGGATGACGCCAGCCCCAGACCCACAAACATATTCAAGCATCCTGAGCACCGAGGGAGAAGGTGCAGTCTTGCCCAGTTGCCGGATGCTTGAGATCACGTGTGCTCGACTACCATCTCACACTGACTGAAGCTTGCCAGGTCATGAACATTCGAAAGAAGCAGCAGGACCGGGCTTCATCGGTGTCTTTGCTTTGCAGAGATGGTCGCTTGTGACTGTCACCTTCACCGCTGTGGATTTGTACTAGAATCGAGTGCTGGGAGCTGGAAGGTCGCGGCGTGGTTTCATTAGCTGACCTTAGAGCCTTAGGGTGTGTGTGGGGGGGGGGGGCTTGGCCGAGCACCAATGTTTCCAGCTCGCGGACTTGAGTCGCGAACCTCTGGCCCATGTCAAAGCTGATCGTCCCGCTGTTAGACTCACGTGTGGACGGGTGCCAGATATGCCAGATATCTGTAGTCAAGGCAAGACAGCAAGGGGCGTGGCGGCTCCCTGTCGCGATTGAACCCTGCCTGTCCCCAGCAGGCAATGAAGCCGGAAGACAAAGACGACCCTTGGCGGAGCATTCAGACAGCCGCGGACAGACGCGAGCACGCCTATAGACAGACCGACAGAGCCCCGCCCAAGAGCCTTTTCTGACAGGCAATCAAGCAAGCGGATAAGAAGGTCTATGACGAAATGAGAATGATGGTCAGGCAAGGAGACTTTGTTCGGTCCGTTTGTGTTCTTCGTCTGCTTCCTGTTTGCAGAAGGAGTACGTTTGGTTTGGGTGCCACGGGAATGGTCGGTTTATCTGCTCTTGGAAACGCCATGTTGCTGCCATAATCGTAGAACAGCCCACATGAGCGGTGGGCATCGCACAGCACAGCCACACCTCGGTTCTGTGCTTGGGGCTTGAGTCTGAGAGCAGCTGCTTAAATCATAATTGCTTCCTTTCCCTGCAAGCGACTTTGTGCAGGTATACTCTGACCTTCATTCAGATGCTGCACGTCTCACAGGCTTCTGCGAGGGGTGCTATTTAGACTCCACGTCCTGAGTGCGCAAGCATTGCTCGACCTCCCGGGCGAGTTGCCTCAAGGTGAAGAAGATGGACGACTGGTACATCGGCTTGATGGGCGTGGCCTGGGCTCTCGGCTGGTGGGCCCTGTTGTGTGCAGGGCGGTGCGATGCCCTCTTCCGTGTCGAGTTCTCTGTAGGCCCGGTATACTCGTAATTACCATCCTCATCGTTGCAAGTGCATCTTATTCAGCGAGTTTGGGAGCTTAGCCCGCTCCTTTCCTGAATGGCCCTTGCCAGCCAACGCACCGGTGCTTTTGACAGTTCAGATATGTTCCTGCAAGGTAGGTATAGAGTTTGATGGCCCCTATCCAGGAGTCAGTGTTCTGCTGAGGCGTCCTCGTACATTGACGCGTCGAAGCAGTGGTGAGCCGATGAGCCCATGAGGGCTTGAGAGCAAGATACGTCGCTGTCGTGCTGCCTAACCCGGAAGCAAGAGTTTACGGATTCCGGTCATGAACTGCAGGCAGCGCACCGAATCGAGCTCCAAGCCCTTAAAAGCTTTCACCTCCTGCCTCGGTCATCTTCGGATTTCGGGCGGCTTGGGCCCCCTTTCTTGGCGAAAGGATTCCTTTATGAGGAGGGTACTGCAGCTGTGCGCCTTCTAGTTAATGACGGGTAGTTTCGGGTGTAATGGGGCCTCCTAGCGCTAATCAGACCAGGGGGTGTTCTCTTACTCGTCTTCCCGGCACTCTTCGCAACGACCCTCTGGTGGAGACTTGAGTCTAAAAAGCAGCTGTTGTTACACGGAGAAGTGGAATCCTAGCGCCGAAGCGATTGCTTGACAGCTAAACAGTGGGGGCCTAGCCACCACTGCTGGACGGTGACTCCGAAGCCTCGGAGTATCGCAAAGATGAGCGATGGGCCGGAGTCATGCACCAGAGGTGGAAGAAGCCTTGGCCCTCGCAGGCGATGAAATTCATCTAATTTCATGCCGTGAAGTTTTTCCCTCTCTCCAGAGACCCGGTGCGAACCCAACCGGGGCCCCTTTGGTAGATCACACGCCGCTCTTGAAGAAGCCTGAACAATCCTGAACAGATGTAGCGCTAACCCCGGTGCTCACCAAAGGGCAATATCCAGCGTTATCGCGCTGCTTTGCCCGGCAAGAGGCCGGTGGCAGCCCCATGCCGGCTAAATGCAGTCAGTGTGCAGTTCGAGGATTCTGGTGACAGGAGCGCTCTTTTTCCGGATTGTTGGATGCTCTGTTGTTGACAGGAGCGGTTAACTCGGAACTGCCTGCGGACTCGAATCAAGACGACATGGCACCATCAGGTGCATGAAAGCCTGGCAGAGCCCAAAGGGCAGGTTGCGTCAACGTCAGCCCGCTGGCTCCAACTCAAAGCGCAGCCCCCATCAATCGGATCTGGTTAAGCCCCGGCAGTGCCAGCAGTTTGTCCGCAGGTTCAGAATGAGGCAAGCACCCAACCTTTTGGATCATGGAAGTCGGTGCATTCTTGAATTACGAGATGAGAAGGACAGCTTTAAGCCAGCTCCTGACATTGGCGCAGCGCGAGACCCAGAGACGCGAAAGGTGAAAAAGCGCTGTGGCTGTCACCCCCAAACCTCTGCAGAGTTCCACAATCGCAACGGCCTGTGTCAACCTCTTTGCTTTTTGCTCCTGCATGTCCTGATTGCACTGGATCACGGAACTAGCTGCAGAGTTACATCCGCTCAAAACCAAAAGACCTCGGCGCGCAAGTGTGCACAGCTCTACTTACACTCAGCCGAAAGAAGCCTTGTTTGCCTGGCGTCAGGCTTGCTTCTCGTGAGCTGTACGGCTTGTGATGTAAAGCGCTTCCAAGCCGAGCCCCTTCGTGTGGTCTTTGGATGAGGCTGGGAGATTGAAGTGTTGCCTAACCATTCCTGGAGTCAAACAGCACAGCCCGTTCACCTTCTGCAGTTCGGCCCTTGGTGCCGTTGGGGGCTTCGTCGGTGGCGTCTTTGGCGGCGTCTTCGGCGGTGTCATCGAGGGCGTCAGGAGACGCCTCTGGGAGTTTAGCTGTCGGAGATGTAAAGAGACGAGACCTCAAGCTGCTTGTAGGCGTGGGCTTTTTAGGTTGGCGCTTACAGACTGCAAGGGGCGCGGATACACGGCTTCGTGAGATCAAGGGCAGGGAGATGCCCATGCACGTGCAGGGCTTGGTTAATCTAACGGTTCGCTTTTTATGGCTAGTTCTTAGGAGTTTTATGATTGTCAGCATCATTGTTCATAGGTTTAACGTCATCATCGTCGTCGTTGTCACCTACCGGCCACTATCATCAGCACCCGTCACCAGCCATCGTCCTCGACATTATGCAGTCATCACGACCGTCGGGATCGCAGCAATCATTCCCATCCTTCATGTTTCCATGCACCTCCTGCATCCACAGCACTGCTACCATCCTGCTTCTTGCAGGGGCGTGGCCTGCCACTCCGGAGACGCAGACAAGGAGAACTGAGGAAGGGTAGGCCTAAGTGCCTCCACCACGAAACCCGGCACAGTGGGCCTAGAATCACGAATCCGGCAGAGTCTCTAAAGGCCCGAAGTCAGCTGCAGCTCCCGGAGCTCCAGAGCTTGCGTTTTGGTGGCGCCACAAGTGATCTGATGTGGAATGCTGCCTGTAAACATGACACAGTGTTCGCTTCATTATCCACAGCAGTCACCTTCCCGGTTAGCCAAGAGGACGCCTACGACGATGAGAACATCTTCGAGCAACGTGCAAAGCTCGACCAGGCCATCAGCGCTTCACGACTTCGCATTTTCTGCCTTGCTTCGTTTGAAGTGCTCGCCAGCCAGCAAAACACTGTTTGAGCCTGAGAGGGCTTTCTGAATTCTGGGCCTCAAGCGCTGCAGAGCTGGACGTCAGGTGCTTCAGTTCTTCGAGCTGGAGTACGAGCATCCCGCCCTGGACTAGTCACAGTGAAGATTGCTTGTTGGGAGCACTCTGCAATTTGACCGTCAAGTCGGCAATGTCATGCTGTCATCCCTGCTGTTGCTCAGACGTGCCTTTCCATACTTTGACGCCTGAAGATAAAAGGAATGCTCCACTCTCGGATGAAAGCTACTGAGGAAGTTCAGTGGATATTTTGACGACCCGCAGAGGTGGGCCTTGGGGAAACGATCTGGCATTGGCTTCATGATGTCTCCCAGATCCTTGCTTCGCCAGAATGTCTTTTCTCTTTGTGATGGGCAAATCGCGGGCCAGGATGGAAAGTATGCGAGTGGAATACTACAACTGCATCAATGCCATCGAGTTCCAGCAGCTTGGCGGAACTTTACGATGGCTCGGGGTCCAGGCGAATGAACTCTCACATCTCTCAGACCTGTGGCTTTTCGGCGGTCCCCTACATGTTTTCTCCTAAGCTGAAAGTTTTGGGGTGACTTGCGATGCGAGACAGCACATTGAAGAAGCTTGATTTCTAGCGGAGTGCCACGGCGATTGATGCAAAGCTCGGCTTCTTGGTCAGGAGCATCTCATGTGGCGTGCTGACTAACTGAGGAGCGAGGTTCTCTCTCAGCTGGTGCCGCTGCTGCAATTCGATTCCATGGCACGCTTGGTTTTGCCATAGTGGCTTCTCATGCTATGCCTCGAGCGTGGCAACTGACGATGTCCACGTTGTTCAGATGATGTCTTGTAAAAGAAAAAAGCCGAGTCTCCGTGTGCCGAGGTCGAGGAGCTTCTTGGCTTGCGCGGCGCGCTGCGGCGCGGCGAAGCCGGGACCCCGGCCGGCAGAGGGGGCGAAAGCGAGGAGGAGCGAGCGACAGATCACCTCAGACGAGAACCGTAGCACGTAGTGGCATCGTGCGCCATGTGCTGAGCTTCGCGCACTGCTCCAGGCTCTCGAGATGTCAAGGAAGGCGCGAGCCCGCCAACTGCAAGTCTTGACAGCCGTGTCTCTGATTCGCTGAGGCGAGACGTTGGCTCAGCTCTTCTTTTCACGGTTGTCAGAGTCTTGCATGACATGCAGGCTTACCAGCCCAGCAGTAGCCGGTTTCTGTAGTTTTCACCGGCTGCCGGTGCTATCACTTCCCGACCAACTGCCTCAAGTTGCACTTAAGGGCGGCGCCGATACATTACATGTCAGTGTTGACGCCAAAAGCTGTCACCGTGCCTTCAGTCCTCTGTACTGCTAGTGACCACCTTCTCTGCCTTGAAGTACACATGGGCACGTGGATCTGGAGCTTGCCTAAATATCTACACCCGTTGAAGCCCCAAACTAGGCAGACCAACATGCCGGATTTCGGAAATCACCGGCTCATTCCCAGCTTCTGGGGGAAGCCTGCGAAGACCGAGACATGCTGGGCTAGCTGCACAGGATCTTTCAATCCGGCTCGCGAACCTCAAGCTGGACATCTCCGACAGGAAGACGAAGCGCTTCTTCAAGGACAGGCTGCAGGGGCGGGGGGAGCTGGCAGCCTTGGAACCCGTCTCGGTCTTCCAGAGTTGCCGCTGCAGAACAACACTCAAAGATGCGACGTGCGTGGATGGACCATGGCTTTGGGTTTGGCGGGTCAGATGATATGCAGGGATCGAGAGCAAGCTTCGGCGGCCGTCTGTGAAGGTGCAGACACCACATGGGGTGCTCGGTCTAGGAGTCTAGCTGATAATGGCGCGCTTGCGAGATCCAAATGTGTCAGGAGAAGGAGCGGAGGCAGCTGCTGGAGACGCTTAGCCCGGCTGCGCTCTCAGTCGCTGGTGGCTGACGACAGACCGTATTCATGGCCTAAGTTTTTCGAGTGGGGCAGTGGGGAGAGGGCGTGATGCCCCTGTTAAAGCGGAGGGCCACCCCCCCAATTTGTTGCGACACTTGGGAGTTCCTGCCGTGACAAGGCAATCGCGGACGCCAAGACACAGCGGCCAGAGCCCCATCGCATGCAAGGAGAGGATACTCTCTTCTTCTTAACTTCGTATGCAAGAGCTTGATAGCTGATAGTGTCGCGCGGTGGCGGTGGCGACCGCCTCATCATCAACACCCTTGCGCTGCTTGCTCTGCTTGCGATTAAGAACAACCTTGTCACCATCGTACGCAGTCACCTTTGTAAAGCACTTCTGCTTCGGTTTCAAGCTAGTCTGCTTACGAGCATCCTGCGAGTCAAGTTGGACCAATCTTCGCTGGTATCAGCGTGCAAGCGGAACAGTAGGGAAACGGAAAGGGAGGAAACGTACTGTTGTTGGGACATCAATTGCCAAGCTAGTTCGCAGGCTTCTTGCCGAGCAAGCAGGCAGCGCAGGCCCCGATTTCAGTCTGTTTAAAGCACCTAAGAGCTGCATGTGATTGCTGCTACAGTAACATGTTCAGGCACATAAAGGCAGTCCGAGTCTGGCCACAACAACGACGAACTCCGAGAAGCATTGATGCTTGCACCTTGCAACTCGACCCAGTTGAGAGCACTCCTATGGATGCAGCCCCGCAATCTGCCCACATGGAGGCCGCGGGAGCTGGTGAGATTTTCGGCCTTTGCTTTAGGCTTTCGGGGTTCAGGGCCTAGCTTCAGCATGCGAATGAGCATTGGGCAGAGGTGTTCGAACGCGTTCCGTTAGGATGAAGCCCTGGTTGTCGAGGTTGGCGTACCCGAATAGTAGCTGGAAGCATGTAGCTGCACGCTCATGGGTTTCAGCGCTCCCACCACGACCATGAACACCGCCAAGATACGGCCATGCGCGCATACCGCGTCCGCATGCTGCATTCGGAGCCGCAGTCATTGTGCTTCGAGCCACGCAGAAGTCACAAGCATGAAGCTGCCACGGCGATTTGCAGCTTGTCTCGGGTTTGAAGCCCGAGGCCCACTCAGAGTTCGGGAACCCACAAGGCATACCGACTGGTCAGGTGATCAAACAAGGCCCAGCTAAACAAACTCCTTCTACAGTAGCGGACTTTACAGTCTTGGGTTCAAGCATCATTCTGACAGCCATGGTGCTGCTTCGGCTTGTCGCTGCCCCGTGGGTGCCCCCGATTGACATGGGGGGAGAGGGTAGCCAACCCATAGCAGCCCCAGGCAACTGCGAGATTGCATTTTGCATGCAAGAAAGCCTAGCATGCATCCGGGAACAAGTAGTGGACATGTCGCTAAGATTCTGAAAAATCTCGAACCACTCTGGCCTGGAAAGCAAGGAGTTGTTGACGCTGAAGCTAAGCTATACACCTCATGGCACTTGCCTATGCCGCCCCTTACGAAAATGCCACCCTTCACGAGAGAGATGCCCGAAAGATGCCTCCTCAAACCTGACAGATGAAGCTAGGAACTCACTCTGCCCCAACACCTTAGTCTAGGTGTTTGGGCCTAGGTCCTGTGCCAGCTGCTCTCAGGAAGTTGTTCCTAGCTCTTTCCCACAGATGAAGACGCAGCTCAAGCTGAAAGCAAGGTACTGCTGCTGTTGCGGCCGTCAGCATGTGTGTGTTCCGGCTGACCTGGCCCACATTGCACAAGTTGCTTCTGTCCTTCCATTTGCAGTGACCGTGCATAATGCAGACATGAGAACTGGCGGAAGATCAGCACTCACTACTTAGTCACGACTTCATTGTGCTTTATCTGCCACTACTATGATGGAGCCTGCAGCACGTGAGGCAGCAGTTGAATGATGAGACTTTCGAGCACCAGACGCAGGTGCTTTGTGGCTCACGGGGCATAGAGGAGAGCGGACATGCCTCAGAGGTACGAGTGTAGCGACAGGATTTCTGGAAGCGACAGATTGTGCGAGTTCTCGACAACCGTCAGACCCCTGGAGAAGCTTCCCGATGCCGCAGGCATCTACAGGCATGACAACTGGGAGCTGGCTCGTAACGCCAGCGGCCAAGCGCAAGGTGTCGCTAGGGGCGACGCTCTTTGCAAGTGAGAGGAAGTTCACTTCACTTGTCCGTAGCTGCCTCACAGCAAAAAGCACGATCAGCCCGAAGCGTGAACTGGTGCCGGCAGAGTTCAGAGTGCCTCATTTCTCAGGACAGCTGGCAAATTTCATGGCTCCAACGTGAAAGAAGTTCCAAATTAAGAGATTGCGCCAAGCGCGCGCCAAGACCACCCCGAAGTTCTCGAATCGCTCGATTCGTTGCTGAAGGTTTGGAGCGAGCGGCTGCAGCCGCTGCGGCGAATTTCGAGAGGCACCTGATCGTCACGACAGTTTTCTGAGACACTCCGTGACGCTGTTTTGGCAATCGGCTAATCGCTCAGCTTCACGCTGCGTAATATGCACTCGTTCGAACGGAAACATCTTTGCGAAACCGGCCAGGATTGAGTCAGCAGTCTTTTGTCGGAGGATTAAGGGCTGAATTCACTCTTCGTCAAATAAAGGGGGATTCCCACTAGCATCTCAACAGCTCGACGCGAAAATACCCACCTCATGCCAACAAGCTACATGCCGGAAGCGACATGTTGAACAAACATAGCATCTTAAATCTCTGCAACCATCTTGACAGCAGCGATGAGAGCAATGTGCATAGCCTGGCAGTATCCACAGTCAAACGATCCTTCCAAACGGACCCTGAAACAGGTCCATCCTCTTCGAGCATCATTTGTCACGCTGTACCGTGCTGTAGTGGAAGCTGAAAGTCGCAAGAAACGATTACATGCAGTTATGGCAACAAGACTCATCCTAGTAATCTGTGTCCTGTGGACCGTAACAAGTCCGCAGTTCTCAGTGACTTCAACAAAATCTTCGATGCAGGCCTTGGATGGAGTGGAAGAGGATCGGTGTGGGACTTGAGCACTGCCGCATAGGCTACAGTAGCATGGTGAGGATGTGCTCCGGCCGCAGGAGCTTCGAGACATTTATGTGATCCCTGCTCATGTGGACAAAGCGGACAGCGCAGGACTGTCGAGGGCATCAGTTCTGCTGACTTCAAACTCAAGACGGTGGTCATGTGCACTCAGCTATGATGGAAACTGCGAACACAAGGAAATACCTTTTCTAAGTCAGTGCTGGTGGAATTCCAGTTTCCACTTTGTTCGATGCTCTATGATCTGGTCGGCTATGAACTCCATTGTTTAGTCCTGTACATCCTGGCATGCTTCTCGGGTGTGCTGTACCAACCGACAGTGCATTCTATGCTTTAGTCAATGGCGATCATGTTCGAGCCGAAGGCTTGTGGAAGCGATTTGGCATCAGCGAGGCAAGAACAAGAAAGAGTTACAGAACTCATTTACTGTAGGATTTCTTGTCGGATTTGGTGATTCGGGATTCGGGATTCGGGCCTTGTGGGGTGTTTGTTTTGGCGGGACGGTTGGGGCTTGGGAGATGAGACATGGCAAGTGCAACTATCTTTCGAGTCACGGTACGAAAAGTAGTGAGAGCATAAGGCGTGATATTGCATTGTAGTTGCATATTGCACGGATGATACTCAAGACCCCTACTGTATTATGCATAATGTCAATACAAACAAAGAAATACACATACATACGTATGTACATACATACATGTATATAATAAAATAAACAAGTAAATACACAAATAGTAGATATATAAACATATATAAATATAAGTATACATTTATTCATTCTTATTCATTTTTATTGATGTATCGATTTTTAATCTATATTCCTATTTATTTGTTTCTGGAGTCATTCATTCATTTATTTATGTCTACAAGTTGTTGGCATGTGGTATAAGTACAAAATGTAGCCATATGTTCAGAGCTGTTGATGGATAAGCGCTAGAAGCTGGCTGCCAGCCAATCAGCACAGAATTTCCACAAGGGCAAAAGAAGAGTATCATAAGCACAACTGGTTGTTTTACACGAAACAAGTTAGTTTCGGAATCGTACACACATGTCCCTTTACTTCTCATGCCAACAACGAGAAAAGCCATTGCACTTAAGCTGCCACTTTAAAGCCGCCCCACGTGCCCACGAAGCCTCTGAGAAGCGAGTTTACTTCAGCCTACCAGCAGCATCACCTGCTCAGGTGCCCTGGACACTGCTTTTCGCGAAGCACAAGCTGTACCGCTACACGGGCGCGCAGGACCGGCAAAGTCCTGCTGCAAGCATCGTCAAGCCAGTACAGTAGCGGTTTGGGGTTTAGGCTTGAAGCATCGCGATGCTTCGGATTTTCGGGTGCAGCGTTGCAGCATTGAATTAGGGGTCGAATCCGGCAGATCCCGTTGAAGCAGTCACACATGGGTTTCTCGGGCTTACGAGATGTCATTACTCGTAGTAGCATTGGTACTTTCTCGGTGCAGTCTTCAGCATCTTGCGTCACTGCTCAAGTGTGTATGCTGGTTCTCTTTTCGACACGGGCAACAGCAGCAACAGCAATGCGGTTGATGAAGGACACGAAGGGCAATGAGCACGGCTGCAGCTCGCGATGTTACATGCGTGCGAGGTGAATAAGAGCATGTGTAATACATACCGAACCACTGGCTGCTCCGCTTCCATCCGTCTGCACTGTCTGCACATGTGGCAATCACTATACTTGCCAAGATGCCCAGCAGCATTTGTACAGATTGAGCCACCTGCGACACAACGGGAAAGAACCAACAAACGATCCACGTCCCGACACAAGGAACGGTCCGCTTGGTCTTGCAGAGAAAAGGAGCGAGTTCGAATCCGAGCGGCCACATTGTCAGTGTTGGGGATATGCAACCAAAGGCGAACAGAGGCTCGGAGTTTGTGTCAGAGTGGCGACAGGATGGCCAAAGCCTTTTGGCCTTTGCTCGAGCTGCTTTAGACGGTCAACTGGAGGCAGGAGAGGCCTGGCCATGGGTATTGCTTCCAGCATCTCACAGAACTTGCTTCAGTGCTTCGCCCCCAAGTGATGCATACGGCAGACCTAGTACATCAGAATGTCTTGCTGGAAGCAGAAGAATCGACAGCACAGTTTCTTGAACTTGACCACAGATTCCTGCACCCCCGAGCTTGCTTGAGACGCTACTGGACAAGGCCCGGTGCCCGGCTTGGGGGGCGTCGTCGGGAACAACGCGGGATTTGTGGGCCTAGCAATGCCTGTGTACCTTTGCTTTGGGAAGCAAGCCAAGCGCGGAGCCACACAGCCCGGCATCCAAAGCAGCAGTCGCGGGGCCGAAGTGGATTCACGACAGTTCAGCATGTTGGGGAGACGATGTACATGGAACAGATCAGGTCAAGAGTATCTTCGGTGCTGGAGAGCTTTGACGAGCTTGGGTGAGCATGCTGCATCTTGCCCAGAAGGTGCTGCAAAGACGTGTGACAAAGGACGGAATGTTGGGATCCCCAACTCTGCCCAAGCAGACTTGCATAGCTGATGCCGCTACGATGCCTCGCACGCTGAAGCTGGCGGCTCAGGGCAAAAAGGCTACATTCTGGGCTTGTTTCCGACGGCGGGTGAAAAGCTGCCAGCTTGGGGGTGCAGAGGCTTGGTGCCTTGGTGTCGGTTCGAGTGTTTCCTTAGTGGCAGGCTTTGCCCTGATGCAAAGACGCATAGAAAGTTGGGATTGCATGAGTATGTGAGAAGGGTCGTCGTGTACTTTTGGCGTTTCCGGTGGTCGGAAGCCAGGGCCAGGAGCGTTCAAAAAAACACAACCCCACTCACCGTGCTGTCTTCATCGGGGATGCAGCAGCTGCTGCATGTCAGCCTCAACCAGGGTGCGAAATTCCGAAGCCTCAGACGCAACCGGAGCCCGAAAACCCATACTGAAAACGAGAGAGCTAGGAGCACTGCACGAGCAATGCTGGCTGTTGGACGATGACAGGTTGGAATTTCACAAGCTGTGTCACGTGTAGCACCATGCCTCACCAAACATAGCCTGGGAGCCCGAGCCGATAGGGAGCTTCATAGCGCAGCATAGCGCAGCATCCGTCGCGAAATCGAAGAGGAGGACTGTCCCGATGCGGAGGCGACGGCCTCCGATGGCGGCAAGCACTCTTCGACGGGCACCCGTCAGAGGCCAACTCTGCGAACCCATGTTGCCGTGTGGAATCTTGGGATCAAGTCCCTCACTCTTGGTGCGGTTATCGCACGAACACCAGGCCGCTCATTCACGCTTGCACGTTCTTTTCAGAGTAGTTGACTTCGGCGCAGGCGCTACAAGCACTACAGCGACAAAGAACTGGCGCGGCTCCCAGCAATTGAAAGCGCACTCAACCGTATGCAACCCTCCAGGTGTGACAACTAAGACTAAGATCCGTGAACATGGATATCATGGGTTCGCCAGCTCTGTGAGTTCCCACAATCTGCTTCAACATATGCCACAGGCATCGCTCCTGCGCGAGAAGGCACGGACTCTCTGCATGCTCGCGAAAGCCAACTACTTCACCGCTGTAGTCTTGCAAGCTACATCTATCCACACACCAATCTGAGAAACTTTCGTGATTCGTACACTCATCGACTCGGATTCCGTCGAAGCCGGTATGCGTGGTCTCGGGATGAATCAAATTCAAACGGTTGCAGAGGTGTGATGAGCTTGTAAGGACGTGAGCGCCGTGGTGAAGTCTTATTCAATGACCTGTTTCCTGTAGTGACTGTCACTGTAGTGTCACTGAGCAGTTTTGGTTCGAGTTGCGCGCTCGCGTCAGGACGACTAGCCCCGCAGCTGGCATCGTCAGTGGGAGCAAAAAGGTGTTTGGCAACCAGATGAGTGAGAGTGAAGGGGCACGTGAACTTCTGCTGAGTGCTAAGCTAACTGCTGATCCATATATGTTGGCCAGCAGCTGTTTCCTGTGACCCAGTAGCACCTCCGCTCCAGAGCAACATTTCCTATATCAACCCATTGTAAATTATGGACTCTAATATTTACGGCAATAGAATACCGCTGTATCGTTCCGTGTTAGTACCCAAACTCCGAGCATCAGTCAGTCCTGAGTCGGAAAACATGAACTGATGTAGGATAGGGGAATCAGCGAGAATACTCCTAACATGATATGTCAATATGCGTGTATGTTTGTCGAACTGAGTGGCTTCACGGATATATCTTCAACGTCTCAATACTCTATGTATCGGTCATTCATCGACAGTTAATGAAGTAGGTGCGTTTTGACTTCTGTCGCTTCTGGGCTGGTTTTCCAGACCACGGACACGAGACACCACACGATAACATCATATTTCGGTTCACAGCTGTCAGAAGGAGCGAAGCAACATGTCACGGCACGATGGCACAGGCGAACTTGATGTTGTGAAGAACAAACAACGAACTCACGTTCCAAGTAACGTCCGATAACCCAATTTCGCTTTCCTCACTGAGTGGCCACAAGCATGAGACTTTCCAAACATGCCGTTCCTTCGCGCAAAATGCACTGAACAAGAGAAGCAAGAATCTTGGCACCACACCCAAAACCCACATGATCCCGACAACAGCGTGATTGGACGATGCAGTCTCCATCGCATGGAAATGCTGCTCCACCGTACAGCCGGCCAAGTTGCAGTCGTGTGTGCATTGCAGGAAATGTACATAGAAGTTCGAGCGTTGAAGGCATCAGGACTCGGATCGTGAGCATATCCTTGCGCTTCTCTCATGTTTGATTCCAAGTTCTGCGTTTTCTCTGTTGGAGGAGGATGAACCTGACAGTGAGTTAGGAAGAATCACAGAAAGACGATGCCGCAAGTCGCACAGCACAGTCCACCACCACACATGCTCTCTGGCATGTTCCGTACTTCACTCGAAAGTGCTCGAGCTTGAAATGGCGGTTTGTGTGTGTGTGTGTGTTGATCTGATCGAAGCGAAGCGGCGACTTCTGGCCAGGCATGGTTACAAGTCGATGAAGGCATCGGTGAAGGGTTTTGCAGTTGGCCTGCATGGCCGCTTGGCGAACGACTTTCATCTTTGAAGCACCAGTGGCTGCGTTCGGAGGTGACCCTCGTTTATCCTCCGGTGCGCCTCGAGCCGACAACGATTCCTCCTGGTGGGCAGCCCAGGGGCCCAGCCCGGGACTGCACCCGGCAGCAAAACAGACTGTACTCGTGCACTACATCGTTTTCTCCGAGTCTTGAGGCTGTTTGTCGATTCTGTGACGAATGTCGCGCCAAGGTTCACCGGTCTTCGGGGCTGTCACACCTCAGCTGCTTGGACGACCCAAGTTTCGGGTGGGGTACGGCCTCCCGGTCTTTTGGTGACCTCCCGAAGCTTCAGCTCCCAACACAATCCATTCGTCCCACGTTTTCGCCCAAGAGTACAAAAGCAGGTGGAAAAGGCTTTTTGGCTTGATTCCTTTCGTGTTTGCTTAGACTGAGACTGACACAGCAGTCTCGGCGTTGAAGAAGTCTTCGACAGGAACGGCTTCAGTTGCTGTGTTGAGGCAAACTCCGCGCTTCGTTTCCGGCGCGGGGTCCGTACCAGTACCAAGGCTCGGATGCTTGGAAGTGGCTCCCCCGTAAACCCGAGCCCAAATCTGGCCCATCACTACAAGGGTGGAGCCGACATGGAGCATGAGTCCCTCTCCAGGGCAAATTTTGCAATCAGCCATTTTTGCGGACAGGGACGTGTGGAAAAGTGTGCTGCTGGTGGCCCTCCTTTGCCCTCGAAGTTCGGTCAGGACCGCCCTGACGCCGGTCCCCGGCACACGTCAGGCTGGACACCTTCCCCAGGCCCCTCAGCAGTTTTGAAGCGCTTGCTGGCTCCAGCGCCCGCAGGTTTCGCAGCCTGTGCAGGCCGCAACCACGCCAGGCGGGAGCATGCATCTCGTATATAGAGCTCTGCAGGTTACTTTTCACGTTTCAGGAGTGGTAGTTCACGGGAAGTCGCGAACTCTAGCTTGTACTCCGTGCACCCGAAATCTCCGAAATCTGCACTGCAGTCTTGCTGTCTCTGCCAACTCATTGCAAGAAGCATTGCACATGTTCTTCTGTCCACCCTGTCCGGTCTGTTCTCGCTGCAATTGAATGCTTTCGCAGCCCCACCGTGCGTGGTGACGGTGGGAAGGCGCGATGCCCAGGGATTAAGACTGACATGTCGTTTTGCCTCAGCCGGAGAGGAGCCAAGGGCTTGTGACCGTTGCACAGCTCCAGCTACCAAGAAATCCCTTTAACAAGCGGAGTCTGCGAGACTTACGAGGCTCACGCCAAGAACGCCAGTTACACTCCCGGCGCTGGGCTCGGGGAGGGGTGGCAAATGATATTTCTTATCTGGGTTGGAACTCAGGCTGCTTGTGGTCAGTCACCACTGTAGTTGTTGCTCTGTGCTAGCAAGGGAAAGGTTTTTTTGTCGCGGATGGTGTTGTGTTTAGTTGTCAGTGGAAGGCGCGTCTGCTTGCTTCGAGAACTGAGGCCAAGCTGGTCTCCGTTAGTCGCAGCCCTGTGCCGCAAGTGTTGAGATCCGAGCGGCAGCCGGAGGCCAGGGAAGCACGGGACAGCGTCTTTGCACCCCTCAGCACGATGCAACCTCGCAGACTTCCTAAAGCATCATGGTGGCTAATTATGTCACTGATTCGGGGCATGCCATGGATGTGTTCTGAGCATCTTGGCTCGTGTGAGTCGTGTGGAAGGGACAGGCACTTTCGAGTCCCGGCTTCTTGGAAACCACGCATGACACGTTCCCTTTTCCCATAGGCCTCAGACCATCTCAGACCGGCGATCCTCGTCCTAGACTTCGAAGCATCCTAAGCCTTGCCATGGAGCGTGCACTCTGGAGCCGCATCGATGCCACTTGAGCTGCAGCTTTGCTGTACCGCGCCATATGTGAGGTTTCATGCGCGCGACATTCGGGGCAGCAGCGGGAGAGGTCGCGCAGCTGGACCGGGCTCTGCCTCCTTCGCTGCCCCGGCCGTGGCTCAACGAGACAGGCGACTTAGGCGACTTGGGGGCCGCTCTCCATGTCTTCGATGTCGCGCTTTGTGTTTCCAGTCTGAGCGGCTCTTGAAATGCAACAAAGATCTTGAGAGGAGCCGCCAAGTGTGCTGATCAGGAAGCCGCTCGGCCGCAGCAGGACGCCGCGCTTTTCAGCACTGGAGCCTTCTGAGGCTTACGAGGTCGCTTGCATGGAGCTCGCCGCCTTCCTCGCGTGGCTCATTGCGCAGGCCCGGGACGGGCTGCAGTGCGAAAGTCGTGATTCAGCATGCTCAGTTTCGCAGGCCCTCAATTTTGTTCTTGGACCTTGGCCTATTGTTGACTGCAGGAATCACAGGTTGCTATGCAGCGAGGGTGACTTTGGGACTTTGAGGAACGAGCACTGGAACTCGCGACGTGGCCCAGGCGCGCGCTCGCCGTGCCACGGAGGTCTTGGCCGACATGAAGAGCAGGCTCGGGCCGAAGCGTTGGGGTCTCTTGAGGGAGATGTGCTCTGTCTCTGTGTCTCCAAAACCCCCCAAGCCCAGTGCCCAACAATCCGTTGTTATGTCTCGTCTGTCTGCAGAGCACACAGTGAGATCTGAGCAGTCTGCTGTAGCATGATGAGACTGAGATGCTGGGCTTGAAGGCCTTGAAGAAAACGGAAACAGTTCCTTCATGTTCCTGCCGCTTTGCCGAGCCATGGGTGTTCTCTAGCTCAGTTTGCTGGACATTCGATTTGAGCTGGGCAAGCTGTTGTACCTTGCCACGTTGCGAAGTGACATGTCTCTGGCCAGAGGGTTCCTCATAGCTCGATCCAGTCCTTGGTCAATCTACTAGTAGTTTCTGGGGTGTCCTCTAAATCACCGCTCAGCTCCGATGAAGGCTTGATGCTTGTCTCTAGCATTTCAGTGTCTGGGGTGCTGTTTCGTTCCTGGCACTGCCGTCAAAGTCCTGATGACGGAAAGCGCCTTTGGCGTCTTGGAGTTGTCGGGCGAAGCCAACACCCGGACGGGGGGTGGTTGCAGAACATGGGGGGCCTGCTTCAGCATCATCGCGAAAATCCGCATTGTTGGGACAGCATTCGGCTCCAACCGTAGCTGCATCGCGTAACCCGCGTTTTCAACGGTATTTGCGGCGGTTGGCGATGTTCTTTAAACAGACTCCGGCGCCCTGGAGCGAGCATCATGCGCATCCTTGGGGTGTCCCGCGCGCACGTCTTGTCACGGTCGTTCCGCGCAACTTTTCGGCCACGCCCGGCCGGACCACCTGATGCTCATGATGCTGGCCCCCCGAGGCCAGCATCATGCGCATCAGCTGTTCCCCTTGCTCTCCCCGGCTGTCCATCTGCTGCTCACGATGCATGCATACTACGGCATCGCCTGTGTTGCAGTAGTATTATGTCTGTTGTACTTCTGTTTGCTGGACAGCGAGCCTTCAAACACCCCCCCTTTAGGGTGCACACAACAGGCGCCAAAGCCTGGGAACTCGGCAGTATGCTATGTTAGAATTACAATATAGCTTCTCGTATAGTCTACTACCGTATACCTACAGGGGCACATGTGTCTTGCTTTGTGTGCATGCCATGCATGCGTCGAGGCCTGCAAGTAAACTGTTCCGACGGATCAACAGCGTTCCTTTTTCCTTAACATAGTACGGGCCCCAGTTTAAAACTAAGTAGATCATTTGGACCCCCTATACAAGAACTCTCTTTTTATTAGCCACTTGAATCAGTGGGTTTCTTCGGGGTTTCCTCTGGATTTCCTACGGGTTTCCCACGGCTCTCCCTTCCAACCCTAGAAAGCCCTTGCAGTCAAGTATTTAACGTTCAAAGAATAATCTTAAGGAGTGGTGTTGGGTCAACCACAACAAGTGAAATCATAGTAAGTCGCAATTTTTCAAAACCCGCCCAACCCCGTCCAAAACACACCAAAACCCACCCACCCATTCCAAGCCTTGTCAGGCGTGGCAAGCTTGCTTCACCCAAGCTTTGGGGTTTATATGATTACACCCAAAGGTGAGCAGCCGGAATACCATG